GATAGTTATATTTATACTTTAATTTTATGGTTTGGGTGAATTTGCCTTTGATTTATTATAACTAATTAATCAATAGGAAGAATCAATAGAAAAAGTGTCTATTGACCACCTGTATCACAGTAGTCACTGCCGGCATAAAAATTCAGGATAGGGTATAGCCCGGCTGGTGTGGCTCAGCGGTTGAGCATCGACTCATGCACCAGGAGGTCGCCAGTTCAATTTCTGGTCAAGGCACGTGCCCAGGTTGTGGGCCTGATCCCTAGTAGGGGGCATGCAGGAGGCGGCCAATGGATGTTCTCTCTCATCAATGTTATCTCTCATTGATGTTTCTATCTCTCTTTCCTTCTACCTTCCTCTCTCTCTAAAAATCAATAAAGAAAAAAAATTAAGAAAAAAAGATAGGGCATAAAAGTTTATATACGAGATAATATTTATGGCTATTTTAAAGTATCTGACACAACCTTCATGATTAGCTGTGTAGGAAAACACTGAAATTATGTGAAAAAGATAAAAAATAATTTAAATATTGGAAAGAAATCTTTCAATTTTTAAAAAATTAGCCTTTCAAAACAAACCTTTAAAGCTACCAATATAAAATAAAGCAAAATTAGGGAAAGAAGCAACAACACTCAAAAATTAAATTTTCCCGCCCTAGCTGGTTTGGCTCAGCGGTTGGAGCATCGGCCTGAGATCCGGAGAGACCGGGGTTCGGTTCCCGCTAAGGGCATGTACCTCGGTTGCAGTTTGTCCCTGGCCCTGGTTGGGTCATGTGGGTGGCAGCCACTCGATGTGTCCCTTTCACGTCGATGTTTCTCCCTCTCTCTCTTCCTCTCTCTGCCTCCCACTCTATCTGAACAAAAAATGGAAAAATGTCCTCGGGTGAGGATTAAATAAATAGATAAATAAATAATTTTTAAAAAATAAATTAAATTTTTCCAAGAAACCACCACCTATCCTGGAAAGCCGAAATGTTCTATAACATGGTTTTGGTTAAATGTCCCAGCTACACAGTAGTTAGTTCCAGTTTACTGGATGAATTAGACGCCTTTGCAAAACCTTTTGGGAGTTACTATCCCTTTAATGAGAAAAGAGACCTCCTGCTAAGAAACGAAGAGCATAGATTAAGCCTTTTTAAGTGCTGATTAAATAATAAAGTAACTTAAAATATAAACAAAATGCTTATTAAGTAAAAACTGGCCGGCTTTCAAGGCATAATTTAAAGCCCTTATCAAATATTTTCTCCCGGGTGGCAGGTGCCCTGTCAGTTCTAGACAAACTGCTCAGACATTCTACCCATGGGGGCAGCCCAGGCGGCGTTGAGTCTTCATTCTCACACCTGTGCTTAATGAGTATCAGTTTTGCAAGGCTGGCCATTTTCAAGGGAAGAAGATGGAAAGGATTTCATGCCAAAAAAAAATCAAGCTAAGAAATAAAACTACTGTAATTTATCTTCTCCAACCTATCGAGAGGAGGCCATGAATTAGGAAAAGATACTCCCAGTCCTTAAGGCAGAAAGTTCCAAAGGTCACCCAGTCACTGGCCTCTCTAACAGACTGAAAAAGATTAAGAACAAGATACAAAGCAAAGGTTTTCAGGAAAAACAGCCCACCTGCATCGCAATGACAACCCATGGTGTCAAGAACTTTTTTCTTATCAGGGATAAAATTTTGTTTTTTTTCCCAATAGACAAAGGATTGAGCTGGGAGAAGAATTGTCTGTAATGTGTTTAATTGTTCTAAAAGAAAACCCATTTTTCACATGGAAAGAATTGCCTTTAAAACGTATCCTTTAAATTGTGTTAATTCCAGTCCTTTAAAAATGGCTAGAGCTGTTCGTGTTTCCCCATAATCTTCAACTCAAATGAAGTCAGTTCAGTTCAGATTTCCATAATTGCTCATGCTCCTCACTAACTTTCTCCAATAACAAAACATCCAAATAACACTCCCCACCACCCACAGATATATGTGCTCTTTTTTGCTACTGAAAATTTAAGTTGACTTAAGTTCTGGGAAAATTCTATTGCCATGGCAATTTCCAGAAGAAACAACACACAGTCCTAAATGAACATTTGTTCTGTCTCTACCACATGCATGCCATCACACAAATACTAGGTTTTGTAAGGAGTTGCTGGTGTAGAAGAAACAATCCACTACTGTATTAAAGGCAAACTTCCTCTTAGAAAAATTAAGAAATTAGGACACCTTGTATGTGTTGCTGCCACCTGGATGTGTGTCCTTGATACAAATTCAGGAGATGGCATAAGTAAAAAAGAATAAAGATATACTACTTTTTAAGCAATTATTTAAAAACAACTTTATTGAAGTATAATTGACATATCATAAAATTCACTCCCTTTAAGTGTACAACTCAATTTTTCGTAACTCTACCAAGCTGTGTAGCCACCCCCACCATCTAGTTTTAGACTATTTATTTCCATCACCCCAGTAAGATTCCTGGTGCCCTTTTACAAGTAATTCCCGTTCCTAGTCCTAGCCCCAGGCATCTGTGAATCTACTTTCTGTTTGGTTACATTTTCCTATCCATTCGAGATAAGAAAAGGGAATCTAAAGATATTTCATACAAGCAGAAGCATACTATTTACTGAAGAACCTACTCTGTCAAAATAGTCTTTAAGATTTTAAAGGGAATACAGGGAATCTTGAACACTATCATATCTGCCGAGTTAGAACGAAGTCAGTGTGGTCTTTAAAATTTAATTATCTCTCTAGTTAGAATAGACTTATATAGTTACAAGGGATTTTGATAATGAAACACTACTGTCTCAAGCCTTGTTATCTTAACTAAGAAAATATCTCTAAGTCCAAAGTTTAAAAAACAAAAAACTTTCAAGTGAGAGAGTAAACTCCCATGCATTGCCATAAAATTCTGTTAAATATCAAGTTTTTGCTTAGGAGACATTAGAGATATACCATTTCCTTAAACAAATTATATTTCAATGGGATTGAAATATAAAAATTTCTTCTGGAATGTAAGGTGGGTTTTTTCCTTCCAAGTTCTCTTATGTATATTATTCTAATGTATTTTGAGTATAGTAAAAATGTCAAACTCTCGTGTTTTTGGTTGACAACATACTTTTCTAACCACTTATTTCCTTCTTCCAGAATCTGTGTGTTACCAAAGCATTCGCTTTAGGTCTGTCTTGCTGACATCCTTGATTTCCAGGTATCCTTCCCAGAAATTTATTAAGAATTTGCAAAAGGCTCTTTTATATTTGAAAGAGAAAACCGTTCTGTTTAGTGCTGATGGGAAATTAAAACAAACACACACACACAAAACTCTAACATGGACAGGACTCTAAATTTGGGGAAATCCGTGGCACTCTTTCAACTTGAAATATTGGTCACAAAAACTCAAGAAGTTATTTTACACCACTTGTAGGAAACTGATATTTGCTGGGTTTCTTTTTTTTTTAATTCCCCGTGTGAATAAAAACAAATGTTAGTTTTGGGCGTTTGATGTGTTAGGCATTTTGTAGACCATAGAGTTGAAATTGCCCCGCCCCCCCAGCAGTTACTGAAGGTGGAACTTTTGGAAAAAACAAGTACTTACAGAAATAAACATATTGCTAGTAGCTTTCACACGTTTCCAAACCAAACGGGAAGTCTGCACTAATATAACTGGAAGGCAAAGATTTGAGTTTGGGTCTCAGGATTTGCTGAAAAAGATTATGGACTCCTTCTGAAGAAACTTGAAAAGCAGTGTGATTTGTGTCTGTCTGAAAAAGGACTGATTTGCTAAATGCTCAAGGCTTCTCAGATTCAGTGTCCACCCTCTGAGTTTGGAGGGAAAGCCAGCCGGGAAAGTCTTAAATGGGAACCTTCCACATTCTTGGAGTAGATAATAATTGAAATGTAAAAAATCTGGTGGCGGGGCTGGGGGAGGGGAATTCTCCTACTTAACTGATGTCTGCAAAAAGAAAATGCCAAATAACAGCAAGGAAGGGGGTGTAGGCAGGCCAAGACCATAAATGGTCTTATCTTAGCTTTCAGTGATTCAGACAAGATCTCTGTTTTGTGTGTAACGGGCACGTAGAACATGAGCAAAAGCATGAAGGTCTTTCTCAATAGCCCGTCCAACTTCCCAGTTTTCAGATCGACCGCGACTGCAGGCACTTTCCGTGGAGACAAGCATCCCATCCCCAGGAAAGGAAAACTTCCCTGCTTTTTCCCCCCTCCTTAAAGCAAACTGTTTTGTCCTTTCAAAAGCAACCTGGGTCTCTGAAGTTGCCCAGCTCCGCCAAGCGTCCCGCGACCCTCCTGGGGCTCAGCTCCGCGGGGTGGCTCTCCCCTCGCTCCCCAGCGAGCACCTCCGCGGACCCGGGCAGGTACAGCGTCGGCGCGGGGAGAAGTCGCGAGCAGGCAGCTCTGAAGGCGAACTCCAGAGTCCCAAGTCGGTGCACATGAGACCAAAGAAAGGGAACAGGAGGAGAGCCAGCCCCGCCCTGGGACTGCAAAACCTACATTTCTACAGCTGCAAGGTGGAGGCTACTTTATGGTTTTGTCCTCCCCCCAAAATATACCCCAGTGCGCAGAGATTTTTTTTTCGGAGATGACGAAATGTCCTCACCCCCGACCCTAATAAGAAAGAAAAGGGAAGCGGAGGGAGGGGCAGGGAGGAGGACTGGTCACCCCTCCGCTTCACACAGCTCCAGCCCCGCCCTTTCCTCCCCGTCTACCCTTTTCCAGTCCCTTCCCAGCCTCCCCCATCAACCCCAAAATGTTGGACGACGGCAAAGGAAACCGAAAAAAAGTTCTCCAGCCCCAAATCCTGGCGGGGGATCAGCATCTCTTTTGTTCGCGGCGAACCCACAGTCCCCCTGACGTCACCCGGAGCCCCGGCCAATCGGCGCGCGGTCGGCGGCGGCAGCGGCCACAGAAAGGGCGGGGGGAGTCGGGCAGGTCCCTCCTCCCGGGCGCCCAGGGCCTCGCGGGGGGCGGGAGGGGACTGTCCCATATAAGCCCGGCGGTCCCGGCTCGGCCGCCCGCGCCGGCTGCTCTGTACGAGGGGAGGAGAGGGAGCCCCAGGCGCGAGCCGGGACCTGCAGCCACAACTTCTCTCCCTGCTCCTTCCCCTCTGCCCCTCTACCTGTCCCCGTCCCCATCCTCCGACCCCTATCTTCTTTAAGGCGTCACCCCCCTGGAGGCACTGGAAGGGACTCCTCCCGCAGGTTTCGGAACGAACTGAACTTGGTGGCAACTTGCCTCGTGGTGAGGGCGTCCCTCCCCGCACCATCTCAAGATGCTCAGGGGTCCAGGGCCCGGGCTGCTGCTGCTTGCCGTCCTGTCCCTGGGGGTAGCGGTGTCCTCCACCGGAGCCTGGAGGAGCAAGAGGCAGGCTCAGCAACTCATTCAGCCTCAGTCCCCGGTGGTTGTCAGCCAAAACAAGCGTGAGTATTGACTGCGAGCTGAAACAGGCTGTCGCAGGGATGGGACCGTCAAGCCAACTAAAGTTGTGGCTGAAGTTTTGCGCGCGCGCGCGCGTGTGGAGTGTGCACGCCTTAATGAGAGAAACCTGCGAACACAAAAGGCATGGGTTTGAGCAGGCTGGTTCTGAGGGCCTAGGGTAAGATAATACACTGGAGGTCAGGGGCTCTGGATGTCCTGCTGTGCTCTTATCAACGCTACAAGTTTAGGTCATTCTCCTGTGAATTCATCAAAACTTGCCTTTAGACGGAAAAATAATGCTGCCTTTCAATTTTCGTTTGGGTTTAGTGTGGTCTTATTTTCTGCGTTAGTAAATGACTGGTTAAGTATTTTCAAAATGGGGTGGGAAGAAGGTAGCTATACAGCTATGTTGTTCCTAAGTAACTTTGAAGGAGAAGTAATGTAGTTCACATTGCCTCAGGGCCCCTCCGGACACTTCTCCAAGAACGGAGATCGGAATTCCTATTCCAGTTTTTCAAAGACACACCCTCCCTTTGCCTCTGCTAAAGGAAGTTGCCCTCTGACTTAACTACCCAAGATCATGGAAGTCCCTTGCATATTTTAAAATGCAGTTGCAGTTATCTGCTTTTCAAAATGTTTCCACTTCTTTGATGTAGACCCCTGGCCAGATGGAAATGACATCATTGTAATAACTTGTAGCTAAGTTAAAAGAACAGGGGAAAAAAAGGAATATCTAAATATCTACGTGGACAAATTGTGGTTAACTCTTTAGATAAGTAGTTTCTACATCTATATTTTAGTGCAATATTGCTTTTAATGCTCCTCCAACTCTGCAGATTAACTTACTTTTCTGTTTGTTGCTTAGGCTCAGCAATTTAATTGTGCAAGAAAATTCCATAATCTGGAAAAGGGGAGGGGGGTGCAAGTGTAATAACTTTTTTGTTCGATTATTTACAGCTGGTTGTTTTGACAATGGGAATCACTATCAGATAAACCAACAATGGGAACGCACCTACCTGGGCAATACCTTGGTTTGTACCTGTTATGGAGGGAGCCGAGGCTTTAACTGTGAGAGTAAACCTGAAGGTAAGTGGTGGGGAGCCTGGTGGTCAGTATCTTGTAATAGATGGAGAAGTGGTGCTTGTTAATTAAATTTAGCATAAGTAGTAAAAATATTCATCTTTTCAATAGAATAATCTGTCATTTCCTCTTTAAAAACATTTATTAACTGCTAATATTTGCTTTTTACATGTTCCTTTTACCTTTAAAACAAAAGAACAAATGTATCCCCAAGTCGTTCCTAGAATCTTCTTTCTGTTTTACTCTCCCAAAGGTTTTGATGAGAAGATAAAAGATGTTGTGTATTCTTCCTCCAAAACCACTTACTTATAAAGTTTTAATTTACTAGAAAGTAATTGTAAATCTTAAACTATAAGGTTATGGGCCAGAAAACTCTTGGGCATTATATTGTAAAGTGATTTTTTTTTTTTTTTTTTTTTACACAAAACCACTAACCACTTCAAAGTTTTGCGTTCTTTACAACCATTGATATGTTTCTTACAAATTATGGCAACTTGCATAGGGAAGCTAGAATGGAAAGAGTAGGATTAACAATGACTGTGCCTGGTAGAGGTGGTGCTCTTCAAATTGTTTGCTTTTATGTGGCCCTTGATTTTCTGAGTCAGAAATCTGAATCTGAAGTTCTCCCTTCACCATCTAACTGGTCCAAAGGTAGTATTTCCTATGGCTTTCTCCTAGGGCCTGAGAATCCTTTACAATTGAAATTAATTTACAGAAAATTAGGAAACTTGCCAAAGGTCAAAAGTCGGGACTTAATTTAGAGCCTAAGGTAAAATCTAGGTGTCCCACTCCAATTCTTTAAAACTTTTTGTTGTACCGTGCTACTCATAGAATCGAAAAGGGAATTCTCCCTTCGATGAGGTTAGTGGTAAAGAAAACTTTTCCATATGTGAGGCTTATGTGGACTTTCCTTCTCCCCTCAGCTGAAGAGACTTGCTTTGACAAGTACACTGGGAACACCTACCGGGTGGGAGACACTTATGAACGCCCTAAAGACTCCATGATCTGGGACTGCACCTGCATTGGGGCTGGGCGAAGAAGAATAAGCTGTACCATTGCAAGTAAGAAAGACATTCCGTAAAATGCTGCGAAAACGCCATAAGTATGAATTTCGCCCTTACTGTCATTGTCATTTCTGTTACTGATGACTGGATATTCCTAATTTGGGGATTTACTCCAGGTGACCAGGTAGTCTTCTGTGGTCACCCAACTGGCTCCTGTGCTTTTGTGAGATGTCTTTAAGCACAGATAGAATCTGTTTAGTCTTTGTGGGTTTAAGTGTGTGTGTGTGTGTGTGTGTACACACACAGTGTAACCAAGTGGATCTCCTGTGTTCCACTCCAGTAAGACATGTTTAGAGGAGTTACCCATTTTACATTACCTGGACATCTTCAAGCCAGACTGATCATGTGATTATCTGCGGTGATTAGAAAGATGGTCATGAAGAGTGAACCTCCCATTGTGTGACCTGCCCTTCTTTGCAGTGCACAGGCTTCTTGCATCCCACATGGTCTGGTTTCTTTGTGACCAATAGTTAATACCCAGGAAGCGGATCTCCCTATTCCCAGGGCTCATGTGGAATGATTAGCTTAATAGTGTTTGCAAGATACTGTATTTCAGGGACTGGGTTGGCTCTCATCAATTGTAGTTTAGCTCAGGAGCTCTTTCCAGTATGATCCACTGTGTTACAGATTCTGTTAACATAGCATTTACTTTTTAAAATCCATCCTTTAAGTATAAGTCATTTTAAAGACTTCTGTCCAAAAGAACAAGTCAGTCACTTGTGAAGAGGCCCAGTCTATTTCCCCCATAATTAATGTTAGTGTTTATCCAAATTTATTGCCAAATGTTAAGAGTCAGTGGTCCATAGTGTTTACAAGCTAGTAGACAGTTCAGCCTTCGGATGTGCCATCATGTTTAACAGCCTAGAAAAGTACCTGGATTTTTACATTCGATATGTACACACCTATTTGCTTTCTGCCAAAAGGACATGTCTAACCAAGGATAAAACACAGACTCTCCATGAGCCCAAAAGCTGAAATACTATACCGATATGGCTTTACATTGAATTAGTCTCAGACTCAACCTGCTGTGTATGTGTGGAGGCCATGCCTGCCAGCCTTTTTTTTTTTTTGCTTTAGGGCCCAATTTCCTGTGCTCCCTCTGGGGAACCAGGATTTATGACCTCTTTCTTTGCCATTCAGTTTTCTCTGTGGTTTCCTATTGTGCTTAAACAAAACATTTAATTGAAGGACCCCAAGTGATAAGACCTGTTAACTTCTCCCCTGTCTCTGATGGGAAAACTGTCCTCTGTGTCTTTACTTCGGCTAACCCAAGTACCTACTCTGGGTAGAACACAAGGCTTTTTTTCTCTAATGTTTTCTGTCCTACTCTCTTTAACATTTTTTGTTGTTGTTGTTAATCTTGAACAGACCGCTGCCACGAAGGGGGTCAGTCCTACAAGATCGGTGACACCTGGAGGAGGCCACATGAGACTGGTGGTTACATGTTAGAGTGTGTGTGTCTTGGTAACGGAAAAGGAGAATGGACCTGCAAGCCCATCGGTGTGTGACTATTAGGGATGAACAAGGGGTGGGAATCACAGTCAGAATGTTGGGTTGAACCATACTCTACATGGACAAGAGATCTGAATTCCAATTAAAAATAATAATGAAGTGGGAATTTTATTTTAAATAATGAAATGTTTTATATAATCGATCGTGTTTAAAGAATCAGATCAAAAAGTACTCACCTGTATAGAAGTCTTAATTTTGTTTCAAAAGCATAGATAGAGTTGAAATATTTAGGAAGAAGTCATTTCTTTTGTCTAATAGCTAATCTCAGTTTTTCCTTGGTCAAGATATGTTATTTAAAAGAAAAAATAATGGCAGTTTTGACATTTTTATTGCAACACACTAGACAGAAACACAAAAACTGTGTGTACTCTGTCAAACCTTAGTAAGTCCCGCCCCAGCTTTGGTACATGCCCCTAGTGGGAACTGAACCCGGGACTCTCTGGTCCGCAGGCCAAAGCTCCAATCGCTGAGCCAAACTGGCCAGGGCCTTAGTAAATTTTTTTTTTTCAAAATAAAAAGTATTGAGTTTCTTTTGTTCTCAATCCTCAGTTGAACTCTGTAGATACAAATGTGAAAGTTTCTATCTATATATTTTACTCTAGTTATTGTTTTCTGATTCAGAGACTTGTTTTCCTTTGTGTTGTGTTTGTTTTTATAGAAATCCAAAAATTAAGGCTTTCTTGTCACTTTTTTTAGACATTCATAACTAGATTGAAATTTTGCATATTTAGTGTCCCACAGACCGGATACATACATATCCTTTTTACATGAAGTACTAGTGTGAAGAAGAATAGTACCAGCTGAAAACATACAGTCCATGTACTTATTAGGGGAACGGAATTTCTGCCTGCCAACTCCGTTTGAGCTTTCTTTTGCTTTGGTTACCATGTGCTTAGTTACAGGGCATGCCTTTCTTTTTGAACAGAGTACCACTTAAAAAATGTGGCTGGATTTTTGCTTACACAATACACTTTAAATTACAGGGAGACTGCACATTTGAAATCACTTTTTTTCCCCTCTTTTTTCTCCACGTTTTCCTACAGCTGAGAAATGTTTTGACCACGCTGCTGGGACATCCTATGTTGTCGGGGAAACCTGGGAGAAGCCCTATCAAGGATGGATGATGGTGGATTGTACCTGTCTGGGGGAAGGCAGTGGACGCATCACCTGTACCTCTAGAAGTATGTTTTAGATTTTGATGTTAAGATGAGTCCAGGTATTGTTTTCTATATTCCTGAAGAAAAGTGGAAGGTGATGTCACTTAGAACACACCCAATACACCATTGTGGTTTGGTAACTTTTGAATGTCAAGAACAATTCTATACCAAACTTATTTCACTTCTTCAAAGAAGACTGAATGTTTTAAAAATCTTAGTTCAGTAAGGACTTAGACTATTCGTTACTAAGAACCTTAATATTCATTTAAATGTCATATGTGTTATGGACATGAAGATTAGTTGTAAATGTTTAAATTATCACTGAGATATTTTCTAAGTATTAAGAGCAAGAAATCATTAAAATAACATGCAAGGGCATCGTTGGGCATGTGGGTACTGTTGACATAGAATGGAGCAAAGCTCTAAAGTTTTAGGTTTCCTTTTATGTTTCACATTTAAATAAGGCATATTCATAAGTACAGTTGATGAAAATAAAAAGTGCTTCTCCCATTGGTTAAAACTATGTGTCTATTGTGGGGTTAAGGACAGTGTCTCTTACTCAAAGTCCTAAAAAAGCTTAGTTGTGCTTAAAAGAAGCTGACCTCTGACAGTTTTATTGCTCCTTCTAAGACCTTACTTGTTGCCTTATGTTGCCTTAGGGGTTCAAAACTTCTTTTTTTAAACTTCAAACTATAGAGTTTATAGAAGCAAAATAGCCATTACCTATTGGTGTTATAAATAAATTTAAAATCAAATCTAAATATTTTGAACCCATTTTATTTATCTAGCTTAAAATGTTTAACCATCTTAAAATGTTCATCATCCAGATTTAAGTACTTTGCTAACAAAAAATAAATCTCTCATGGAAAGTAATAACAATTCTGACCAAATCTTTCCCAGAAACTTGATGGTTCATTAGATCTTTTGCATTTAAAACGTTATTATGATCATCCAAGACCTTGGTGGTGATATTTTTAGCTTAAGACAAATTCGATGTCTGACTTAAACTCTTATGATTTATTTAAAACTCTTCTAATAGCAAGTCAGAAAAAGTTTCTCAAAGAAAAGTAATTTATTTTATGAAAATCTGTATGTCCCTACTTTGTACAAGTGGTGTAGGGATGCAAAAATGAATTGGACATTAGCTCAGCTTTCGAAGAGCACCGAGTAAGTAGGTCAAGGGGATGAGAGTGGCTAATGCAGTCATCTTCTACAAAGCACAATATCAAGGGCTTCAAGACTGATACTGAAATCAGTGCTGTGGAAGTTCAAGGCAAGGCAGCCCTTTAAGCTAGGGATTGGGGAAAAGCTGTGATCAGCCATAACGTCTTCATTCAGACCTCAGTTCTGGTGGTCGATCGATGTGGGTGTGTAGTTGTGTGAATTGACGTCAGCTGGCCAATTATTTTTCCTTTACCCAGTGCAGTCATTTTCTGACTCACAAACAAATCAAATCCTCTGTACTCACATTGTAGCATATGGGCGAAGCCAGATTATAATTGAAACAATCTATTTGCCAGATAATTGAACACATAAACTGATGGTAATTTAGTTATAAAACATCATTTACAATAATAATCTCACTTTTCCTTTGTAGAGTTAACACTGAGCAATTCAAGAGAGGCAGTTCTGTTAGTGATTTTAAATAGGTGTGTGAGGGAAAGAGAATAGTAGTCAGAAAAGCTGGTAGTGCCCTTAATTTTTTTATATAACATATGAAGAAAGGGGGGCAGCTGTCTTTTTCTAGCTTCTTTGGGGTTTGCCCCCAACATCTTTTAAAACAATGTTTTCCTTTATTGATTTTGAGAGCGAGGAAGGGAGAGGGAAAGAGAGATAGAAACATTGATGAGAGAGAACATTGATTGGCCGCCTCCTGCATGCCCTCCACTGGGGATCAGGCCCACAACTTGGGCATGTGCCCTGACAGGGAATTGAACCGGTGACCTCTTGGTACATAGGTTGACCCTCAACCACTGAGCCACACTGGCCGGGCCCCAACACCTTTGAAACTACTTGCCTCCCGACTGTTCCTAGTTTTCTAAAGCAAGTCCCCTATTGAAAGGCAGTTCATATACAGTAATCACTGGGCGAGTCGGAGAAAGAAAGACAAGGGTGATAGAAAGCCAGAGAGTGCATTTGATCAAAAGAACAATGGAAAAACGCTAATGATAACAATAATAACAATAAATGAAGGGTGATGAAAAAGTTTTGACAAACAGAAGTGGAACTAGATTAAATCATATAGCTCTTCCTGCTGGAACAAATGGAATCCTATCTTTTGGAAGTTTAACCTGTGTGGTACCACAGCTGAACAGAAACATAGCATCAAGACATGACTTACCAAGCTTTCAACTACTGTATATATACGTACATTTAAGTTCCAGTCGAGCCCGTGACAAACCGGACCTGATTTGCATCTTTAAATGCTTCCTTTCTAACACAGACAGATGCAACGACCAGGACACCAGGACGTCCTATAGAATCGGAGACACCTGGAGCAAGAAGGACAACCGGGGGAACCTGCTCCAGTGCCTCTGCACGGGCAACGGCAGAGGGGAGTGGAAGTGTGAAAGGCACTCGTCCCTGCAGACCACGGGCACCGGTGAGGAGCGGGGGGGTGGGGGTGGGGGCGGGGCTGGGGCCGGATAGCGCTGCCACAAATGGTTCTGAAAACCCATCTTTCCCCTGACATGCCGCCGAAGGATGATTGGCATTGCTTGGGCTGGTAAGCTGAGTTCATTGACAGATCGTTAGCTCTTAAAGCTTTATTTAATGTTAAGTTTTAAATGTATCTGAAAATGAAATAATAATGAATCATGGGGATCAACAGTTTTAGCACAAAATGGTTAAATTGGTGCTTTAAAAATGCTAATAGCACAAAATCTACACAATTTATACACACATACGTATAGATATAGGTAGGTACAGATCTATTTATATATGTGTACACATAGAGATACACACACATATACACAGGTATGTGCATGTTAATGGAAGTGAGTTACAATGAGTTGCATGATTCCCTGACTCTTCTGCTAGGAAAGAGGGAAAAGTACATATGTTCTTTTCTCGAAATGGAATGCAGTTTCTTTTCCTGACATTCAACTCTTTGTAGTGAAATCATTTTTTATGTGTGTTTTCCATACTCCGGCGAACTTTGTTGTATTCCATAAAATAGTGCACCGTCATTCTCTCCATGTCTTGGTTTTCACAATTTGAGAAATCCATAGGGGCTCAGACATGGGAATGAATGACAGTATCTAAGTGCTCTTTTACAAATAAGTTTTAATTATTCCTGGTATAAGGAAAAAATCTTTGCATTGTTGCCTCTTTTGTAAGAAACAGAAGAAAAAATGTAACAACCAGGGGTGGGTACTTCTGTTATTATTCTTAGTATGTTAGATTAAGTTTTCACTATGCAATGTGCTAGCCTTATTGCTTAGCCTCTTAGCCATCAGTCATTTAGCTAAAAATATTATTTACTTGCTTGGGTTTTTCTCCTTCTGATGAGTTTTCATGTTGCTCAGAGCACTTACGAAGGTGAACAAGATTCGATTTGATCCTACCTTTGAGTTATTTGATTATTATCAGTAAACATTCTGCTAAACCCCAAAAGAAACTATTAGAAATACCAATCTACTGAAAGAGTTTAATTTTAAAGGGTAGTCAGGGTTATATGGGTAAGCATTCAAGAAATGTTACCTATTAATATTACAAACATTGGACTGAAAAGGTCCCGTTATTCAAAAAGGTCTGAGAAACGCTGGCTCAAATAAAATGGAGCCTCGTGTTTATTTGCATTGCAACTTTCCCAGGGGGGCTGCGTGAACGCAGGTGCCTGTCTCCCCAGTGTGTGGGATCTCGGGAACCATTGTGAAGTGTCTTCGGCTCCTCCTTAGGGAGATGCTGACTTCAGGCTACCAGTTGTTCAGCATTAGTTCCGACTCTGCCCTACTGTGGGCCTGGCCTTCAGAACAGATTGCCAAAAGTTTGAAGAAAAGATCCATGCAATCTGTTGCCTTACCTTGAAAAGAAAGGTATTTTTAAAGGATTGATTGATTTTTAGCCCGGCTGGTATGTCTCAGCGGTTGAGCGTGGACCCATGCACCAAGAGGTCACCGGTTCGATTCCCGGTCAGGGCACATGCCCGGGTTGTGGGCCAGATCCCCAGTGGGGGACATGCAGGAGGCAGCCAATTGATATTCTCTCTCTCACTGATGTTTCCAACTCTCCCTTTCTCTCTCTTTCTATATAGAAAAACAAATTTCTTAAAATAAATAAATTAAAGGATTGATTGGTTTTAGAAAAAACACACAACAGATTCACAAATAATCCTGAGAAACAAAATGTGGACGGAGGGGCAACTTCTGGAGAATCCACTGTGGCGGCCCAGGGCGTGCTCCGATGAGCCCATAGCTAGGCACATGGCAAGGGGTCTGCTGCAGAGTGCAGGGCCTTCTCAAAACAAGGGCAGGAAGGAAAATGCCCAGGTGTATTGGGCATGTGGAAGCCGCTAAGACAGGACGGGTGAGGCAGACCGTTCCTGCTGAAGAGAGGAGCAGGGTGCATCCGGGGATGATGCCTAGTTCCGGGGGACAGGCATAGAGCAAGGAGGGAAGTGGTCAGGAGTGAGCTGGAGCAGGTGTGAAGGGTCGTGAAGGAACGGACTATGCGCTTCCTGAATGAGGAAGGCGTTGTTGAAGGTGTCTGCTCTGTTAAGTGGCAAAATCATGTCTGTGGTTTAGAAATATGATCCCAATAGCTCCAGAGGAGCCGCAAGGTGGAGACCATTTGGTAGACTTTGTGGATTATTTCCTACCCTGAATTTCCTAGGCAAAAACTAACGCAGAATGGGAGGGACATTTCTTTCTAGTTTCAGGTCCGTAACAGCATGGATTTCAGAGTGATCTGTATGGGACCCTAAAGGTCCTGACTTCAGGAAATTGTTATTTTCTCTTGTCCAACGTTGTGACTTTTCTCTCTCGTGTCCTTAGGACCTGACACCTACGCAGATGTTCGAATGGCGATTTACCAGCCTCAGCCTCACCCCCAGCCTGCTCCGTACGGTCACTGTGTCACAGACAGTGGTGTGGTTTACTCGATAGGGATGCAGTGGCTGAAGACACAAGGAAACAAGCAGATGCTTTGCACTTGCCTGGGCAATGGAGTCAGCTGCCAAGAGACAGGTCTGCATTATCTTTTCAAAAAACAGTGCTGATAACTTTTTTATTATTTTGTTTTTGAAAGGCAATACATTCATTTACAAAAAAGTAAAACAATAAAACGAAGGGGAAAGGCTGATGATCTTACCACTAGTGGTAATAGTCAGGATTGATATTTGATATATTTCCTTCCAATCTTTTAAATGTAGGTACTTTCTTTTCTGTAGTGAGGATTAACCACTCTGTATTCTGTTTGTCTAGAATGTTGTTATAAGAGGGTTGCTTTCTGAATAACTAGTCCTCCATATTTTATATTCCAAATCTCAGATTTCTGGAGCTTTGTAAATTTCTTTTAATAACCTAATGTGTCTCTTCTAAGCTACAAAAGTGGTAGTTAGTAGCTGTAGCAATTATAATGGGTACACTCGATGTTTCCCCTAGAATATGTATTAATACGTATGCCCCCAACAGAATCAAGCATATTCCTCCAGCCTCCTTTGAGCAGCATCCTTAATTAACCTGTATTAAAATAGCTTTAGAAGTAGGGAAACTGAGGCATGGTAACAAAGAACAACAGCAGTGAAACTTAGGTGTTGCTCTAACCCCAAAAGACATGGCTTCCTGCGTGATACATTTTGGCTGAAAGAACCGCATGAGCATCCGTATTTGTAGCACCAGCTCAGCCTGTCATTTAAGGTGTAAATAAGCAGCTGCCCGCGGAGAATAAACGCAGCTCTGTGACCGAGGCGCTTTGGCTTGTGCTTGTAGCTGTAACGCAGACGTACGGTGGCAATTCCAACGGGGAGCCCTGTGTCCTACCGTTCACCTACAACGGCAGGACTTTCTACTCCTGCACCAGTGAAGGGCGGCAGGATGGCCATCTCTGGTGCAGCACGACTTCCAACTATGAACAAGACCAGAAATACTCTTTCTGTACAGACCATACTGGTGAGTGTCCCCAGGGGGAAACGCAGCAATGAGAAAGACCATTTCTCATGCCCTGTTTCTATTAGTCAGCACTCTGGTCATTAATCTTGAGGCTGCACAAGAAATATCTCTTTTCTGCAGTCTAGACCCGAGAGACAGGGAGTAACTTGGCAGTCGAAGATCCTTCCGTGGTCCCTAACGCCCTTGGGAAATGACACCAAGGGAAAAGGCCACCAGTTCATTTATTTCTGACACATCGGGATTATGATGTGATTAAAGATGCTTGCATGTTAAAACCAGTATGAAACCCCACAGGGCTGAAGAACGCACAGGGTGGATGAGTGTTTTTGCTTCTCTTCTGGTTAAAACTATGTTTTATTCAAAGTGACCATCTAATTATTTATTTTATTTTGGGGGTTGGGAAAATGAGAGTTGAATCTATTTCAAAGGTGAAGGTGAACACACTAAGGAAGCTTAGAATTATATTATCAGACAGCTCTTATTCTGAGGTGGCCTCTCTGTAAATGAGCTGCAAAAGCCTGGCTCGCCGAAGTTTTCTGTAGTCATTCCCTGCAGCACGTCGGAAAGCTCAGTGGTAACTTCCTTCTTCCCATTCGTGTGTTGTTCTGGGCAGTGTTGGTTCAAACTCGAGGAGGAAACTCCAACGGCGCCCTGTGCCATTTCCCCTTCCTGTACAACAACCACAACTACACTGACTGCACCTCCGAAGGCAGGAGAGACAACATGAAATGGTGTGGGACCACACAGAACTATGACGCTGACCAGAAGTTTGGATTCTGCCCCATGGCTGGTAAGATGAGGCCCTTTAGACACCCATTCGTGGAGTATGGCCGAACAGTGTCCACTTTACCCAGTAAAACTTCATTTTGAGATTGCAACAAACTTTGTGATTAATACATACATATGTGAATTAAACTTATTTGTATAACTTTTTAAAGATTTATATAACTTAAAAATTTCATCGATATAATTTAATGTTTCCAACTATATTAATGTAATGAAATGCTATTTAAAAATCCTATACATTTAAATTTTGCACAGATTTGTCTTTTCTGAAGGGCACACAAGTGCGTAGCTTAAAATATTTCACATGTAACTGACTGTGATGGTCATAGACCTACGATATTTACGGTGATTTTGGCTTTCTTGGCAGAAGCTCTGTTGTTTATTAAATACAAAAAATGGCTACAACTCTACATTTTCTGACAAGTAAGGGATCTTTTCTAAGAAGGAGAGTGGGGGCTTTAGTTTGTAAGATGGAAAAAAGGCAACCAATACCTTTGGTTTTCAAATTTCAAGAACCCCGTAGATTACATTTGATTTTCCAGTTGTAGAACCAAGAACCCATGCATGGCATTGTCCAGTGTGACTAGGAAGCTATAAAACATAAGGAAGAAAACCACTAACACTTACTTTCATTTCTCTTATTTCAACTAAGGAGAGCGTTGGATTTAGGAAACCCGCTGCAGCTTAGTCTCGTGCCCGCACTCACAGTTCCCCTTTGCGTTAGAGTAAGTTGGAACTAGAAACGGTAATGGAGCGGGAGTCCAATCCAGGCTTCTAGAATCTGTCAGGCCCTCTGGGTGAGTGAGTGTGTAGGGATCATCATGGCTGAACGTCCACCGACCCTTCCTGTAACTATTCCCCATTACATACCTCACCTGTGGACGGTGTTTTCCTCTCTGGTCCTCAGAACTTGATCCATCTAGGGAGCAGCACTGAGATTTCTTTGAGGCACAAGACTTCTGTCCAAGTGAGAGCCCGTAGGACAGTCACACCGGACGGATAATACTGCCTGTCTTTTAAGACCTTGTGACCACTTTTAACTGTACATTTCTCATCCGTTCCCAAACAGCCCATGAAGAAATCTGTACAACCAACGAAGGGGTCATGTATCGCGTGGGAGATCAGTGGGACAAACAGCATGACATGGGACACATGATGAGGTGCACATGTGTGGGGAACGGTCGTGGGGAATGGACCTGTGTCGCCTACTCCCAGCTCCGAGGTATGCTTGCTTATGAATGAAAACACTGCAGAAGACAAGGGGTACAGAGAGGGTGACGATGATGTGGAAGTTGTCCTTAACCCACAGTCGGAGAAAACAGGCAATACCATTTCACTGGTCCACTGTGCTGGACGAGTCTCGCATCTCAGGCAGCCAGTGAAGAGAAGCTGGCACAGCTGTTTGACAAAGCTCTGCGATTCTGAACCCTCTCCAGGGCGCACATACTTAGGCTGAGCCAACACGAAGACTTCAAAGTCTAGAACACAGTCATTTGATCCTTTCGTGTTTAGTTATGCCACTGGATTCATGTCCAGAAAAGTTTGACTAATTTCTGTAAAGAAAAAAGACTTTGCTGTTCTAAGGTCAGATTCTTGCAGATCCAAATTTAAGGAGATCCGTGTTTCCCCTTTAGTCCTAGGTACAGAATATAGGAATACCCCTATGTTCTGTATATAAAACATGCTTTGTATGTGTACGTGTGTATGGAAACAAACATTTCTCGAATACCAACTGTATCCTGCAAATAAAAACCTGTTTATGGACATTAAGAAAAGAATATAGGGATGTCGATTTATTAAAACTGTTTTGGTTTTTCTATTTCTGTCATTCGAAAAGTAAGATGTAGGTAGAACTTTGAACTAATAAACAGTCCGTGTAGCTGGTGTGTTGACACTGGCCTCATCTCGTTCTCTTTCTGTAGAAAACATTTTTGTGTGTTCAACAGGTAGTACAACCCAGGAGTAATGAGAATTACACAGAGCCTAGTAGGAAGGCAGGCAGTCCAACTCCTCGTTTTACAGACGAGGGAGCTAAGATGCAAAGAAAGAAAGTAATTTTCTCAGGATCTCCCGGAGACTTAGGAACAGAGTTCACTTGATTTAAAAAAAAACTACAATTGTTGTCAATGTCATTTTATGTTTCAAATCCAAATATCACCCCACTGCCACCATTCCAGATATCAGACCAGACCATCTGGAATTGGGAGGGGGGGGTATTTGGATTTGTATTAAAGTATGTTTACTCTTCCTCCTGCTTATTATAACAAGCAGAGATCTAAAGGACATTATCAACTAAGCAAGAACTTTTCTGAAAGTAAGGCCTGTATTTGTTCAAAAATGGGCTTTCCATAAGAAGATGTATTTTACCACATTCTAGTGGTGTATACTTTGACCTCCATCATTTACAAGTTTATATGAGAAAGGCTTTTTTTTTGTTTGCAGAAGTTGTATCACTGACTGAGCTTTGCAAAATGTTTATTCTATGCCAGGAGAAAAGTTATTTTCATGGGAAGTCTTGATAATTTATTGGAAGGAAATGTGTGCTTTGAAAAGTGTAGCTTTTAAAAAATTTCATCACCGGAACTTTTAAAAAGGTCTCCACCCATCCCACTGTTTCCTAACTAGATCAATGCATAGTTGACGACATCACTTACAACGTGAATGACACCTTTCACAAACGTCATGAGGAGGGACACATGCTGAACTGTACCTGCTTCGGTCAGGGCCGGGGCAGATGGAAGTGCGATCCCATTGGTAAGTAGCCTTGTCTCTCCAGATGGATTTGGCCAATGGGAATAGTTAGCAAGTTTCAGATAAGTAGAGCTACTTGATGGTACATGATCGGAGCGGGATTCAGACTGATCAGTGGCTTTCAAAGAGCTTTGTGAAGTCTTTCCTCTCATCACAGACCCGTATTTACCTTGATACTGGTAGTCCTCTATTTTTGCTGCATTTGGTGACAAATACAGCTTTATTTTAATTAAATGAAATTTGCTCTTTAGTTCTGAATCATAAAGATAGTCCGTGTAATGAAAGAGAACTTTCTTTGCTGATTGTGCAGTAACATGGGCACATGATTCTGCCAGTAAATTCCTCCCTCCACGTACATTATTTTTCTTGGCTGCCCTTTATAATAGACCTAAGCAAATAGTGAAGGTTGAGCCTTAAAAGAGTTGTGTTACCAGCTTTAAGGTAATCCATTAATACTCCTTTACTAAAAGAGACAGGTTGCACACTAAGAAAACAGACTGATCAAATACTCCAGTTTGTTTGACCCAAGATTGCCAAAACGGAGGTTTTCTTAGAAGCTGCTCAGCAAATATTCACAGTTAAAATCTAGTTCTTTTATTTACAAGTACAATTAAATTCTCTAAATTTCGAGAATGCATATAAAGTGATATATTGTCCTTGCTATTAAATGGCAAATCAGTTGTATTAATATGGGTGAAATATACGTAATTTATCTTCTCAAATTAATGTTCAGCATATCAATATATACAGAAATTTAAATCTGAAAATTTTTAATTGGGAATAGTGTTCTTTTAGAAAACTAAGTATTCCTCCTAATGATTGCCTTTTCCTTCCTTCCTTCCTACATTCCTTCCTTCCTTCCTGCCTGCCTGCCTGCTAATTGTTCTGTATGGTAAATGATATGAACAAAATATTTTCTAATTGCATATATTTGTGGACAATTGCAAGTTCCTATTAAAACCAAGAATGACTGCTTTAGCACACTCAAATGAAATGTGTAGCCTTACGTCTTCAAGGCTGCTTGACTTTTACCTGTATGTATTTCAGACCAGTGCCAAGATTCAGAAACCCGAACATTTTATCAAATTGGAGACTCATGGGAGAAGTATGTGCATGGCGTCAGGTACCAGTGCTACTGCTATGGCCGTGGCATCGGGGAATGGCACTGCCAACCTTTACAGTCCTATCCAGGTGAGTAGCTCCGTTACTGCAAAGTGAGAACTGTAGGCTGGGTTATAAACGCAGGGCAGCCCTGGCCGGTTTGGCTCAGCGGTTAGAGCATTGGCCTGTGGTCCAGAGAGACCCGGGTTCGGTCCCTGTTAGGGGCGCGTGTCTCGGTTGCAGTTTGTCCCCGGCCCTGGTTGGTCATGCGGGTGGCAGCCACTCGATGTGTCCCTTTCACGTCAGTGTTTCTTCTCTCTCTCTTCCTCTCTCTCTCTCCCATTCTGTTTGAACAAAAAATGGTAAAATGTCCCCGGGTGAGGCTAAAAAAAATAAAAAAATAAAAATAAAAACAAGGCAGCCTCAGTGTATAATACTCCGATGCCTAAGTTAAAATCACCTTCCTTTCCCATCCTTTTCTTATATCGCTAACAATCAGTTGAGTTTTTGACTGAAATGATTTTCTTTCTCCCGTCAAGGGAAAGGTGTGGAAAGCTGTGACAATGAGCCTGAATGCAATTTGCTCCTCAGTCCTGGCCGATTTCCTCTCTCACCCAAACGCGGGAATAGAAACCGTGAAGGGGGCGGGGCTGAGAGTGGGGGTTAAAGGTTTATGTTGTGGTTCTTAACAGAGAAGTTGTATAGAGAAATGCATGAAACACAATGTAGGGTATGTGTTCATTCTTCTTTCCGTCTAGGCTTTTGGTCAGAATTGTCATTTGTTTGACCAGTTGGAGTGTGGAGCAAAGTACCCTGGGTCAAGGGTTGAGTAACACGGTCAATTCTCCACCCACACAGTTCAAATACTCTCAAGTGTTTGTTGCTGGGTTGTTGTTTTTTCAGGTCACAGGACATTAGTAAAATGAATTAACAATGGTTTTATTAATTCATTTAAGGAAAAAATTGAATTTTGTTTCCACGGAATGATTAATTATAACAATGTGTTGAATTATGAAAGCCTAATTTTTGTTTGAGCAACTACTGAAGTGCAAAGCTTCCTCCTCTTAGACCTCTGGACCTCTGTCAACTTCAGATTTAAAACATGGCCTACATTCAGAAATAGAGAGAGAGAGATCTCCAGGGCCTCAGAATGTGTCTGTGACAGAAATGAAGGTTATGTTAACTGAGTCCCTCCGTGATGTGATAAGAAACTCACTACTTTGGACAATAACATGAAACAATCCAATCAAAGGCAATGTTCACCAGGCATGGGTCCCAGCTCTCTCTAAGCTTCTAAAGAGACAAATGTCAAGCTTCACTCATTATTTCATTGTCTGTAAAATGGGGTGATTGTAGCTGATTACCCTTAAAGTTCCTTCCAACACTGATAGACTAATGTTCTGTGATCCTAAATACCACCCACTGAGATGCATCTTCCCATGACCTTGGAGGAGATCCTGCTCTCCCCAGGCCTTAGACACTGCCAGGGCTGCCAAGGTGACTTTGCTTTAGGCAGGCTCATAGCACAGGTTGACCTGGCTCTGAATTGTATTTCATGGTGAATTTGGGTATAAGACTCATTAAGAAAATTTTTCTTTAAAAATTTTTAAACATATAGCTGCAGCAATACCATAGGTTCAAGAAGTATAATTGGGTTTTCTTTTCTTTAATTATGCAGTCAAAGGGTAGAAAGTTCTACATGACAAGGCTCTCAAGTTTCTGTGTTTATGGCTGTTATTGGTGTGGTGTGCAATCTGTTGAAAGTCATTTCATCCTCAATGATTTTGAGGGAACTTTTTCTGCCCTTTGAAATAAGCTTGTTCTCTAAGCTGCTTGGCTGGAAAACATTTCGGTGGACCTGTCAGAGAGGAAGCTTAGATGGCAAGGAGTCCTTCTGTGTTGGTTGGAGTCTTACGTGTCGACCTTGTTCCTACTCTTTAAAAAGGGTAACAGTCCAGCCCAATGAGCATAGAAGAGACTTAGGGGACGGGGACTGGCGTTTCCCCTCAGTACACAGCTTATCTGGATGTTGAGTTTGCTCAGGGATCTGCATCTTGTATGTGGGCCTCTGGGCATGTGGGAAGAATATAGGAACCACAGGTGACTGATAGATGGTCTCTGAGCCTTGCCCCTCTACTCCTCCAGCAGAGGACTTGTTGAGTTGTTCAAACTAACAGAAGATAAGAGGTAGTTGGTGTGTCAATAAACAACTAGGAGGGCACAGATCTCAGCAAACTAAATAAAAAAAAAAGGGACTAAGTTGCAAGCCCATAAATGTTTAACTTCTCCAGGGTCACCATTACTGCTAATTATTCATTTTGACCTTATTTTAAACTGGTTTTTAAAGTTGAGACTTGCATCATATCTTCACTTCACTATTTTATTGCTAGCCTGATCATATTGAGTAAGAGAGAGAATATAGTTTTTGAAATGGTAATTGTTCTGTTTGGTTATTTTAAAAGTTTTACCAACGAACCGGCTTTGAAAGGATTATCAAGATTTTAAATCTAAGTAATGTCAGTGATGTCGGAATTCTCAGACTTTCCATTTTCCAATCATATGTAGAATAAGGTCGAGTATAGTCATAATTGAAATTTAGGTAACCTTACACATAATGGGCACATTCTCTTTACTTCCTGAACAAGAAATGCATGACATCTCCTTTGCTGGTCAGGGCAGTTCCCTGAAGGTGAGCTGTGGCATAAGCCTAACATCAAAAACATAGAATTTCAAGCCAGTGCTTGAAGTTCTAGAAAGAAAAGAAACTTTTATAGGTTTGCTCCATCACTGAGGGTAATATCAGTAGGTCACCCGTTTCTTTTCACTCCCTTCTCCTTTAGTGACCTCCTGGTGGACAGAGGAGCATGGGTGGGCGTGAAGGAGGGCAGTGCAGGTGCTGCCTTTCTACAACTTTATAGACACTGAACCATCACACACTTTTTAAAATTAAAGACTATTCTTTAGGGTAGTGATAGGTTCACACCAAAACTGAAAGGAAGATTTCCCTTATACTCCCTGCCTCCAACACAGGATAGCCTATGATCAATAGCCCCACCAGGATGGTACATTTGCTCCGATCGATGGACTTACATGGGCATGTCATTGTCACCCAAAGTCCATGGTTCACGTTAGGGATCATTCTTGGGGTTATATATACTATAATTAACTTTCTCCCCCTCAGAATCCTGGTTGCCATCTAAGTAAAACACATGTCAGGTGTCTCTTCATCTGAGGAAATATAGTAGGATTTCTATAAAGAATCAATATTTAAACAGCCTTATGCCAATTGTAAATAATTTAAGGTCACGCCATTCCTATATGCACTGATTTCTCTGGAAGCAGTTCTTTAAATTGTCAAATCCCTAAAATTTTGCTTCAGTATTTATCTTTCAAAACTTACTTACATCTGTGAGACTCTTCTTGAATAGAAAAGGTGACTCAGCAAAAGACATGGTATTGACTTCTGCCAGTTGATTAGAACAAACACCCTGGCACATTCTGGGAAATACATACCACTTTAGGACGGAAAACTGGGAATTTCGTACATGAGCTTTGGAATTCATGGGGCTTAGAAATACTTGCATTAAATGAACTTAAGATTCAAAAAAATATGTTAGTCTTCAATCAACTTTGAATTATTCCCAGTGTGAAAGTGAATATATTATTCTAGAACTTTTGTGTCCACACAGATTTGCAAGTTATATATTTTTTCTGCTAAAGAAAACTTTATTTTCAAAGAGAATTTATCAGAAAAGATAATAAATATATCATTTTCTAAGAGCTTTCAGAAAACCTAAATCTGTTAATCTGGTGAAATAGTATATTAAACATAAAAATGTTGCTCTGTTTGGGAGAGTGGCTATTACAAATTCTTGAAAAGGTTATTATAAGGAACTTTATTTTTATTTCTAATAACTTGAATATTGATTGACGTAAAAAAACAGTGTTTAGAAAAAAGGTAGTGTTCTGTTCTGTTAGCATAAGCTATTTCATTATTACCCTCAATTGAGTCTACACTGTTAAGAAATTAATTCTACTTTCCTTATTTTGCTTTAAAAAAAGAACTAAAACCATACTTTAAATAAATGTGAAAATACTGAATTTCGTGTATCCTACAAAATGTTAATTCATTTGATAGCTGCTTAGAAAAAATTTTTCTCCTAATAATTTGACCAAAGAATAGTATAATTTTAGAGTATAATTATTGCATAAAAGTAAAATAACATGTTTTTTCCAAAATGATAAGATGCTTACACTGATGAGAAATAAAACTGTCTCTCAGGAGTACTTCTGTCCGTTTGTCTAAGCGTCCACCCGATTTAGAAATGTGTTTGTTTTACCTTGCGACACGTGGCCTTTGGAATGTTCTTAGGTGGCAGACCCATCCTCAGTGGACGCTTCCACAAACCAGAATTTGCTGCAAGGAAGCTAAATATAATCAATAAATGAAAATTTTAGTCTGTATTCCATTATTTGTGTTAAATAATTGCACAAATTTTCTTATAATTCTTTGAAATGGAGAAGAAAGCAAGCTAAGAGAGACATTTAAATATATATATACACACACACACGTATATGTATATACATATATTTGATATAAAAAGTTTTATTCTCAGTTTTCATGAGAAACGATTATTTATCAGCTGAAAAGGATTTGTTGCACTGATGTCAAATGTCAACATGTGAAAGCTTGATTCCAGATCATTCTAATTACATTCACATTTACTGAGAAGCAAAACAGTTTTTAACGATGGCCGTCCACGTGCACTGGATTTTCAGTTGAAGTGAACGATCGCCCAAGGTCACCAAATCTCACATTTTCATTTTCAGGCGCCTCTGGCCCTGTCCAGGTGATCATCACTGAGACCCCCAGCCACCCCAACTCTCACCCCATCCAGTGGAATGCACCCGAACCATCTCACATTTCCAAGTACATCCTCAGATGGAAACCAGTGAGTATGCCCCCCAGAAACTCGGACACTGAGTTTCCTGAAATTAACCAATTCTGAAATTATTTTTTCAATGTTTGAGCCCAATAGATCTGATGAACTAGCCATGTAACATTTATATTTACTTGGTGACAAAATCGTATGTGATCAATCAGTTGACATACAGATATAGCTTTTTTGGTATTTAGGAAAAACTTCATTTGTTAAATTAGAAAGATCTTCTTTAGCAAGGATTTAGAGCTGAGAATACTTAAAATTATTCTTCTCCAGTATGGGAAGAGAGTCTAAAGTCCTCATGTTTTATAGGTGCACCAAAGAAAAATAAATTATTGGTATCATTTTCATCATTTGGGAAAAAACAGCTAAGTTAATATCTTTCTCTTTTGGCTTACTTTCTAAGTGATCATTTCTTAAAATCTGACTTGATCCTCTGAAGTTGTTTAGATAGGAGGGAAAGAAATGTTGAGAGAAGAGTATAGATGAATGAAATCTGTAATTTGTTAGTCAGAAATGGTCTAGAAATTGAAGAATCATAGTTAAGAGGATGTCGTTCCACCAAGCTTGAGTTTCTCTTACCCTCTCAAATATGTCCTGCTATGGTGTCAAAATTCACGACTCATAATTTGAGAAACACTATTTTAGACACAGGAGGAAAATGTCCATTTCTAATCACAACTATTGAATTCTAGCAATTAAAAAATATGAAACCATTTGACCAACTCATGCGGTTGTATTTAAACTTGACAGAAAAAATTCAAACTGTTGTAATCAGTCTTTTTCTTCTTTTACCCTCTTTGTGATGTCCATACTACATTCAATAGCCATTTGTAGAACTTCATATCTAATGATGTTAGTCAATGTATTTTTCTTTCTAATACCTTCTTGTCTCTCATCTTTTCATTTCATCACCAATTTTATTTACTTTAAACTTAACTGTGGGGTATTTGTGAGACCACTGTAATAAGAGTCATTTACAGGTAGGTATAAAATGTACATTAAATTGGGAAGTTTTCAAAGAGTGACAGTAATTAATTTCTTTTAGATTTTTAACAATTAAAAAAATTCCAGGTTTGCGGACATATCTGACCTGGGTCTCTTCTCCCATTCCAATGACATGGTGTCGTTTACAACTTATATCTACAATTTATAATGTTTACAAGTATTAAATTTTCATCCACTCTCAAAATTTTCTTCCCAGGTTTTTCTTTAATGTGTATCACCTAAGAGTTTATTTTCTAGTAATTTCTTCTGATAGCTAACCAAAAAAGTTCACATTGAATAAAAGGTTTATGCCCAGTTGGTGTGGCTCAGTGGTTGAGCATCAGCTCACGCACCAAGAGGGTTGCCAGTTTGATTTCTGGTCAGGACACATGCCCAGGTTGTGGGCCCAATCCCCAGTGGGGGGGCATGCAGATGGCAGCCAGTTGATGTTCTTTCTCATTGATATTTCTATCTCTCTCTCCCTCTCCCTTCCTCTCTCTCTAAAATCAATAAAGAAAAAAAATTTTAAAAAAACAAAACGGTTTACTACAAAATCTGAGCTAATTGTAGTGATTAATTTCAGTTTTTTTCCACAGTGTATTTGAGTTAAAATTTAAATTTAAAATGTACTAACATCATTTTCATTTATTTTCAAAATATACATGGACATCTAAGTATTTGCATTATTGAAGAACTAGGTGATTGGATAAGTTAAAACAATCACTTGCATTAAAAATGTATTTTGACTTACATTAGTCTAGAATATTTACAACTTAAAAGGATCTCATCATGTCTGAAGTAAGGGTATTTCTCTTCCATACATTTTATTGCCATGAGTTTTGTGATCTGTGGCATATTAATAAAGTTGAACAGGATGCGAAATGTCAACTGGAGGCAAAGATTAAATAAACCCAAATCACATTCTTCTGCAGTCCTGCCCAAAGCTGGCTAACCACTTCTGATGGATAGTTTATATCCAAGAATGAGTCATCACATAAATGAACCATGTACACGACGGCTCCAGGAACTGACTCATGAAGCAATATCATGTCCTTGAATTTCTGCAAGGAAAGAAGCTTAATTGTATTCCACCAAGAGGAAAATAGAATAAATGGCTTTCCCCATTTCAGGGAGGAATATGTATCTGTGAATAGTAGAAAAGAGTTGGGAGAGGCAAAACTTGGCTTCATCCTATTATGTTGATGATATTCAGTAGTTAATCTGGTGAAAAGGAAGGTGCTTAGTGCCCGTTGACTATGTCACAAAATGCTCTGTTTCTGCACCTGTAAAATGAGGACAGCAACACCATTAATTTGAAGGAGGAGAATTGAAGATTAAATGGAAGAATGCAAGTAAAACAGCACAGAACTTGGTATATAATCAACAATCAATAAATATTAACTGCAAAAATAATTATGCTTATTTTTTTCTTTATTGATTTTAGAGAGAGAAAGGGAGAGAGAGTGAGAGATAGAAACATCAATGAGAGAGAACATCGATCAGCTGCCTCCTGCATGCCCCCCACTGGGGATTGGGCCCACAACCTGGGCATGTGCCCTGACCGGGAATCAAACCAGCGACCTCTTGGTGCATGAGTCCACGCTCAACCACTGAGCCACACCAGCCGAGCAATTTTCCTTAATTTTAATAAACTCTGCCATAGGTCCATATTCTGATTCCAATTTTCCTCCATAATGGAGATATGAAGGTCCCTTATTCTTTGAAGGTTATGCCACATCACCTCCGAATGTTCTTATGAATATTTGTGTGTTTTTTTGTGTTTTTTTTTTTTTCATTTAAATTTTTAGAAAAATTCTCCTGGCCGTTGGAAGGAAGCCACCATTCCAGGCCACTTAAACTCATACACCATTAAAGGCCTGAGACCAAATGTGGTGTATGAGGGACAGCTCATAAGTGTCCAGCAGTACGGCCACAAAGAAGTGACCCGCTTTGACTTCACCACCACCAGCACGAGCTCACCCGTGACCAGTACGTACCCCAGCCGTCCTGTCTGTGCCCCGCTTCTCAGACTTGGGCTCTCTTCGTGCACCGCTTTCCCTGGTTCATATTCATCCGTGGATGACACCCCCATTTGATAAAAAAAATTATACCCTACAGATGATAGATTTTCCTGATGGCTGAAGTCTCTCTTTCCCCTTCCTGTGACTCTCTAGGCAACACTGTGACGGGAGAGACAACACCCATTCCGCCCGTTGTGGCCACTTCTGAATCGGTGACTGAGATCACGGCCAGCAGCTTTGTGGTCTCGTGGGTCTCTGCTTCGGACACCGTGTCAGGGTTCCGTGTGGAGTACGAGCTGAGTGAAGAGGGCGATGAGCCACAGTACCTCGGTGAGCTCGCGTGGGGCTGGCGGGTTCCGGGCGGCTGGGGGACTGCTCGGGAAGGCGCCCGGCAGGTGCTGGGTGAGCCCCGGAGCCCCTGGAGAGCTCTGAACCTCCTTCCAGGGCGAGGCAGGGAAATGACTGGCCCGCCTGGGACTGAGCTGGGCTTTTCCCGAGCTACGTTTCCCTGGTCCCTGGTGTGAGCTGCATCATGCGTGTGCTGGGGCACCGATTGGCAGTATGAAGACTGCAGTAGAAAATGTTAGCTTTTGGGGGTGCACAGTACCCTCCTTTGTGCTTTTCAAAGTCTGATGTTTAGGGGCCTTTTAAAAATTTGATTGTAGCCATGGCCGGTTTGGCTCAGCAGTTGGAACGTCGGCCCACAGACCAGAGAGTCCCGGGTTGGGTTCCCGCTAAGGGCACGTACCTCGGTTGCAGTTTGTCCCCAGCCCCAGTTGGGGTCGTGTGGGTGGCGGCCACTCAAGTTGTCTCTCTCGCATCGATGTTTGTCTCTCTCTTCCGTCCTCTCTCCCTCCTGTTCTATCTCAAAATAAATGCAAAAATGTCCTTGGGTGAGGATAAAAAATAAAATTTGATTGTAGAATAATCTACACACTATAAAGTACACCGATCATAAACATAGAGCTCAATAAATTTTCAGAAAGTGAATGCACCCACCTGACTGCACCCAGATCAAGAAAAAGAACATCCCTCCTACCTCGCTTCCCATCATCCCTTGGCCATAACCACTACTCTGACTTCCAATTATTTTGTTTACAATGAACTCTGTAAAAACGATGTTTACAAGAGGACTACGGTTGTGAATTTAGGGGTGGATTATAGAAAGTATGCATCTTTAGAGAACAAATTTGACAAATGAAAAAAATAGGAAAAAAATTACCCCATTGCACATTGATGATGATTGAGTATCCATGAGTATATTTCCTTCTGGTCTCCCCCAACCCCCATGAATATATAGTTTTTTAAATATCCTTGTCATAGGCTGGGACATCATTTGAGGGACTGGTATTCTGAATTAGTAACCTTTCCTTTTTATTTCAAAGATCTTCCAAGCACGGCCACTTCTGTGAACATCCCTGACCTGCTGCCTGGCCGGAAATACATTGTGAATGTCTATCAGATATCTGAGGAAGGGGAGCAGAGCTTGATCCTATCTACTTCACAGACAACAGGTACGTGCGTACCACCTGGTGTCAAAATAATCTCTCTCTCTTTTTTTTTTTTTTGGTAAAAAAAGACCTATGGCCATCTCTTCTGACTGTTTTCCTTGTTTCTCCCTTTTATTCTTTGTTAGCACCCGATGCCCCTCCTGATCCTACCGTGGATCAAGTTGATGACACCTCCATTGTCGTGCGCTGGAGCCGACCCCAGGCACCCATCACAGGTCAGCCTGGCTTCCTCTCCTCGGCTGCTGCGGTAGTGTTGATAGCATGAGACAGAGGTAGTGTTGATAGCATGAGGCAGAGGTAGTGTTGATAGCATGAGGCAGAGGTAGTGTTGGTAGCATGAGGCAGAGGTAGTGTTGATAGCATGAGACAGAGGTAGTGTTGATAGCATAAGGCAGAGGCAGTGTTGATAGCATGAGGCAGAGGTAGTGTTGATAGCATGAGGCAGAGGTAGTGTTGCTAGCATGAGGCAGAGGTAGTGTTGATAGCATGAGGCAGAGGTAGTGTTGATAGCATAAGGCAGAGGTGAGGGAGCAGATCCTGACCTGAGGACCGAAGCATCACGTTCATCTCCCACATAATTGCTGGTCTAGGGTAGGGGGTGTGTGTGTGTGTGTGTGTATGTGTGTAATATTAATCAAGAATGCAATTATTTTCCAGTCTTATAGTTCTACTTTCTTAGGGACCATTTTCCCCTCAGATCCGTTGTATCAACCTCCACACGCTCAAACACGCACCACACCTCTAAAGCCGGTTGACTGATTTATGAAATCAGGCGTTCCCGTGGTAGAAGGGGGTAATTTTTCTAAAAAGCTCACTCTCAGGCCTATACTGAGTGAGGCAGCTGAGCTGCCTTTGTACTTAGCTCATCTGGTGACTCCACTGTCTCTGAGCTCCTAACGACACACAGTGCCAGGCGACCCTGTGCTCAGGGTGGTCCCCCAATCGCGTCGATCACCCAGAGCTCGAAAGGAAGACGCAGTGTAGCAGGAATATTTATTTCCACCTCGTGGCTTCTCTCATAGACGTTTATTGAGGATCTCAGGTCTTCGCGAATGGTATTTATTGTTAAAGCGGTTTGCGTGGCTGTTCTTATCACTGTACTGAGTAGTCCTTAAAAGAATCAACTTTTCAAGCATCACTGCTTCTGAACTAACCAAACTTCATTTCTTTTTCCATGAACCTGCAGGATACAGAATCGTGTATGCACCCTCAGTAGAAGGTAGTAGCACAGAACTGAACCTTCCAGAAACCGCCAACTCTGTGACCCTCAGTGACCTGCAGCCTGGCGTCCAGTACAACATCACCATCTACGCCGTGGAAGAGAACCAGGAAAGCACCCCAGTGTTCATCCAGCAAGAAACCACCGGCGTCCCTCGCCCCGGTAACCAAAGCACCTGCTCTGCTCTCGTCTCTCGGGGCTTCAGCAGGGAACAGTTTAACCTTCCTGTGGGTGGAGCAGTGATGTTCAGCCTTTCCCAGCGCACAGCACATAGAAACTACTGCAATTCTGCAGCACATTAAAAAAAAAAGTATTTTGCTTTGCCAATCTGACAAAAAAATAAATAGGTACAATTTTGATTCATTCACGCCTGACAGCTATTGTTGTGTTGGCTGGTGTCATTTTTTTATGTGACAATCTTAGAGAAGAAGAGGTCAGTGCCCCCGACTAAATAGTCAGGTGTTGCAGGCTTTAAAGTCCTTGCGGCATGCCGGTTGAAAATCGCTGTTTTAGAGGAGCGGAACCATCCTTGAATTGTGTTCATTCTGTTCACCTGCTTGGGAGGACCTGCACTGTAAGAAGAAAGAATAATTGTCCCTGTGGGAGGGTTGTTTTATCTCTGTCAACAGTTCCTATATTCTAGTAATCTTATAGATTAGTGTATCCGTAAATGTATGAAATTTGACCGAAATGTCCTCATTATAAAATAACGTCAAAGCTGGCTGTTGGCTTTCCTGATTAAAAACTGACACCATAAAATCTTCATGTTTTTTTCCCTAGAAACCTAAGAGCATCCGCTCATCTATGGCTTTTAAGTATTATAAAACGATTCAGTGAAATGAAAATTACCACATATTTTTCTGTCTCAATGAGTTTTATTGTTATTTTTTGTATGTTCATTTTAAACCCCTTAGTAAGAGCCTTCATATATCGGAACCTCATTTGCTTACCTGCATACTTTAAATAAGACCTTCAAATGTCATATGTAAGCAGCATGACTGAACCAGAAAATATAAGCAGAAAAAGCATATTCTCTGGTTAAGAGACGAAGCTTAGCGTTGCTCTGGAATGAGAGGCCCTATTAGTCCATTGCTTTTATGCAGCTCAGGAAACTGGCTTTCTAAAATAATCTTCAGCTGGAACTGTGAATGACCAGTTGGCTCTTGTCTGTCAGATAAAGTTCCCCCGCCGCGGGATCTGCAGTTCGTGGAAGTGACAGACGTGAAGGTCACCATCATGTGGACACCCCCTGACAGTGCAGTGACCGGTTACCGTGTGGACGTGATCCCCGTCAACCTGCCCGGAGAGCACGGACAGAGGCTGCCCGTGAGCAGGAACACCTTCGCAGAGGTCATGGGGCTGACCCCTGGGGTCACTTACCACTTCAAGATCTTTGCCGTGAACCACGGGAGGGAGAGCAAGCCTCTGATAGGAGAACAGACAACCAGTAAGTCCTGCTCCCAACCTTACTCCACCCTCCCTGCCAACCTGGGACACAACACACCATTTAATCCCAGGTCTGCAGCTAGAAAAAGGGAAATGTTCGGCCAGTGAGGGGCAGTGTAGAGGACATAAAGCACAGTAAACTCGAAAACAAAGCTCGTTAAATGGTAATCCATCTCCCAAATACAGTGAAATGGCACCTCAGAGGGATATTTAAGAGAACCTACTTTGCTTCGCTAATGGAGGCATGGATTGAAAGTTTGAGTGCATTTTTGTGTAAATAAATATATCTAGATCAAACTCCAGATGTAATCTCCTAAGACTTTTTAGTAGATATTTTTACAAATAATATCTAGGAGTCTGTTTTTTAGATTCCACACATGAGTGAAATCATCTGGCATTTGTCTTTCCTGTCTGACTTGTTTCACTTAGCACAATAACTTCTAGGTCCATCCACATTGTTCAGAGATTTCACTGTTGCAAGATTTTATTCTTTTTTTTATAGCTAAGTCATATTCCATCATATATATGTACCACTTCTGGATCCATTCATCTTTTTTTTTTTTTTTTTTTTTTTATCCTCACCAGAGGATATTTTTCCATTTTTTGTACAGATAGAGTGGGAGGGAGAGAGAGGAAGGGAGAGAGAGAGAAACATCGATGTGAAGGGACACATCGAGTGGCTGCCACCCGCACGACCAACCAGGGCCGGGGACAAACTGCAACCGAAGCACGTGCCCTTAGCGGGAACCGAACCCGGGTCTCTCCGGACCGCAGGCCGATGCTCTAACCGCTGAGCCAAACTGGCCAGGGCCCATTCATCTTTTGATGGACACTTAGGTTGCTTCCATGTCTTGGCTATTGTAAATATTGCCGGAGGGAACGTATGTTGCAGTCTTTTTGATTTAGTGTGTTGGGTTTCTTCAAATTAATACCCAGTAATTGCTAAAACATTTAGTGCTTTTAGGCATCAGGTCCTCTGCTCAGTTCTTTATAAGCATTATTATTGTATTAGTGCAAACTCACCAGTATCCTACCATGATTCTGAAGTTCTGAGTATATGTTATAATTCCTGTCTAATCAGAATCCTGTGAAAATTACTTTTATTTCTCCATCAAAGGATTAGTCATTGAGTAAATGCAGAACATACTGTTTTTGTTCCAGGTGGACCCTTCTTCTTGCCCTCATTTTACTGGGCTTATTCCTCTTTTCTTGTTTGGCTCAGCAGAGTAAATTGTGGTGTTTACAAGTTTTTGTGTGTTTCTTTGTAATGCCATCTCTATAATGTGAGTATCATTCCGGAGGGTAATGAGAAAGTCATACTGGAAAATTAGACTTTCCACAGAATCATAGCCAAGCAAAAAAGGTCAGCAATTTCTCTCGACTGACACTGAGTTTTGCAAAGTTCTATGTAGCACTCAATCTCTTAATGGCTTAATATTTCCAAGGTTTTGACTTATACTGTTTCAGTCTTAAGAAAACTAGAAAATTCAAACTGGAGAATTTCACTATGCTAATTACTGAGGTTCGGATATGTTTTGACGTGTTGTGTCATTTTTTCCAGAATTGGATGCTCCCACTAACCTACAGTTTTTGAATGAAACCGACTCGACTGTCATAGTGACCTGGACGCCACCTAGGGCCCGGATAGCTGGGTACCGGCTGACCGTGGGCCTGACACGGGGAGGCCAGCCCAAGCAGTACAACGTGGGGCCCTCCGCCTCCCAGTACCCCCTGAGGAATCTGCAGCCCGGGTCCGAGTACACCGCAACCCTCGTGGCTGTAAAAGGCAACCAGCAGAGCCCCAAAGCCACTGGAGTCTTCACTACACGTGAGCCCGAGTTCAATGTCTTTTCTTAGCAACGCATCCTTCGCACCTATAGTTACATTCTCTTCTTCATTCATTTAAAAGAAAAAATTAACTTAAAAACTTAGTACAGGATTTACATAAGAAATTAATTAAGGCCCTGGCTGGTTTGGCTCAGCGGCTGGAGCGTTGGCCTGTGGACCAGAGAGTCCTGGGTTCGGTTCCTACTAGGGGCACGTACCAAAAAAAAAAAAGAAAGAAAAGAAAGAAATTAAGAACCGTTTCCTAAAGATTGAAAGCAGTGCTACTCATAGTGCGGGTCTATGAACTGTTTGTTTCTGGACAGTAAGGAGCTTGTGCCAGAATGTAAATCGTGACGTACACTGTTGAGTCCAGTTGATCATTTTGTGAAGCAAAATTTTCCTTTGTTTTGCTTTTAATCTTCACCTGAGGATAATTTTCCATTTATCTTCAGATAGAGCAGGAGGGAGGGAGAGAGGAAGAGAGAGACATTGATGTGAGAAAGACACATATCAACTGGTTGCCTCCTGCAGGACCCCCACCGGGGCCAGGGACAGGGACAAACCGCAACCGAAGGTATGTGCCCTTGGCCGTAATTGAACCTGGGACTCTTTGATCCGCGGGCCAGTGCTCTACCCACTGAACCAAACCGGCCAGGGCAGAAGCAAAATTTTCTTAACGAAAAAAAGCAGTTCGTTGAATCACATTATGTTGCCAGGCTCCTTATTTGCTCCGGGACTTGGAGTAGCACGGTTTAAAGTACCCTGTTATTTGAAACTTGAATCCTGTCGTGGTCCATGATTTTGCCGAACACTAGTTAAGGCAAGAGGGAACCAGCACCTGTGTCTGCATTCTAGTACCTGGGTATCGAGTGACAGCAGTGCGAGGACAGAAGCACCTGCTGATGGGCAGACACAGAGCAGGAAGCTAAGGAAAGGAGTTCTTTACAGGTGCTGCGTGCAGCAGGTCAGTACTTCTACAGAACAGAACAGCGTTTACAAACCAATTTACTCCTTCTGAAATATCTCTTGAAATTCCACAGAAGGAAAAATACTGGCAGTAGTTTTTGGTCATGTTTGTCCTTTTGCTCAACATTTTATGGGAAGTGACCTTAAGTCTCTTACATATCCACATCACAGTAACAGCCCATCTTCATAAACTGACGTCTCTAAGCACGTTTACAAAGAATTATAAGAGCCCTTATTTCCAGCTGAGCATTATGTATTTTTTACTTGACATTTCTAATTATAGGAACACCCAACATAACACTTATTTTTTTAGCGCATATATATATATGCAACTATGAACTTATTTGCAATTTTCTAAATGTTTTCAACACATCTTACTCTTTGACTAAAAATATAGATGTTAGTTAAAAAGCATTCAAAAAGTGAATATAAGCTTAGTTCAAAAACAACTATGGAATTTATTTCCCAAAGAAACTGTTTATAAATTTTTTCCTATAAGAATTTATACTTGACCAAAAATTTACTTCCATTTAAATTTGGTGTATGGAGTTTGGCTCGTGAAGGCTTCCTCTTAAGGAATTGCTGTTCATCAGCTAGTAAATTCTGCTTTTTATTTGTAAGTTTGCCTTAAAATTTTGCTATTTTATGTTACATGTTACTAAGCTACTCTAAAATCTATTAACATGAAATCAATGTCTTTGTACTTCTTGTAAATATAGATTTCTTACAGAGGTCCTTTACTGCATTAGAATAAAGATCTCGGTAGTTACAGTCTTTTACTGACTACACATAATTCTACATTTATATAAACATATAAATAAAATATCTAAATGTAGAATTTTATAGTTATTTTTTTGACTCCAACATAAGATATATTTTATGTAGTCTCTTTTGTTGGATAGATTGCCTATAAGGGAAAAAGAACTTTTAATGATACTACAATAATTTAGTGAAGTGAGAGGGGCTTTTTCAAGTACTTTGGGAGACTTTGATAGAGGGGATATATTACTTTATGCTCTGTACAATACATTTACATAAAATATGACGATATTTGAATTAAAGTGCTGATAGTCAAAGCTAACTAGTTAGAGGTCACCATAGTGCCTTGTACAAAGCACATTCCAAAAGTATATTTAATAGCCCGGCCGGTGTGGCTCAGTGGTTGAGCATTGACCATGCACCAAGAGGTCACCGGTTCGATTCCCAGTCAGGGCACATGCCCAGGATGTGGGCCTGATCCCCAGTGGGGGGCGTGCAGGAGGTGGCCAGTCAGTGTTCTCTCTCATCGATGTTTCTATCTCTCTCTCCCTCTCCCTTCCTCTCTCTGAAATCAATAAAGGAATATATATATATATATATATATTTAATAGATGGTTGACTGAGGAAAGGGTGGCGATGAAAACGGCCCAGCCAAGCTTAGCTGTAAATACACCCACGTAAGCAGGGAGCTCCCAACCTTTGTAGAACTTCCTGCGCTCTCGGAGGCTGTAAACATGAGCAGGGCTTCCATATTTTTGAAATTGCTTTAAATTTCTGTAGCTCTTTACTGTCTTACTAGACTGTTCTGGGAATCCCTTTGCTGGGCTTTAGAGCTCCTGCTAAAATCTTAGGAGCGACTGTGGGGTTCAGGGGAGGTGAATTTCTAGGGGAAATTCAGTTTACTCCTTTGTAAATCAGGTAGATTTTTATTTCTTTAGCAGCCAGGCTGTTCTTCACTGAACAAGACCTGCCAGAACCATGGCTCATACGTACAGTCACATCCTTTGTTTGACATCAGTTTGTGGGTTTGTGGTTTGGAGAGTTGCCCGTAATGGTCTTCCCAGGCCGAGAGCATCTTCTCCAGCTTGAGAAGATTCTGGCTGGCGGGCTCAGGCAAAAGAAACATCCAGTCTTAAAGTCCCCGACTGTTGAGAGGAATATAATTTGAAAAACTTGTGGCTTTCACAGATGTTCAGTGAAAGAAGCTGACTGTCTACTGAATCATTTCTTGTGGCCATTTACCTAGTCCACAGGGCTGGCCATGGCATTTCGGCAGAGTCAGCAGCAGCTCAGTGATGTCAGATTGTAGAGACGTTGGAAAGGCACTACGGATCACCCACTCTAGTTCCTCCCCAAATGCCATCAAAATAATAACCTACTTAAGAAACAGCTTCCTGCCCTGGCCGGTTTGGCTCAGCGGTTAGAGCGCCCGCCTGCGGTCTGGAGAGACCCGGGTTCGGTTCCCGCTAAGGGCATGTACCTTGGTTGCAGTTTGTCCCCAGCCCTGGTTGGTCGTGCGGGTGGCAGCCACTCGATGTGTCCCTTTCACATCGATGTTTCTCTCTCTCTCTCTTCCTCTCTCTCCCTTCCACTCTGTCTGTACAAAAAATGGAAAAATGTCCTCGGGTGAGGATAAAAAAAAAAAAAAGAAACAGCTTCCTTACTATACGTGGTGAGCCTTTAGAACAGCCATCGCAAAGTGGCCCACACACAGATTTTATTTTTTTTCATACAATATTTTTAAAATACATATTTTTTAAACTTGCACATTAAAGGCCAGACTGAAAAAATTTAAAAAAAAAGAATTGCAATACTGAGTCTGAATTCCCACAAGTCAAAACAGTGGCCTGGAGCTGAATGGAGACTAGAGTCTTCAGACTTTCCTGTCCCTGTTCTTATACCTCTGGAGGGCACCAGCCATCCACAGTTTACTAGAAATGCACAGGATTTGGTTGGGAGGTAAAGAAGAAGCAACTGTGAAGGCCCCAAACATGTGACCAGGACCATCCACACACTTCACATCCTTGAATTTGACTCAGCCTACTCAGATGTCTTGGCTTCTGAGGTCTCACCTTTCCCATACCAGCCAGTTACTGAAATGCATATTCTCCTTATTACAAGATCTAGTTGTCCGGCCAATTGTCCGGCCAATTGTATTTTAGAAATCTAAATGTATAAAAAAAGCTGTGGAACTACTGAAAAAGTCTATCTTAACTTTCTGTATATCTCTTTTTCTTCTCCATTTTTTAAAAAAATATGTTTTTATTGATTTTTTTTTTAGAGAGAGAGGAAGGAAGAGAGATAGAAACATTGATGTGAGAGAGAAACATCAGTCAGCTGCCCCCTGCACGCCCCTACTGGGAATCAGGCCCACAACCTGGGTGTGTGCCCTGACCGAGAAGGGAACTGGGACCTCTCGGTCCATGGGGCCACACTCAATCCACTGAGCCACACCAGCTGGGCTTTTTCATTTTCTTAAAGTCATATTTTCACAAGGAGAAGAACAGTGGTGTCAGGATGCTAAAATAATTATGACAGAGTAAATTTCTGTCATAATTCCTGATTCCAGTGGCAGGCTATTAAAATTTCTGCAGTATTTTTATTCCGAAGGCTCACATATTTGAGAGAAAAACTCTTTAGAATTTATAAGTGTATCCATGCTGGCCAATTTTGTTTGACTTTCATATGGCATCCCTTATTGCAACCAAAAACAGTTGGCCACCATCACGAAGTAATACAGCATAAAGCTATGTTTAGATCACCATCCCCAAAATTAACCATTGTCCTCACATTAATGATGAAGAAGCAGAATGATAATTAGTTGGTAGTGACTAACACTATAGGGAATTTATTGTCATAAAACTTAAATCCCAACTATAATGAAAGGACATAAACCTGCACCATGGCCAGTTCTCAGATGATTTGGTAGCTCCGGAAAGACCGAGAAGACCTTACCTACTCCAAAGCCTCACCCAGTGAAGGGACATGTTGCATTCTGGATCCAGTAGCTGATCACACTGAGATTCTTGATAAAAATAGGCTCACTGTCTGCATTGTCTTCAACCGTCTGTGATTCCAAGGTTTTAACATGTGCATTGATCCCGCTCCACAGAGCAGCCCAGGGGCTCCATTCCGCCTTACAACACAGAGGTGACGGAGACCACCATTGTGATTACATGGACACCTGCTCCCAGGATTGGCTTCAAGGTAAAGCACAGATGTTCCTCATCTCTTGTGAGACATCCCTCAGGTGTCATGTTTCTGGAGGCAGTAGAAACGACATGTTCAAAATTCAGGAGATCCCAGTTTTATTAATTAATTTATTTTTGTTACAGATGTTTCTCCTTTTTACCCCCCAGACACCCTCCTCTTGATCCCACCCCTTCCCCCCAGCATTGTTGTCCATGTGCATTGGTTACGCATACATGCATATAAGTTCTGTGGTTTATCTCATGAGCTCCCCGTTTTGTCACCTGTTTCTGTTCGTACTGCTCTGACCACATTGTCAGGGTGTAACCATACTTCTGCCTCACTGAGCAGCGGGAAGGATAGACGGAGGCAGGGAAAGTGCTTTGCAAAGGATAAAACATTAGCACTGAGCTGTCCGTTGTTATCTTATTTTCTCTACCCTTTCCCCCAGGGAGCTACATTTAAAAATATAAAGAAAACTCCATCTGATGTGTTCCTCTAAATGGGTGTCAATAAGTTCATGGAAGCCCATTTAGGGAGACCAATTAAACTCGGAGTCACTTAAAAATCACATTTTTATCCGATCGCTTTCATATCAACTTGTTCAAAGCCCCCGTGGGTGAATCGCTTAATAGAAGTTAAGATGAAGGTCTTCCCCGTAGATATATAGATTCGTGTTCTTTAAAGTGGTTATATTAGGAGGAGTGATGAATACAAATGCATTGTTTAAAATAATTCTGTTTTTCAGCATTTAGTAGAGAGAAATCTTTATTGGAAATCAAGACGAAATCCCCGTGATAATTTGTTTAGAAAAATACGCCAAAGTTCTTCTTTGAGGTGTGCAAATGGTCATATTGATGATTAAGCTCCTTAGATGTAGAGAAGCCCGTTTTGAAGATTGCCAGCTTACCTTTTAAATTTCAGAAGCCTTATAGCATACAAAGGGTGTCTCTAGAGTTGAGCATCGATGACACAATGTTACTTAGGTTTTGGAAAGAAGTTCTTTAAGGATTTACAATTTGGGGCACACTCATATTAACTTTTCTTCCGTAACACTTGGTCCCGCAGTTGAAGCTATGAATGTACTTCTTCCAAAGGAGTGTTTTCACAGTACGAAGTGTTACAGGGGCTGGTGCCCTAAATGGCAACTAAGAGGTGAACTGAATGTTAATAATTCATCGAAGAGAGGGCTAGGGGATTCCTTCCAGTGAAAAGAAAATAGTCATGAACTGCCAGGTGGCCCCAAGCCCCTGTGTACTTACGGTTTGTACCAAGAGGTGATTTATTTAGCAAAATAGTCGGTGATGACATTTCCCTGGAACCTTTCATTACAGCCACCTTCGCCCAGTTTAGAGGACTCCCCCCCCCCCCCACCCCCGGTACAAAGACTTTCCAGAAGTATCCGACTGAGCTAAAGTGAGGCCCCGACTCGTTCCCCGATAAAAGCACACTGTGCTGTAGTTCCCGTTCTACGAAGTGTGACCACAGCCTGTGGGCAGTAACCCAGCTCTGGGAAGATTTGTCCTTGGTGTTTATTTTGCTTTTCCTCTTCCAGCTGGGGGTCCGACCGAGCCAGGGAGGGGAAGCCCCACGAGAAGTGACTTCAGACTCGGGCAGCATCGTTGTGTCTGGCCTGACGCCAGGCGTGGAATACGTGTACACAGTCACAGTCCTCAGAGATGGGCAGGAAAGGGACACGCCCATTGTAAACAGAGTGGTGACGCGTAAGAGGACTTCTTTGCGCTTTTTTTTTGTTTCCTTTAAGTTTTTAGAACTGTTTCACTTAAAAAAAAAAATAGCTGATATCAATATGACTTTTACCTATGATAACAGCACTGGGGAAAGATCTACCCCTACTTACACTGTTAGCTATTCCTACTTTGTAAGTAGCAAGTTCAAGCCATGTCCTGTCGTCCGTGGCACCAGCAGTGTTCTTTCCATGTCAAGAATATTTATGAACTGGCAAGATGGAAAGGATTTCAGTAGTATTGCAAAATCATTGATCTTAAAAAGAATTGTCGGAGAATTGCTGTCCACCATGATTTCATGGTACAACTTCTATATTTTTACTGAGTTTTTCAAAGAGAGGGGGAAAGGAAGGAAAGAGGATGTGAAGGGAGGGAAGAAGGGAGAGAGGGGCAGAGAGGGAGGAGGAAAGAAAGGAAGGAAGGAGGGAGGGTGGAAGGAAGGAAGGAAACATTGGGACAGAGGGGAGTCTTCCATAGGTCAAGTGTTTTGTGTTAGCTTTAACTTTCCATTTATAATTTTCTTTCCACACAGCGTTGTCTCCACCAACGAACCTGCACCTGGAGGCAAACCCCGAAACGGGAGTGCTTACAGTGTCCTGGGAAAGGAGCACCACCCCGGGTAAGCCTGCCGCGCACCCGGCACGCGTATGCGATACCTTTCCAAGGCAAGGCTTTTAGAAACTCCCTTTCAGAGAAATACAGGTTTAGAATGGAAGCAGCTGCCCCTCCATAAGAAACACAGGAGGACAAGAGTGTGCGTCGTAGAGTGATATGTAGAGTGTTTGCATGTTTATTTAAATCACAGGAGAGAGCAAGGCAGCTCCTCACCGAGCTGTGGGGTGTCATGGGGGTTGTGGGAAAGTATTCTGGAAGGTGGCCTTTGCCCATTGCCATTCAGAATTGCCAAAGAAATGGTTGAAATCATACTGCATAATTTTCCTTTTATGAGTTATCACAGATTCAAGTTTATTATTCATTGAACTTTCACAAATATTGTTATGAGTGGTTGCGACAAAAACCTAAGGATAATGAGAGGTAGAAATGATCCATTTTACAGAATGGAAAATCGAGGCGCAAAAAAAATTCACCTACCCACAATCCCAAATTGTAGATGTTATAGAAATGGGATTGTGCCCTGGCCGGTTTTGCTCAGTGGTTAGAGCATCAGCCCACAGACAAGGGTCGCAGATTTGATTCACAGTCAAGGGCACATACCTGGGTTGCAGGTTCAATCCCTGGTCCTGGTCAGGGTCATGTGGGAGGCAACCAATTGATGTGTCTCTCTCACATTGATGTTTCTCTCTTTCTCTCTCTTGCCCTCCCTTCCACTCTATCTAAAAAACATATATCCTTGGGAGAGGATTAACAAAAAAAAAAAAGAATTGGGATTATAACTAAAATTTTTTGGACTCTTTCTCACACCCAGGATCACATATTTGGAACTTAATTGTTTGTACTTATATCCAATACTGAGAAATTGCTTAAATGCAGTTCCATGACTATTTTTAAAGCTTTAAATGTAGCTTTTCTCTAAACTCATTGATCACACATACTGAAACTTATTCAAAAAATATTTAAAAATGCCTATAGCAATATTCAAGTGGTATGATGTACCATAACCATGACAGGAGAAATTTTAGGTATTCCTGACTTCTGCCAAGCCCATGTGAAAGTCTCTTTAAACGAGAAATGTTAACCAAAATGTAATTGTATTATTTAATATTGGGTATATTGGAAGAATCACTATTGAGATATAAGGATACTCATAATTGAGAAAAATCTAAACAAAAACAAATTCCAACTCATGTTGATTTCACCCATAACTGCTATAGTTCTTACTTTAAGGGCTGTATTTAGTTTAATATTTCACTAATTCTAATTTTACTGTGATTTTAAAAATAGTTCTTACCTTTGCTTAGGCACACAACTAAGAGAATTATCTCTAATTATCTGATCAAAGTGTGTAATCACAAAGACTAAAACTAGCTCAAAATATCCTTTTTAATTCTCCTCTGAAGTAGAGTGATTTAGGGGAAGTTTTCATTATCTGTGGAAACATTGTTTAAGCTAGTTATAGTATTTCCAGACAAATGTCTCTGAATTTATATGAAGTTGTTGAAAGCTAGGTCATTAATATTTAGTCTTAGTGGATGTCCTCGCCTATCTAGATGGTCAGTAACACGTGTAATGATCTCAGCATTTTTTCCCCATCGGCTTGGATTTCCTTCTCTATACTTTAGCTTTCACCCTTTTCTAATGACAAAATACGCCAACATTTCCTTGCCCTTCAGTAAGCTTAACTTGCACTTTCTCGTTTACTGCATCTGTCCCTGCAGATCTCTAGTCATCACTGTTTCATTCAAATCTCTCCTCGCCCTCAACCCTCTTACTGCCTAATTTCTATAATCCCTGAAATCTTCATCAATTACTATTCTTTCTCTAGAATAAACAGAACCACTTCCCCCCCATTTTTCCTCCTTTCCCACTTCTTCCTGTAAATCCCACAGGTTCAGAATGTGTATGTTAGGAGAACCGGCTTTGGGAATGTGGCTGGGGTGGAGGGCCAGTTACTACCAGGCAAGTGAAGTGGAATCTTCTCCAGGTGTCCTGCAGATGCTCCATTGGGAAATCAGGGCCCAGTGGTAGAGGATCATGGGATTTTGAGACAGAAAAGCCAATGGTGATCACTTCCCCATTCCAGGATTTTCTTTAAATCCAAGGTAGCGATCCCTGCTCCAAAGGGTTATTGTGATCACTAAAGACAGTAGAATCCTCAGTAAATGCCAAGTCCTTCCCCAGTCCCCTTGTGGGTTCATCTTTGGGGTCTGGTTTAAAGTGCTCTGGGTTGCAAGTCCCCCCTGCAGTAACGTCCTCCTTTCTGTATTCTGCAGACATCAGTGGTTATAGAATCACCACCACCCCAACGAATGGCCAGCAGGGATACGCTTTGGAAGAAGTGGTTCATGCAGATCAGAGTTCCTGTACTTTTGACAACCTGAGTCCCGGCCTGGAGTACAATGTCAGTGTTTACACTGTCAAAGATGACAAGGAAAGTGTCCCTATCTCTGATACCATCATCCCAGGTAATGGAAAAATAAGCTGTTATCCTCAGAGTGGCAGTATCAGTAAGAGTGGGGATTAACATCTGAATCCCCAGGTGGTCGAGTGTGTCAGATATAGTTGGGATTCAGTTCAGACCTCCCAGCCACACTCTTCACAACCACGAGGTCCAAGCACCTATTTGGACAAATGCTTGCTGTTAACCCTGCTCCTGTCTGCTTCACTGAGGTGCTGTCTGTGTGATGAGTATGTAATGGAGTGGCAGCCACGGCATTAACTCTGTCTGCTCACGTGGAAGTACTACTAAAACGGTCTCACGTGTCTGTCCTCGGTCCTGACAGGCTAAAAGTAACCTGGTAAATGCAGCCCGTCGGTACCCTGGTGCCTGGTTTCACAGTCCAGTTTTCATCTGCTGTCTATAAAATTGTACCTGTCTTTATATGTGAGCACTGAAGTGGCACTTGGTCAACACATCCGATTCTTCACCTTGCTGTTGGTTTCCAATCCTTCTTTTTTAAAATTGAAAAAGAAAGAAAGAAAATGAAGGACCACACCTACCTGCAGGGCATTCTTTCTCGTGGATTGAAACACAGCACTGGAAAGCCCTGTCCAGTTTGTCCAAAATGGGATTGTGACAGAATGAGAGTGGGCAGGTTTTGTCCCCCTCCGCGCATGTTGGTAGAACACGTTCAGTCCTGCGAACTGAATCATTCTGACCATAAGTTACCGAAATACTGGCGATGGCCTTGGACCCGGGCCTGTCTGTCTGCCACCTGAATGTGCTTTTAGATGGCACATTTCACTCCAGATTCATAATGTGTTAGCATTATGGCCATGTGTTGTCATGAGTTTTTTGTATGGGGGGAAAAAAAACAAAAAAACTCATCAACCAGTTTTTTTAAAAATCTTCATGCAAGCTTATTTTCCTACTATCAAAACATTGGATTAAACAAAACAAAACAAAACAAAAAACATGGCTGATACGACAGCTAGTATGTCTGGATCCCAGGAATGGTTTTGACATCCTAAACAGGCCTATAATTTTTAGGAGCCTGAGAGGTTCACACTGAACTGTTTAGAGACATTTTCAAAATGCATGAGGGTTCCTAAGAACGGTGTAGCCTGGTTGATTTTCACAGGGAAGCGAACTATTCATGATGCTCAGGGAGTCTTTCAGACTGTTTGGAACAGATGGCATATTACCATCATTGCTTTAACATTCCATCAATTTTACTACTAGTAACCTGATGTACACTGCTTTATTTTTTCCTCTTTTTTTGCCTTTATTTTCCTTTCGCCCCCCCCCCCTTGTGCTTTGTAACTCAATAGAGGTGCCCCAACTCACTGACCTAAGCTTTGTTGATATAACCGATTCAAGCATCGGCCTGAGGTGGACCCCGCTAAACTCTTCCACCATTATTGGGTACCGCATCACAGTAGTTGCGGCAGGAGAAGGTATCCCTATTTTTGAAGATTTTGTGGACTCCTCAGTAGGATACTACACAGTTACAGGGCTGGAGCCGGGCATTGACTATGACATCAGCGTTATCACGCTCATTAATGGCGGAGAGAGTGCCCCTACCACACTGACACAGCAAACGGGTGAATTTTGAAAACTTCTGTGTTTGAGACACGGATGGTGTTGCATGCTGCCACCAGTCACTCTGGTTAAAGGTGGATGTTTCCGTGGAAAAGCCAGCAATTTGCCAGAGGTGAAGAGAGGGTGGTATGGGGAGGAAGGAATCAAATACAGATGCTAAACCAATTGGATGAAGACGTAGTTGAACAGTCTTAAGTATATTCTCATTTAAAGCACACATATGGATACAGCTAAGGAAACGTAGATATCCGATCTATTAAATACAAAGTGGCAAAGATGCATTGACTTTGCAGACCTATGATTTTTTTAATGGTCTAGCATCACTGCCAAATTAAATAAAGTACACCAGTAAATAATAAGAAATATACTTTCAAAGTGTACCATTGTGTGCTTCCTTCTACTCTTTGATCAACTCCACCATGTTCCTTCTTTGTAGCTGACTAAAAACCCATTGAAATTAGAATAGAGTGGAAGGGGGTTTGTTTTGAGGTGGAGTTTTAAAAAAAAAAAAAGTTTTCTAAGTTCCATTGCTATGGTGAGATCAAGAAACTCCTCTTTAACCTCAGTCTGGGGACGAGCATGCAACATTATAAACGTTCTCTGCCCTGCATGGTAAGAAACATGCTGAGAACCGATCTGCATGAACCCTCTTCACTTGTCAGTAGTGTTCACTGAATGGAATTGTAGCTCTAGTCCTCTCCCTGCCGGGGGGACCTCTAGGACCCTTTGTCTCTTCGTCTGTGTGCATGTGTTTCTTTGGAAAGTACTGCTGTGTTTCTCTGCTGTGTGGCAACTTGAGCCTCTTCAGCCTGGGATAAAATAATTTTCAGTGGTATTAATAATGTACTCAAAAGCAGCATATTTGAAAGTAGATTAAACTGATTAAGATATATATTACTGATGGCAGAAAGGTTAAAGGGGCCTAACAGTACAGGTGTAGTGATTTATTTTAATAGTACAATTGACCCTTAAACAACATGGGGATTAGGTGCACTGACCACCAGCGCAGTCAAAAATCCATGTGTAACTTTTGACACCCCCCAAAACAATTACTAAGAGCCTACTGTTGACCGGAAGCCTTACTGATAACATAAGCACTCAATTAACACATAGTTTATATGTTATACAAATAATATACTGTATTCTAATAGGCTAGATAGAGAAAAGAAAATGTTCAGAAAATCGTAAAGGACAGAAAATGCATTTGCAATATTTCTTAATCCACATAGACTCTCACAGTTCAAACCTGTTTTGTTCAAGGGTCAACTCTAGTTTACTCTCGTTTAGATTAGATTTAGATTAGACTATTTGCATGGTGATGACTCGTTTCCTTTATGCATGAAATCCTGTTTTTACCTTTCCAGCTATTTTTTGTTACCTTTTTCATTTTAAAATCACATGAACTTAATCTCCCTTCTTACTTGAAACCAGCTGTCCCTTCTCCCACTGACCTGCGGTTCACCAACGTTGGTCCAGACACTATTCGGGTCACCTGGGCCCCACCCTCATCCATTGAATTGACCAGCTTCCTGGTGCGCTACTCCCCTGTGAAAAACGAGGAGGACGTGGCGGAACTGTCCATTTCTCCATCAGACAACGCGGTGGTCTTAACAAGTAAGAGGCCCAATGTATCCGTTCAAGAAACACTAGGCTAGAGCGTGAGGAGTGAGCGCCGAGTTCTCGGGTAGGAGCAAATAGGATCAAGACAGCTACAACAGAACTGCAAATTAAACTCTAAGTCTGACCTGCAGCTTGGTACATTTTGAAAGATGTGATGTTTATTGTTATTTTAATACATCTTTGATGCCTACAGCTTCTTAAAAATCATAGTGGAAAACCACCAGCCATGAAGTTTGAAGACTTCAAACAAGTTCTGCCTCCAAAGAAACACATAAAAATAATGTTATGTCCAGAGAAATTATATTACTACATTTGAATGTTTAGAGAGAAAATGAGGATTGAGAATAATGTCACCATATCTGTTTTATTCTCTCTGTCTTTTTTTTTTTCAAGTGTCAGCAGGGAATCTATTTAGCATTTGAAAACATGGAAACAGTGACTGGTTACTCAGGATAGATCAGGAAGCTCTTTGGAGAAAGAGCCAGTTTAATTTGTACTTCAAAAAGAATGTTAGCAAGATTTCTCTGAAGGCTGAGGACTTAGAAAACAACAGATATTAAAATAAACGATGACCACAATTTATGGAAAGTGCCTCTTTCTAGTTCCTACTCTTTTGAAATAGATATCTTTTATTAAGGAAAATATAAGTGGGCTGCAACATGGTCCGTGTTTCAAGTCGATGTTGCTTTACAGTATTTTCACTGTACTAGTTCAAAGACCTACATAAGAACAGCCTAAGTTTCTGCAAACAGGAGAAATAGCTCATATTTAGGTCCATTACCAATGGTGGTCTAAACACATTCTCTATCTTTCAGACATATTTTAGAGAGTGAAAGACAGCTCAGCGTGACCACAGCTTTGGTCTCTCATTTTGTGGCTGAGGGCAGGAGCATCCTTATACCTGCCTGTCAGCAGGACAGTGGCTTCTGTGTTGGAGCACTGTGGGGTCAGTAGTTACAACATCACCCAATACAGAAGCCCCTGCTTCAGGACCACCGTCGCCCCACCTTAGCCACAGAGCTATCACATGTCCATTGTGCTTTCTAAGACTTCATTCTAGATCCTACTCTAGATCTCAAGGTAGCCATCTCCCCCCAGAGTAGCCATTATTATTATCCTGTTTGCCAGATGAAGCAACTTAGGTGCTCAGTGGTTAAGTAAATTGCCCCTGGCCGAGCAGAAAGGGCTAAAGTGGAGTCCAAGCACCCAGCAGGGGCCTCCGCAGACAGGCTGAAGGGGAGATGCTATGCAAGGGAATGGGGTTTAGTGAGTAGGAGGGCAGGGGTTAGGAACCTTCTCTGTACTTTGTTGGTTCCTCAAAATGAGAGGATGTCCAGGAGTGTAGATTTAATTTTTTCAGTGTTTTGGTCTCACGTTAGTGTGGCAGAACCAATCACTTTCTCTTCAGAGTGTGACTCTTGCAATGAAGTTAATTGTTAAGACCACTGGTCATGGCCTGGTTCGGTTCATGTGCAATCTTGGGCAAGTATGTCAAAGAAGATAACTTCTTTATTCCTCAGTTTTCTCATCTGTAAAGTGGCATCATTGTAAACCAAACTTTTGGAGGTAATGGATTTGTTTGTTATCTTCAATGTGGTGATAGTTTTACAAGTGTGTACATGTGTCAAACCCTGTCAAGCTGTACACTTAAAATATATGCAGTGTATGGTGTGGCCATAAAGCTGCTTTAAAAAGTGGCAAACTACCTCCCTGGGTTGTTCTGAGGGGTAAATGATGATCCACAGTCCAAGGTCATTTCTAGCACATGACCTCAACAGATGGACCATTAAGTGGCTATTAGAAATATTACTATGCTACAGAAACTCCATCTGATTGAAGATCAAGCTGAGTCACACTCATAGAGGTGGATCTGAGGTCAGGGCTTAGAGATGCTACAAGATCAGGTGACCCTTCACCCAATGACAGCCCATCTCCAGGTAGCCACGTTTACTTAGGTATAAGTAGGCTATAGGACTGGACTCTTAGATATTTTATAAGTTAAAAGAGTCCCAGAGGTGCTTTGGTTTCTGATGCTTTCAAGGACAATTTTAAAATAAGTCCCACTTGCCTCTTCAGATCTTCTGCCTGGCACAGAATATTTGGTCAGCGTCTCCAGTGTTTATGAACAACACGAGAGCACACCTCTCAGGGGAAGACAGAGAACAGGTGAGTCATGCTGGCAATGTGCTTATCAAGTGGCATTCAGCTACCAATTTCAAATAACAAAAATGGCATGCTGCTTCTAAAAATACATCTCCATCTGTTGCCGTGATGGTGGTGCTTGTAGCCTTGTCATTACTGTTTGATCACCAGTCTTGAAAATTAAAAACACCTCATTCAACTATGACCCTGACTTCCAGTCACTAAGGTTCTATTCTCTGGTTCCAGAGGGCTGAAATTAGTCCAGAAACTTTGTTGTCTGTGCTTTTAAAATTTCTCCCAAGAATATCTCATAATGTCTATTATTTAGGAATGATAAACATTCCCTCTCATTAGGGGACTCTAACGGCTGACCCCCAACACTGTCATTATATTTTCCCTCTTGTGCTAAGCAAACAAGTTCATCCCTTTTTTCTACTTGATGAAATCTTTCTTTACTGTGAAAAGGAGTTTGAATTAAATCTTATAATATGATGTCCTGTCTTAAAGAGGAGTCCTTTTAATTTTTTTCTTTAAAAAAGTACAGTGTAGTATATCCATTAATGTATTTATCTTAGTTTGCTGGCTTCCAAAAAGGAGTTGTGAGATCTCAATTTGGTTTGAGTATATTAGTGAATAGAATAAGTAAATGTTATAACTGGAACAGAAATTTGTTGGAAGTCCCAGAGAGGTTACATGATTTGAATTTGAGGTAAACTCCAAATTCTTGCTGATTTTTCTGCACTGCACTAACTTCTCAATTCACAAGGAATTACTTGCATTATAATTTGTCCAGAATAATTTCTTAGTTTTTGAAAGTTTGATGTACAGCATCGTCATCGCCCTGTTGACCTATCGATTCCCTCTTGAGTGTAGGAATCTTCTCTGAGAGCCAAACACTTAACTTGAGAGTGGGAAGACCTCCTCTTTCCTGAGTACACTGAACACTGAAGCATTTAAAGATATCAACTCCCAGAATACCTTCAACGCCTCTTCTTCAAACAGAACGCAGAAACGCGCTGTAATGACACTTGAATTGCTTAGCAAAAGAAAAAAGGAAAGAATGCTTGAGTTGGCCATTTTGAACTGAGTCCGTTTATGATTTTGAAATTGATATGTGGCTTCGAATCAGCGCATCATAACCTGAGGTTTATGGCAAATCATGGTGTTAATGAAAAAACAGAAACATCAGATATATGTTGCATTCCCCTCGTTTCTCACTTCCTAATCTGGTGGTGTCTTTTTTCCCCCCCACTCCCTCTCTCTCTTTGTCCCCTGGGTGGGAAACACAGGTCTCGATTCCCCAACTGGCATTGACTTTTCTGATATAACTGCCAACTCTTTCACTGTCCATTGGATTGCTCCTCGAGCCACCATCACCGGCTATAGGATTCGCCATCATCCTGAACACTCCGGTGGAAGACCTCGAGAAGATCGAGTGCCCCCCTCTCGGAACTCCATCACCCTCACCAACCTCAATCCGGGCACAGAATACGTGGTCAGCATTGTTGCACTTAACGGCAGAGAGGAAAGTCCCTCGTTGGTTGGCCAGCAATCAACAGGTAACTTGCTTTCTAGTCTTCAAAGAAACTCAGAGGACTTTCCTATGCAGGTGGTATCTTCTGTGAAATAGGTTTGTGTTGTCTGAGTCATCATCTCTTAAAAAATAGACCATGGTTGTGAGACATGGAGAAGGAAGTGAGAGACTATCTGGAGAAAAATCTCCTTAGAGTATATTAATCAAGATCCTTTTTTTTAATCCCAAAAAAGTTCTCACCCGATTTAGGTATTTGTGAATTTTTAATAACCAGAGTGTTATTCAAAATACAGAAAACACTCTTTCAAAGTTCCCTTCAAAACAATTATTTTAATGTAATAGTGTCAAAATTCTTAGGAGCTGGATGCTAAATACTTAGGGGAGAAGTATTATGATATCTACACGCTAGTCTCAAATGGATTAACGAGAGAGAGAGGCAGATGTTACCGATTATAGCTAAAGGCAGGGGATATGGGTGTTCATTATATATTTTTGTAGCTTTTCTGTTTTAAAATTTTTCAAAATAAAAAATTGAGGGGGAAAATCATTCAGTACATTTGGAATCATCATTTTATCAGGATTTGAATTGACTCCCTAACCCCTTCCCTTGAATTGTTCATAATTTTTAATTCTGCTAATTTTGTATAGTATTTACATTCTTCTACTTTTAAAATCACAATCACCTGGGAAATGAACGTAGAGCGAATCTGTGTGAAAGTTAGACGTGTGAACTTTCCCTTGCTCTTTCTAGTTTCGGATGTTCCAAGGGACCTGGAAGTTATTGCCACAACCCCCACCAGCCTATTGATCAGCTGGGATGCTCCTGCTGTCACTGTGAGATATTACAGGATCACCTATGGAGAAACAGGTGTGTCAGGAAAATGCTATTTCACACTCTAATCAAGTCAGGTCCTTTGGTGGGTAATCTGAAAACCCATCAGTGAACACATAATTAAAGAAAGTTTGGCAAGTTCATTCAAGGGAGCCTTGTCTTCTCCCAGATTATGTGGGAAATTTACATGATGTATAATTGGTAGCAAAATCAAGATAAGAAAGTGTATAATCCCAGAGAGGGAACAGTAGATCGGAAGAAAAGATTACAAATCCACATGCATATTATCAGCGATGAAAGGATAAGTGATTTGTATTTTTCTTTTTACTTTTCAGTATTTTCAGAATTTTATTTAACATGAATATTTCCTATTAAAATTTTGCAAAAGGAACACAGTTTATGCAATCCTGGCTTGCAGACTTGCCTTCTTTTCTCTCCTCATGTTCACCTACAACTCTGACTTTTTATAGCTGGAATGTGAAAATAGCATTAACTGCAATTTCCTTCCAGTTCTTACACGTATATCAAGGTTTACTGCATTAATAAATAAATATAGGTTTCTGTTCAAACCCTATTAATAGCACCTTTTTAAAGGGAATAAGAAAGGGGTACTTGCATGCTTCTCTCAGTAGGTTAATTCAGTCACTCAGCATCCCCAGGTATCGCTCAGCCCTCCCGCTTTGACAAAGCTCTCTTCAAACAGGAGGAGCCAGCCCGGTCCAGGAGTTCACTGTGCCTGGGAGCAAGTCCACAGCTACCATCACTGGCCTTAAACCCGGAGTGGACTACACCATCACTGTGTATGCTGTCACTGGCCGTGGGGACAGCCCGGCAAGCAGCAAGCCAGTTTCCATTGATTACCGAACAGGTACCGACTCCCCCTTTGGAATGACACAGGCATAGTTACTCAGATGGTTTGCCCAGTGTTCTCCCAAGGTATTTTCCTCATTGTGGGATTGTTTTTTGTTTTGTTTTTTTAATTTTTAGAACACATTTATTTTATAAAATAATACAAAACCCATAAAAAATGGTAAAGTATAAACATTTACTACATAATTCTCAGGTGGTTGATAGTACCAGAAGTGTATAAAGAAAGAAGAAAAATGAACAACTTTCTTTTTTTTTTCCTTCTATTTTGTATAACTGGCCCTCGTAAGGCACAGTATGGAGTGTTTTTCTTTTTTTTTCTTCTTTTTTTTCAATTTTATTTTTGTTACAGATGTTTCTCCTTTTTTACCCCATTGACACCCTCCTCCCCATCCTCCCCCCCGTCCTGTCCATGTCCATTGGTCATGCATACATGCATGTAAGTTCTGTGGTTTATCTCTTCCCAACCCCCCACCGCCTCTTCTGACGGATGTCAGTCTGTGCCCTACTTCCATGTTTCTGGGTCTACCGTATTCCTCAGACTGTTATGTTCATTATATTCCGTATATAAATGAGATCATGTGGTATTTGTCTTTTTCTGCTTGGCTTATTTCACTTAGGATAATACTTTCCAGGTCCCTCCATGTCGTCTTGTTTGTTTTGTTTTTTTAAGAAGGTGAAAAACACCAACGGCCAACAGTTTTGAGCCAGATATACAAGGAAATGCCCCCATGGGCAGGGATTTTTGTCTGTTTTGTTAATTGATGTATTCCACATGCCTACAGTAGGGACAGACATAAAAGATTTTTAATAAATATTTGTTAATGGATGAATGAGCTGATAAGGTAAGAAGATAAACACCTAAGTTAGAATGTAGTTTCTTTGTGAATGAAATAGCCTTCTTGAGAATAGGTAATGGTATTGAGATGCCGGCCTCAGCTCCCAAAAGCTGTATCTGTTTCTACAAAAGAAACCCTTGGGAGTCATTCATTATAGTAAGAGATCATCCTGTATGTAGCAGGAACTGGAGATGAGGACTTGTCCACTCTTTTTCCCATGGGTTATGGCTTCATTGGTTTCTCTTGTTTTATTTTAGAAATTGACAAACCCTCCCAGATGCAGGTGACCGATGTTCAGGACAACAGCATCAGTGTCAGGTGGCTGCCTTCGAGCTCCCCTGTCACTGGCTACAGAGTAACCACTACCCCCAAAAATGGCCTGGGACCAACAAAATCAAAAACTACAGGTCCAGGTAAGAATTTCCAGCATCTCACATGCACCAGGAAAGCAGAGGAGGCCCACACAGCATGCTTTTCAAATCAATAGCCACCCAACTCTGAGCACTATGTATATTCATATCATTATGTTAAAGCTCCTCCATTTGTGAATTCAGGGCTCAAGACTGTTACTCCCTCCACAGTAGAATCTTTAGAATATGCATTTCTGTATTTACATTCACAGTCCTGTCTGATGGTGTGGACATTTTAAATTACGAGATCCACCTTTGTGGTTTTGTGCACACCAAGAGAGATGGCCTAACTGATTTTAAAAAGATTCTTATAGCTCTTGTTTTTGTTTTTATATAAAATATTTGTGAAATTAGTATCCTAAGGCAATATTGTGTTTTTCAAATTCCAGCGAAAATTTATTTAGACAGTCACAAAGGTAGAAAAAGTGAGCCAGCTGGGTTGCATGGGCTCAGAAACAAGTTATAGAGGCAAAAGAGCTTGAGAGAGAGAGCGTGCAACTTAAGGCATTAAGTCAGGTTAATTTTCTTTTTTTTTTTAGATCATTATTCATTGTTGGGGGCATCATCTTAAATCTGGGAGCTTATCTTTTCATGTGGCTTTACTTTTACATGATCATTTTGTAGTAGCAATAAACATGTTAATCCAAGAGGAAATCCATGTCTGACTCCTCCATATTTTCCTGAAAAGTCTGCCAAAGAGAGTCTAGGCCACTACACCTTTACTACAAAATCTGAACGTCACTTGGATGACCTTACAGTGGATGACATAGACGCTGCATTTGCTTTTTACTCCCTTTGCAGACCAAACAGAAATGACCATCGAAGGCTTACAGCCCACAGTGGAGTATGTGGTTAGTGTCTATGCTCAGAGTCAAAACGGAGAGAGTCAGCCTCTGGTCGAGACTGCAGTAACCAGTACGTAACCGGTGCTTATCTTCCATTTTCAAAGTCAGGTCTTGTTCTCAGGCTCTGGATGACCCTGCATGTCCTTTGCGATTATACACGGGGAAAGCCAACTTGTTGGTTAGTTGTTATGTTGAGTTAAGCCCTCTACAAACATATTGTTTTCTTCTCCGTGCCAAGCAAGGAGCATAAGGGGAAAGAAGTTGTGGAACCACCAGAGTTAGTGGCTGTGCTTTGAATTTCTTTTGCTCAAATGGCCGTAGCAGAATCTTATTTGCCTGTAGCACATCTACAAAATATTCTGCCTGGACCGTCTTTTCTACAGCTGAGTGGTGGAGTTGATTGAAGTGGTTCTCTGAAGCTGTTATGTTTGGCACATTTGCAGGACTGTGGCTGCACAAGAGCTACAGACGGATTATAATAATCTAAGTCTAACATTGAAAATCAACTTCGCCACTTCCAAGATATAGAAAATGCAGGTCTGTGAGACTGGCGTCAAATTGCAGAAACAAATTTGGCACAATCTTAAAAATAATGCAAATAAATCTTTGTGAGGACATTTTGCAGGGTGTCTACGCATCTCGCGTCCGCCCGTTTTAATACGCGATGCGACGTTGATTAAATATTTTCGAAATCAAAGATACTTCAACAAGTATCGGGTAATTTTCTGTGTAATAGTGGGTTGATTGGAATTTAATTCATTAAAGAGAATGGTATCTGCAGAACTGCTTTGCATGTTATAAAAATGCTTATTTCACAACTTGCTTTTCACATAACCTCTTACCATTAATTTGCCTAACAGACATTGACCGCCCTAAAGGACTGGCATTCACTGCTGTGGATGTCGATTCCATCAAAATTGTCTGGGAAAGCCCACAGGGGCAAGTTTCCAGGTACAGGGTGACCTACTCAAGCCCTGAGGATGGAATCCATGAGCTATTCCCTGCACCTGATGGTGAAGAAGACACTGCAGAGCTGAAAGGCCTCAGGCCTGGTTCTGAGTACACAGTCAGTGTGGTTGCCTTGCACGATGATATGGAGAGCCAGCCCCTGATTGGAACCCAGTCCACAGGTATATCGTTAATTGCACCACTGGGTGCTCATGGGAGCAGAGGCTTTATGCCCTGCTGAATGAATTCTATTTTATCAGGCTATTGATTTCCATATAAGGGATTTTTTTGTTTTTTTTTAAAGGGCACCTCTATTAGGAAAGGCCCTCTTTAAGAGGAATAGTATTAAACAATGAAGTTTAGGTGATATTTAGATAGTCTAGTCAATGGACATTTTGGAGTAATTTGCCTCATCAACAAGGCCATAAAGCGAGACGTTTGAAGATGATTATAAAATTGTAGATTATTTCCGAAGCTATGCCTCCCTGTGGCTGTACTCACTGTGCACAAAGGAGAGAAGCTTGGCATCCTAGAGCTTACTCTAAAAAAGGAACCCAAAATGGGCCATTTCATAGCAGCATGATTCTGAGAACACATGGGTAAGACCTTCCTTTTCTGCTTAGATAATTGTGTGCCCGGTGTATAATTTGCTTAAAGGATTGTAAATCGCACACACAGGGCAAATGCTTTCCACGATACTTTATCTTCTTGTGCTTTGTTTCTGAGCACAGGGGAATGCTAAGGATGTGTCCTTGCGACAGCACAAACCCTGCAGGTGACAATCTGCGTTAATGCTCTTTGCTTCTCTTTTCTGCTTCTATGATGATCCAATTTTCTTATGCTGCACCACAGAGAATACTTCAAATTTAGCAGTGATGTCTGCCACAGGGTCCAAATAAAGCAAAGAAAAACATAATTCTAATTTTTGGGGTATGGAATACTCTGAAATGGTTTTCCATGCAAAGATCATTTATATAGGAAGAGAGGGCTATTGCTCATCTTTCCATACAAACAGATGGAAACTCAATCTCGATGGCCTAAATAAGTCATTTTGACTTTTAAAAAACATTTTTAAGGGAAAGCAAAAGACATTTTCTAAAACCTAAAGTCTTTTAGGATTCTGACATGTACCTCTGTTTCCAGTGATTCTGAGCATTGGTGGATATAAAACATTTTTTCAGCAAACATTTTCTTCGTTTTGTATCCCTTCTAGTACTTTATTGTACTGAATCTTTGATCAGGGAATCCACCTAAACAAAAACAAGCACAGTCTGTTCTACTTGGAATTCACTTTGTCTTCTGTTTCCCCCATTCCCTGTAAGATAACCTCTAACCAATGACCATCCCGACAGCCATTCCTGCACCAACCAACCTGAAGTTCACTCAGGTCACCCCAACGAGCCTGACTGCCCAGTGGACAGCACCCAATGTTCAGCTCACTGGATATCGGGTGCGGGTGACCCCCAAGGAGAAGACAGGACCGATGAAAGAAATTAACCTTGCTCCTGATAGCTCATCTGTGGTTGTATCAGGACTCATGGTAAGTGCCCCTTTTCATTGGAATAAAGAAGTTAGCCATCTCTTACTCAGGTTATGGTGGTAGAAATATAAAATCATAATAAATGTAACTGTATTCTTTGCCCCTGTTATCAAAAGATTTTTTTGTAATTTTATATCAATTTTATAAATAGCTTTGGATTTTGCACAGCTCTTTAAATGTGTTCTGTTTATTTTAAAAGATTATGTGTAGGTGGGGGATGGGGGGCAATTATATCTCCTTTAGTTATTGCATTTAGTATATGCATTTAGTATATTTAGTATATGCATTTAGTATATTTAGTATATGCATTTTCTGAGCTCTGTTACCTGGGCAAGAAATACTCTCCTGTTTATACCAACCTAGCCTGACCCTAACTTCATTAACACAGTTTTAGTCCTTCTGGACGTGCATGCAAAACACTAGCCAGGAACCTAGGAAACTGATGTATATTTTAACATAAGCCCCATTCCAGAAGAAACTACAGAAAGAGGGTTCAGAGATAGAATATAGAAAAAACAGAGCCATCTTCCCCGGTTTGTATCAACTTGGTGTAAGTATGTAAATTATAGCTTACTTGGGCTTAACCCCTGAGGGCATTTTTAAATTCATGTAATTTAAATTTGTTATTGATCACCTGCAGTGTAGAAATGAAATTAATCTAGGAATTTATAGTGCTGTAGGTTTTGTTAGGATTTTTTCCCCTTATATAACCATGATGTTTTTCTAATGATGCAGTGAAAACCCTGGGCTTCACATTGCTAAAGCTTCCTGTGCCCTCCTTTCTAGGTGGCCACCAAATATGAAGTGAGTGTCTACGCTCTTAAGGACACTTTGACAAGCAGACCAGCTCAGGGAGTTGTCACTACTCTGGAGAGTAAGTGATCAAACTTTTTAGTAACAAAAGCATTCTGTATAAACAAAAATTAAAGAATGTAAATGAGCTCAGCCGGTGTGTCTCTGTGGTTGAGCATCGACCCATGCACCAAGAGGTCGTGGGTTCAATTCCCGGTCAGGGCACATGCCCAGGTTGTGGGCCAAATCCCCAGTGGGGGGCATGCAGGAGGCAGCCAGTTGATGTTCTCTCTCATCAATGTTTCTATCTCTCGCTCTCTCTCCCTTCCTGTCTCTCAGATTAATAAAGAAAAAAAAATTAAAAAAGAAAACGATGTAAATGATTTTCTAGATCACTAGGTTAATGAAATGATTCCCAATCTGGAAATTGATTTGCTGGCCCATCTTTTTGACTTAACTACTGTTGCCTTTTATGCTTCTCATCCCCAAAAGTGGTCTATGGGCACATAAATGTGATCATCCAGAATGTTAAAACAGTGTTATGTACTAGGACTAACAACTAGTATATGTTCTACTTATCGAAATTTGTTTTCATCGAGCGGAGTTTGGGGAGGACATGCTGCCTTCTACTATATCTTAGCAGTACAGTGGTATTGAAGAGAAGTGGGCCCAGATTCTAGCTTTCTGCCATATCAATAACTCACAATATGCTCTTCCAGAAATTATATAAAATCGGGATGGTGTTGTATCTGTTGAGAAAAAATAGGAAGCCCTATAAAAATGACAAAATACTAGCAATACATATATATATTCTTGCTGGCTGGCCATATTATTCTAATGCCTACTAATATATGTATTGTTACATTTTAATAAATTAATAATTTTAACATTTATTGAGGGATTTGTAGATGCTATAAAACCAACCTTGGGGGAACCACTAGTATCTATAACAAGTTTTTCAGTTCTTCCAAAAAAAACCCACAAACGCAAAACAGGTGAATATTTTTATATTTCTAATTACTGTCAACCTTTAAATCTGGATGCCACAGGAGAAAACGGATACATAGTCATGTGTATAAATGGGTGTATTTTGTGTATTATAAAGAAATCTTTAAAGTATCGAGACTTCGCTGTATGAGCCCTCCAGGCGCTGATCTCTGGCTGTCACCCTCTGCAGATGTCAGCCCTCCAAGGAGGGCCCGTGTGACAGATGCTACTGAGACCACCATCACCATTAGCTGGAGAACCAAGACGGAGACGATCACCGGCTTCCAGGTGGACGCCGTACCAGCAGGCGGCCAGACTCCCATTCAGAGAACCATCAGCCCGGATGTCAGGAGCTACACCATCACAGGTCAGGAGCTCACTGTGCGGACCACAGCGGTTCACGCCGCTCACGATAGCCATCAGCTCATTAGTTATTCTAGCACTCACGCTGATTAAACTTATTCCCAGTGTTTTACGATAACCCAGCTCTCTTTTTTCAAAACTTATTTTCTGTTTTTTAAATATGTTTTTATTGATTATTATTATCATTATTTTTTTTTTTGGAGAGGAAGGGAGAGAGATGAAAGCATCAGTGAGAGAGATACATGCATCAGTGAGAGAGATACATGCATCGGTGAGAGAGATACATGCATCGGTGAGAGAGATACATGCATCAGTGAGAGAGATACATGCATCGGTGAGAGAGATACATGCATCGGTGAAAGAGATACATGCATCGGTGAGAGAGATACATGCATCGGTGAAAGAGATACATGCATCAGTGAGAGAGATACATGCATCAGTGAGAGAGATACATGCATCGGTGAGAGAGATACATGCATCAGTGAGAGATACATGCATCAGTGAGAGAGATACATGCATCAGCTCCCTCCTGCACACCATGGCGTGACGCTTCATCCACTGAGCCACACCGGAAGGCTAGAAACTTATTTTCAAACCATGATCAGAAATAGTTTTGTCCTGCGAATGCCTTATTTTATGTAATGTTTGCCAGAGAAATGGTATAAGTTCCATTCATCATTTTGATTTTTAATCAATGTACTCTTTTTTATATTAAAAAATTGTAATGTAATGCTTAATACTAAAAGAAACTAAAAAGGTTTAACAGTAACATAGATAAAACATAATCAAATTTAAAGACTCAAACAACACTACTTCATGAAGATGTAAGTTCTACTGGCTGGTTTGGCTCAGCGGTTGGAGCGTCAGCCTGCGGACCAGAGAATCCCGGGTTTGGTTCCCGCTAGGGGCACATACCAAAAGAAAAGAAAAAGATAAAGATGCAAGTTGTAGTCAGAGAATGTTCAATATCTGGGTTAATTCAGGTCTCTTTGAGATTTAAAATTCCGATTCCAGTTACTTATTAAAGACCATCTGATTATGATAAAGAGAAAACACTCCATAGGTACTCACCTCTCATTCTCCAGAAGGGCCACTTCCAACGTAGCATTTTTGTGTTCTCACATTTATTTTAGCCAGTGTCTTGAGATATGTTTCTCATTAGCCATTAACACCCATGCCATGCTCTAAATGTGTACCATTTCTGTGGTCCATATAAATATGGGATGGTAGAGGAACCATGAAAATTGCGGATGAGTTTGAAACTTCCTAGTAATTCAAGATCAGATAAAAATCATCTCTTCACCCTGGCTAGTTTAGCTCAGTGGTTAGAGCGTCGGCCTGCGGACCTAAGAGTCACGGGTTCAATTCTGGTCAAGGGCACGTACCTTGGTTGCAGTTCGGTTCCTGGCCTTGGTCGGGTCATACGTGAGGCAACCAATCAGTGTGTCTCTCACATCTATGTTTCTCTCTCTCTATCACTCCCTCCCACTCTGTCTGAAAAAGTATCCTCAGGTGAGGATTAAATAATAATAATAAAAAATAAAAATCGTCTCTTCTCAAATCCCAGGTTTACAACCCGGCACTGACTACAAGATCTACTTGTACACCCTGAATGACAATACCCGGAGCTCCCCTGTCACCATCGACGCCTCCACTGGTAACTATACTTTCTACTGAAGAAATGCCACTGACCTATATGTGGTCAGTCATGTGAACTTAAGGAACAAACACGAGGCTGATGTTTTTGTATGATAGATCATAGTGAATCCTGTTTACAGTTTACAGAACTCAGATTCTCTCGAGTCTGTTAATAAGGGTTGGGAAAAGAGTGTGGGAGTAATTTTCTTGGTTATTCATTTTCTTAGAGACTTAATTTTTATTTCTTTTAGCCATCGATGCGCCATCCAATCTACATTTTCTGGCCACCACACCCAACTCCTTGCTGTTGTCATGGCAGCCGCCCCGGGCCAGGATTACTGGTTACATCATCAAGTATGAGAAGCCGGGGTCCCCTCCCAGAGAAGTGGTCCCGCGGCCCCGCCCTGGCGTCACAGAGGCTACTATTACTGGTATGGCTGCTGCCCGGCTGTCACTGTCCTCCTTCCACCCTAGGACATAAGGTGCTTAGCAGACCCCAGCTGTGGCTTCGATGCTGTGCCATAAAACAAGAAGCCCATTTCTCATAACCTCTAAGAGCATTCTGTGTGTAGGAGCTGTCCATACATCCCCAAAGGCGTGCATTTATGGAAACGAAGTCGTTTCAGGACTGTCCTGATGGCATAACTGCAGTCTTTTTAAGTGCTATACCATCTCCAGATACTTGGCAGTCCAGTCCTGGAAAACACATTGTTCAAGGCAAACTAGCGCATTTAAACCTCTCCTCTCTCTCAGCTCCCCAAAGATTGGATGACTTTGCAGGACTTGCCGAGTGCCACCTGCCATTGCCCCTCATTCTGTACTGTCACAGAATAGGTCTCTAGGCAGAGTGCTTCCCAGCTACCCATACTGGAGAGAAAGCCTGGCATGGAGATGAAGTCTATTTCAGTAGGAAAGATCGTAGGCCTCTGGTATTATTTTTCTCCAAGACATTAAATTGTCAAACTGTGTATAGAGTATCATTTGGACTTTGAAATCTTCTAGGCCCGGCCGGTGTGGCTCAGTGGTTGAGCATCGGACCCATGCACCAACAGGTCACTGGTTGGATTCCCGGTCAGGGCACATGCCCAGGTTGTGGGCCCGATCCCCAGTGAGGGGCACGCAGGAGGCGGCCCATTGATGTTCTCTCTCATTGATGTTTCTATCTCTCTCTCTCTCCCTCTCCCTTCCTCTCTCTCTAAAAATCAATAAAGAAAAAAAAATTTTTTTAAATCCTCTAGAATACATAGGTACAAGAAGTAAACCCCGGTTTTTGTTTGTTGGTTGGTTTTTTTAAAAAAAGAAACTTTAGGGAGAGGAAAACAGAACAGATGTGAGAGGAGCTGAATTGGGTACTTCCACTAGGGAGCCCACAAAGATTGGTCTTACTCTCCTGCAGAGTGTTTGCCTGTTTTCTCATTGGTCTGACTTCTCATTGATCCTGTCACTAGAGGCCATCTGTTTACTAGGCCTACACAGATTCATGGATACAGTTTGCAGTGATCTCTCCAAAATGTTGACTCCACTGGTGGTGTACAATGCTGACAGATTTTGGGGGGGTTGAAAAAGGCAAGATCACCTGCTAAAAGAATGCCCAGGAAAATTTAGCATAAAAAGAGCTTATTCAAGGTGTCAGATTTGATAGTGAGATCATTAATTTGCTAAGTGGTCATCCCAAGAAGAGTATTTGGGTGTTTATGGAAGAAAAATGAAATCAGTTTTACCTTTCAAGAGGCTAACGGCCAGAAAGAGAGAGGATACTTGCTTCCCAGGACTGTCTCCCAGTGAGAGCAGTTTCCACTTGACTAGCTGAGCCCACGGACGTGACGTGATGATCTGCCTTCCCTTAGGTCTGGAACCAGAAACCGAGTACACAATCCAGATCATTGCCCTTAAGAACAACCAGAAGAGTGAGCCTCTGATCGGAAGGAAAAAGACAGGTAAAGAAATGGTACCTTCTGGGTAAAGGGGAGACGGTCAAGACAAAACTAATTACAAACGATTAATTTTGCAGTGAGAAGGTTCTCCGTGTTTCGATGCATTTCTCATGAAACTTTTTTCCCCTAACAACATAGTATATGTGTTGTACTCTTGGATAGCAGGGATAAGCTTGAATTCAGTTTCATTTTTTTCTTAGCCAGTCCAAATAAAGCCTTTTATTCACCTTTGAAAATTTCAAAACAGATATGAAAATGTAAAAGTGAAATGGCTGTCATTGTTATTCATCTATATCTTTTGTTGAAGTTAAAAATGTTTTTTTAAAAAAGTTGGGAGAATAATCCCTATTTGTCTTATTATTTGGGTTCTTAAACTTGGAGCTAAAGAATGTCTTACTTTTTCATTCAATTTCAGTTTAATTGGTAGGAAATGCTATATTTTTGCTGATAGAATTTTTAAAATGAACATCTATGTATTTTTATCTATTTTTGCCATTTCAAACCACAAAATAACATTGAACCAAACCTCTGGAATTCTCTTACTTCAGATGCTGATATAATCAGTATGGATTCTAGTCCTTAAAACATGATTCTCAAATGGAAGGAAAAAAAAGAGGGGAAAAAAGGCTTTGCATTTCAATTCATTGAAGCTTAATTTGAGCAGAGGCAGCTTCTATGGGGCTCAGCGGTCTAAAGCTTTGTATGATAAATTCATACTAACACTTTTTTCATTTTATACTCTAAAGAAATCTTTGAGAAAAAAAAATCATAAAATTTCTTTCTGGAAAAAGTGTTTTGTGATCTAAGAACTGCTAATTTTCCAGGGGCTTTGGTCAAATCGGTAAAAAGTCATTGTTGCCTGAATTGATGATGACTATTGCTGGTACTTCTGGGAGCTTAACACGCTTTGCTTTTGGCTCTAACCTCTCTTGGCTAGATGAGCTTCCCCAACTGGTAACCCTTCCACACCCCAATCTTCAAGGACCAGAGATCTTGGATGTTCCCTCCACAGCTCAAAAGACCCCTGGGTATGGCACTGGCAACGGTATTCAGCTTCCTGGCACTGCGGGTCAGCAGCCCAGTGTTGGGCAACAAATGATCTTTGAGGAGCATGGTTTTAGGCGGACCGCACCGCCCACAACGGCCACCCCTATAAGGCATAGGCCAGGATCATATCCACCGAATGTAAATGAGGAGATCCAAATTGGTCATGTCCCCAGGGGAGACGTAGACCATCACCTCTACCCTCACGTTCTGGGACTCAATCCAAATGCCTCTACAGGACAAGAAGCTCTCTCTCAGACAACCATCTCTTGGACCCCATTCCAGGAAAGCTCTGAGTATATAATTTCATGTCATCCAGTTGGCATTGATGAAGAACCCTTACAGGTAATTAATTTTTCTCTTTACTGTGACTGGGCAGCTTGGAAGGGACCAAGCTAGGGAATGGACGTGAGCAAAGCACTGGTGTCAAGTGGCTACATTGCTGGGACCTGTTAAAAGGCGGTTCACCGGAGCCTTGATTTTTTTCCTTTTTAATCTCAATATGGTTCTACCTTGGGAGGGTGCGGGGGGGGGGGGGGGGGAGGGTGTATCTACCATTAGCTTTTATTTAGCAGAAAGAATGAAATCCTTTCTATTTTTCCTCACCCATTTGAGGCTCCTTAGTAATAATAGACAAAGAAATGATCCTGGGAAAGAGAGAGACATATTCTGCCTGAATTTAAATGTATGCACATAAGGGCTAAAATACCGACCCATGGTTTGTCCTTGAAGAATCCTATTATCTACAATAGGTCTAAGGACAAAGAACTTAAGTGAAGCTGTGCATATCAGCTGTTTGTGATTGATTCTCTAACGACAACTTCTGTTCTTTAATTTGTCTTCCTGGTATCAACGTTATTGTGTTCTTATTTTTAGAGAGTGGCAGAATTTTAAAAACTGACTACAACTGTGGAAGATTTATGAGCTTAGACACCTGAGCTGGAGGACACTTTTGCAGAGTGTCTTGGGGACCCCAGTGGGGATCCGGTGCTGCCTTGTGCAGGATGAGTAAATCTCCCTGCAGTGCCCTCCCTCTGTGTCTAGGGGCGTGGCCAAGTCTGCAGCGGGCTCGGACCTGTGGCTGCAGCAGAGTGGAACAGAGGCTGTCTCTAGAATTAGCGAGGCCTCCCGGTGACTGGGGAGCACATGGGGCAGATTTTTTGGCAGGAAAACCTAGCAGGTAGAAGTGTTGGCCACTCACCCCGAATTCCATTTCTCTCCTTGGCTGCTTAGGACCGTTGCCCCTCCATCTTCATTTGTCTCCCTTTATTTTGCTCACACAGTGAGGGTTATTGATAAGAGCATAGGGGAAGTCGTGGGATTCCTCACTCTAATGCTTTCTCCCCTACTTTGGATGTGCCAACCATGGTAGTTCCGAGTTCCTGGAACTTCTGCTAGTGCCACCCTGACGGGTCTCACGAGAGGGACCACCTACAATATCATTGTGGAAGCGCTGAAGGACCAGCAGAGGCACAAGGTTCGGGAGGAGGTTGTCACTGTGGGCAACTCGGGTATGTGAACTGTGTGCTGGAGGCCCAGGCTCCCCTCTGGAGGATGCTTTGTCTACTGACTGGTCCATTGTTGCCATTGTCCTTTAGCTTTTAACTTTGGGAAATAATGTTACATCATGAAGCAAATGAGCCACTTTTTTTTTTTCTGGTTCACAAATTGAATTATTTTGCCGATAGTATCCTAGTCTTTGTGAAACGCATACATGTTTGACAGAGTCCCAAACAGCAATGGGATGATAGGTCCGGAACATGCTTCAGAGGTCTGGTCTGACGCTCTGAGTCCTGCCAGTGGGGATCTGCTGGAATTGGTACAGAGCACGCGTTTCCTGACCTTGTTGCCCAGACTGTCTCCATCTTACCCTGCTGCTGTCCTCTCGAGTGATTTTTAAGTATCTACTAGAACTGATGACCTATTCCGGAAATTCCCCCATCTGTAGACATTAGGGACAGCTGGTGTTTGTTCCTGATGTAAAATGCCACCAACATAGTCCATTTCTGTCCCAAGGGCTCCCTTAGTCCAGTGTTATTTCAGTTTTTTCTTCTGATTACATAGATCTAAAACCTCCGTGGAGGTTAAATGGTCATTGACTCTGCAGCACCTGAGAAGTCCTTTCAAACCAGTCGTGTGTCACTTGGCTTTTCAACCTGCAACAGCTGAAGGTTCACCAGGGAACATACACTAGGGAATAATCAAAACCCTGAATCTTCCAACCAGAGGGAGTGCGCAACTCTTTCTCTACCAAATGACTGGCTTTATTTCTGGGGCCAGTGTACTTAATCTCAGCTCCTTCCTCATCTGACTGCTATTTTTCCATGGATAAACACCTGTGAATTAAGCAGCTGAGTATATGGGGGTGGGGGGGCATCTCAATTTGTGCTCGTTGTAGTAGAGACCCATGGTAGCACACACCTTTTGCCTCGTGTGGTTTGGCTAGTAGAATACCACGTGGAAGGAATTTTCAAGAGCACAAAGGTCTTTGTGCTTTTCCACATCATTTTTAAAAGATTCCATCTCCATAACTTTAGCCAGGTGGGGTTTTAACTCCTGGCCATGTTTAGGAGGCTCATTGAAACACCTCATAGCAAATTTAAGTTCTTTTCATTTTTCTTTCCACCTCTGTATTCCCAGCGGTGCCGTTCTGCATTCTAGCCAGGTTCCCCTGGCTTTGAAACATCTCAGACTTCTTAGCTTCTCCAAAACTCTTGGTTTTTTTCAGGGTGCTGCCTTTTAAAATATGAGGCATTTCAAGTATCTATGGCTTTTGAGCTTTTGATTTTTGTCCTGTAAACAGAAATAGACACAGTGAGATACAAAGACATAGAAGTTAGTTTATTTAATGTTTAAGATAACTTGAAACATGCTTTGTTTGTATAAATTATGTTACAATAAGGTTTCCCAAAACACAAAGACCGAGGTCTTAGGCGATAAGAGGCTCCATTCTGTATTCTGAAGTCATTCATTCCCCATTGTTGCTTGTTCTCTGGAACAATTGATTTCATTGATAAAGTACAGCAGTCTTACAGTTATGATAATTATGTACAAAATCTGAAAGTTTTGCACTGTTATGCCAAACATGCAAAAATAAAAGTGAAGATCACATTAAAATGGAACATAAAAATGCTAAATCATTTGCAGTAAAAACAAAAGATGCCCTTTAATAATTATCTTTTATCTGGTGAGCACTTTCTAAGTGTTGGCAATGGACCTCTACTTCGCATTCGTGATCTCATGTGATCTTCACCAGATCCCGAGCAGGTAGAGATATTCTGAGTATTATCCCCACATTACAGGTGACTGTGTCATAATAACGAGCGTAAGGTCACTTAGGGACTGACGGAGGCGTTTCCAGTCTTTGCATCCCACGGAAGTTCTTAACTAGCTTAACTTGGGTCAGATCTGTTCCGTGTTCTATAGACTCGATCTATCAGAAATGATTCTTTAAAAAACGGATGACAAAAATCAAAGATGGGTTCCTTTTGAGACGCCTCGTCCCATATCCACTGGCAACATCGAAGCGCTGTGTGTTGGAGCGGCTGTGCGTTGATGGAACAGATGAATGCCTAGTGCTACTGGGATGTTTGTTCTCGATTAAGTCATTCTGTGTAATAATCAGTTTTTTCCTGATAGTCCAAAACCACCAATAAGATGTCTTTTTATTGCTTTCTCCTCCTTCTCTTCATGTAGTTGACCAAGGCCTCACGGCGCCTACGGATGACTCGTGCTTCGACCCCTACACGGTGTCCCATTATGCCATTGGAGAGGAGTGGGAGCGGCTGTCTGAATCTGGCTTTAAACTCTCGTGCCAGTGCTTAGGCTTTGGCAGTGGTCATTTCAGATGTGACTCATCTAGTGAGTAGCTTGCTTCGTCCATCCACGTGTCTGTCCATCTCTTCCGGTCCCGCGCATTCGCACTGTGCCAAGGAATCATGTTTGGCAGATACAGGCTCTTCCAAACATGAAGCAACCGAGGGGAGCCTGCTTGACTCAAAGTAACATTTTGCATCATAGAACAATGATGGGAAATGTTACTTGTGGAATATTGCTTCATTTCAGGGCTGGTATGTCAGTATGACGCAAGTAAATTTGCGATGGTAATATGATTTTTAAAAAAAATTGTCTGTTAAGATACATTAACAAAGTCAAATTCTTTGGAGCCAGGTCAAATGAGAGACACAAGAAACCCCAAGTTTCTTTTAATCTTTGGTGTGGAGTGAGCTCAGAGGTAAGCATTTACACTCTCAGACTTTCTGACCCTTTCAGTGCAAACCAAACATGCCTGTCGCAGAGTACACGCACGCGTGCACACACACACACACTCTCATTTTACACATACACAGACGCACATCAGATAACTTGATTCTTTCCAAGTAATACAGGGAGTACAGATATTCTGGAGATAATTAATCATCTTCAATTAAAATATATTTAATTTTCAAATTATAAAGAGAGTGTAATATATGAGTTATTTATTTGCTAGTTAAAATGATCTGAGGAATGACTTATGTTTTGGGATTTAGTAGTAGAATTTATAAACCTTTTATTTATGCTTTCTTTTTTATAGGTGTTAACCATTATGCCTTATAATCATGCCTTCCTTAGACATATGCAGAAATCGTATTTGGAGAAATAACGCATAATAGATTTTTTCAAAGTATTTTACTTGTATACATGAAATGATTTAATTCAGACCGAAACATAAAACAACTAATTCTTTCGGTGCAGACTGCTGTGCCCACCCATCTGGAGATGGGGAGGCAGAGCAGCAGAGATGTCATGCTGTTTAGGAGTTGGAATTTTTAACATTTGACATCAATTCGGGGGTTTTTCATTTATGAAACTGAGCTACTTTTAAGTTTACATCTTTATTGTCTATATAAAAGCTAGGTGCAATTTTGAGAGCAGAGTTGTAAGTTGATTTATGTGATTCTTTGGTTCAAGTTATATCTTCTTTGCTTAGCTGTCATAATTGTTGATTAACTTAAAGTTTAAGGGATGATATTGATAAATGGAAGTATAGGATATTGTTTTACAAACTTCTGAAGTGTGTTTTATTTCAATATAAACCTTGGAGATTAAAAAGTCATATTTTATGTGTCGTAGTCAAGATACATAACTGTGACTGTTAGCTGTCCTTAAAACCAGCCTCATTTTTAGGGATAGTAATCACTGATTTATCATTTTGTTTGTTTTTGTTGTTTTGACACACAGGTTTATTTGTTTTGTCTTCTCATTTACAAGAAACCTGCTGATCTTTGTGGGGGTTTTTGTTGTTAATGGAACTGTTTTGTATCCAGGATCTCTGCAAATCCAAAGTGATTTTTCTATTGTTAAAATACCCAAATCCTACTTTAGTTTTACCTTAATTATGAGAATTCAAACGAAGGTCACTGACTATTCTTGTGGTGTGATTATGATGGAATAAACTGAATCATAAAATAGCCTAGATAATGTAAAATGGTAAAGATAATATTTTAAAATCCAACTAAAAGAAATGGTTTATTTTGGATCATGGCCTTCCACTCTCCTCACCGTTCCTTCCAGACACCTGGCTTTCGAGGGGCGAGTGTGACACGTCCCTGGGGCTCCCTGCCTCGCGGGTCAGAGCGCCCACTGACTGCCTTCCATCTCCCCGCCCGCAGAATGGTGCCATGACAACGGTGTAAACTACAAGATCGGGGAGAAGTGGGACCGCCAGGGAGAGAACGGCCAGATGATGAGCTGCACGTGTCTTGGAAACGGGAAAGGAGAATTCAAGTGTGACCCGCGTAGGTTGCCACTGACCCTTCTCGGTGCCTTGTGCGCACTCCCGCCCCTGGCTGGGCTGGAGCTCCCGCCCCCAGGAGCGCTCTGTAGGCCCTCCCCCAGGGAACCACTCCCAGGAGTGGTCTGTAGGCCCTCCCCCAGGGAACCACTCCCAGGAGTGGTCTGTAGGCCCTCCCCCAGGGAACCACTCCCAGGAGTGGTCTGTAGGCCCTCCCCCAGGGAACCACTCCCAGGAGTGGTCTGTAGGCCCTCCCCCAGGGAACCACTCCCAGGAGTGGTCTGTAGGCCCTCCCCCAGGGAACCGCCCCCAGGAGTGGTCTGTAGGCCCTCCCCGAGGGAACCGTGGGTGTGTTAATCTTTTGATTTGGGAAAGCAGAGACAAGCTTCAAAAATGAGCCCGAATTTAACGCTATTAGGGGCACCTGGGCGCTTTTCCAACCTGGGCATCTTGACCATAAACTGCGGTGAAATGTTGTCAGAAAGCTTCATGGGTATTTGGACTCAACTTTTAAAATTCAGCCTCTGTCCTCCCCGCTGACGAGGCCTAGTTTGGGGAAATGCTGCCCCTCTGAGCTACACAGCAGGCTCCCTGCTGCGAATGATTCCCGTGAACGTGGTTGGCTGTGCTGATCCAAATGTAGGCGAGGACAGAGCCACCCCCGCACGGGGCTCAGGTCTGCATGACTGCCCCCGGTCTCACATGTGCCCCGCCCGTGTCTCCACGCAGATGAAACGACGTGCTACGACGATGGGAAGACGTACCACGTGGGGGAGCAGTGGCAGAAGGAGTATCTCGGGGCCATCTGCTCCTGCACATGCTTTGGAGGCCGGCGGGTAAGCCCCCCGCAGTCCAGATGCCGCAGGGGAGCCTCCTGTGTGTGCTGTGCATGCAGGGGCGGCGGTGCCCCTGACGGGTGTGCAACACCTGTTGGCACGTGGCTGCCCAGGTAACACCCTTTCCAGGTGTCCCCTGTGGAGGCAGCACCTGTTGGCACGTGGCTGCCCAGGTAACACCCTTTCCAGCTGTCCCCTGTGGAGGCAGCCGCAGCCCCTCCCACACCCAGCGCTCTCGGTCGTCTTCGCTACGACTGCTGAAGTGTCACAGTTGGGTGGGGCTGGCCTCTAGCTCCAGCCTAAAGAACAGCTGCCCTGGGCATTGTTAGATATTTTGAGTAACACCCCAGACCTAAGACAGTGCCCCTTCCTTCTGCCCTCTCTCAAAAAATGATTCCTGCATGTCGCTGGGCCAAGGAATACGGGACAGTCGAGGGCATGGGGAAGATCCTGGCTCTTAGGGACGTCGTCGTCGGAGACATCGAATTAGCATACACTGAAAGTCAACCTCTTTGAATAAGGTTCTGAATACAGTTCCCAGGTAGACGAGTCGGCAGGGAGAGTTTCATGAGAAAGAAGTGTGCCGGCTGAGATTTGGCTGAGGAAGGGGAGGAGGGGAGGAAGCAGAGGGAGCAGTTACACCCCTGGGAAGGGACGGGGGTGGCGTGTGCGGGCTCCGGTGAGCCACCCCCCGCCTGGCGTCTTGTGAGAAACTGGATGAGCCTTGCAAGTCCATTATTCAAACCAGTACGTCTCAACCATTTCTCATCTGCTCTACTTCCATATAACAAACAATGCTGTGCCTTTTAATATTTGAAATTTCAAAATAAAATGACCCTTGTAACTCAAAAGTAAAGGGACATAAGTGCCCTTTGTTTTGATGAGAACACGCCCTCCCGACTGCCCTGAAATTCTGGTGCGTGATGAGCATGCCTCCTGTGGACGGATCCCGTGACTCGTCCGTCTGTCCGGCCCGTGCCGGGTGCAGACCGTACTGGGTGGCCGTGAATTGGTTGGAAAGCGAGTTTGGATCTCACTATTTACCCACAGGAAACCGTGTGCAGCGCCCGTTCTGGTTTCAGTGCTCAACGGAACACTGAAGACAGGAGTGGGAACTGTTACATTTTTATAGGAAAGCAAGACTCATTGATTCTCTAAGTAGGCGTTTACCCGTAATTGTGTTCGGTAGGATGGAGAATATGCTTTTAAAGGGAGAAATATGTCTGAAACATTTAACTGACGCTATAAGAAAGTGACTGTATTACTTAGGGTTTTTCGGTTATACGAGAAAAGCTCGATTCAAGTTAATTTAGACACGAGAAGGCTCTCATAACAAAAAGTCCCAGTTCTACCAGCCTCAGGGCCCTTCGTCCATGCATCCGTCTCCCTCTCATGTGCTTCGTTCTTTGTATCGGCTTCGTTCCCCAGGAGGCTCTGCTGATGTGGCAGAGGTGACCTCCATCAGTTCCCGGTTTGTCTCCTAGCAGCTTAGGAGCAGTGGTGAAAGGGAACAGTTTTCCTCGCGTTGCTAGCAAAAATCTCAGGTGGAGCCTCGCTGGCCCAGCGGGGCCCATCCCACCCCCACGCCATCGCTAGCCCGATGAAGGGAGTGGCCGTGCGGTGCGGTAGCAGGTATGGCCAGGAGTCACCCAGCTGACTGTCCCGCTCCCTCTGAGCAAGTCACTCGTCTGGGTCTCATTTCCTTACCTGTAAAATGAAGGGGTTGATCCATGTGATCTTAAGTTCCCTTTCCAAGCTCCTGGATTCTAGGGAAACCGCTTCTGCTATCTCGTGTGGAAAGCTCAGTGGGCATCGGGCTGGAAGGAGCCTTTGCAGACAGGTGAGGTTTGAGCAGGAAAAGAGGACATTTCGGGAGAAAGGAAAGGCGGAAAAAGACAGAGGCAGCTGTAAGACATGAGTAATCGGCCAAAATGTATTCTACGAGTGATAAACGCATGAAATCATCATCAAAGCGTCCTCTGTGATTAACTGCTTCCCTTTTGCCAACGAGGAGCTGAGATGCTTCTTTCACACGAGCACTAAGTTCGATGTTCTCGTAAACCCCTGACTTCACACCTCTGCCCTCAGGGCTGGCGCTGTGACAACTGCCGCAGACCAGGGGCTGAAGCGGGACACGAAGGCCCCACCGGTCACTCCTACAACCAGAATCCTCAGCGATACCATCAGAACTCAAACACTGTGAGTGCATTTGTATGAACACTTCTCCCCCAAATGCAGTTGGTCACATAGTAGAGACTTTCCTTCTATGGGTACTTTTCTATTCAATGAACCTATTTTTTAAAATTAATTTATTTATTATTCTTTATTGATTTTAGACAGAGAGTGAGGGAGAGGGAGAGAGAGAGATAGAAACATCAATAAGAGAGAACATCCACTGGCTACCTCCTATATGTCCTCCCCTGGGGCTCAGGTCACCAACCTGGACATGTGCCCTGAAAGGGAATTGAACCGGTGACCTCCTGGTGCATGGGTCAATGCTCAACCACTGAGCCACACCAGCCAGGCTGAATGAACCTATTTTAAAAACAAAACAAAAACCTTTATATGACTTGAGTACTGTAGCCTGTAACATAATTTAGGTTCTAATGTATTAAACTCTTGAACATCACCTGTTACCCGGTTTATTGAGTTTATTGCTAGGTTCTTAAAGCTAGAAATATTCTATCTAAAAGTAATTGTCATAGCCTGGCTGGTGTGACTCAGTGGATGGAGTCTCATCCCAGGGACTGAGGTCCCAGTTCGATTCCCCATCAGGGCACATGCCGGGTTGTGCACTCGATCCCCAGTAGGGGGCGTGCAGGAGGCAGCTGCTTGATGTTTCTCTCATATTGATGTTTCTATCTCTCCCTCCCTTTCGCTCTAAAAAGAAATCAATAAAAAAATTCCAAGTAATTTTCAGAGAAGCCCCACCCTTTTTTTCTGTTTGCTTTGCAGTGTTTGCTACTCACTTTTCTTTGTGTTCTATATTAACAGAATGTCAACTGCCCAATTGAGTGCTTCATGCCTTTAGATGTACAGGCTGACAGAGAAGACTCCCGGGAGTGATATTTCCAACCCAGAAAGCGAGCGTGGATCTTTGCCAAGGCCATCCAAACTGGAGTGACGTTAGCAGACCCCATCTTAGAGTGTGTGTTTCTTTCTTAAGCCCTTTGCTCTGGAGAGTAACTTCTCCAGCTTCAGCTCAACTCACAGCTTCTCCAAGCATCACCCTGGGAGTGTTTTGAGACTTTTCTCATAAAAGGGCAGTTCATTGCCTGTAGTATTCAACACCGTATTTTAAGTGAAGCGATTCTACCTTGTGATTCGGTTTAGCATCCGAAGGGAAGCACATGCACCAACCCAGATGCAACATGTGCTGAAATGGTATAACCACAGCTTTAAGTAGGAAAGTTGCCCAAACACTTCTGCTTCCACTTAACCGGCCCGCAACATTGTAGGAACGGCATGCCCTTGTTACTGAGATATTTAAAATATCCACAGCGCTCACTTTTTCCAAATGATTCTAGTAAATGCCTAGAAATATCTTCTCTTTCCTGTTATTTATCAATTTTTCCCAGTATTTTTATATGGAAAAAAAAAATTTGCATTGAAGACACTTAGTATGCAGTTGATAAGAGAAATTTGGTTTAATTATGGTTGGTGATTATTTTTTATACTGTACATGCCAAAGCTTTACTACTGTGGAAAGACAACTGTTTAATAAAAGATTTACATTCCACAACTTGAACGTCATGCCTTCTTTTTAATATAAAGACATTTGGGGGGAAATCACCCTTATGGAGGTTCTTTTTCTTTTCAATTCAGTAAACATTGGAAAACCTCTGCGTTCTGCTCATACTTGGTGATTTCAGTACAAGACTCTGAATCACCATAAAAACAGATTCCTTCTTCTCGTTTCATCTGTTCCGGGATGGAGATGGTCTTATTTTCTGCTCTACCAGATTTAAGTGGACGTAAATATTCATTTACCTTTCTAGCTAGCTCTTCAGAAGTCAAGTTGAAACAACTTGAGTTGCGCTTTTTAATCCTAATTCTTCCCTCCCCAGAGATCACCTGCAAGGGGAAGGAAAGGGTTAGTTAAAACTCCCTGAATGGTATAGCACAGAGGAGTTTGGTCCTAGGGAAACCCCTGGTATAATGACCTCAATCCAACTTGTCTACATTCTGGTCAGCCGACAGTTTTAGGGTCCCCCAGCTGAACAAAGTTTGCTTACTCTTAGTCTGCAAAGACCATTTCCTTTTCTTTAACTTTGGGGAACCAACACAACTTTGAGATTAAATCTGGCACTCAATAACAGTGGCACTGGAAAAGCTGACAATTAGTAAAATAATAACTCATAAAATCTACAACATGAAAAATACATTTTAGAAGCTATTATGTAATACAGAAAAATATTTCAATAAATAACCCAGCAATGAACATTAAGACTAAACACAGAAAGAGATTTCCTCAGGTTTATTTGTTTGGGAAAACAATGAATTTACATTTGAGTTGATTTACAGTTCAATGCCTTGCCGGTTAGCATCTCATTTGGGGTAGGCTTTATTAGTCTAACTTGATAAAAACTAGAGCTCAGATGAGCTTTCCATGGCAGGACACAGACCCTAGACTTCTCTTTAACATCACTAATCTTTCAGCTTTATCAGGCCAGTACTTAGCAAGATTACTGCCCTGTGGGGGTGGGGGTGGGGGTGGGGGTCACAGAAAGTACAGATCACAGTGACATTAAATGACTCCATGTGGGGCATCATGGCTCAGTGGAGAATGTGACTCAATGCAAATCCACACACTGCGATGGCAGGTCCCACTGAAGACACATGTCTGAGAAAGGCGGGTCCCTCCATCCTTCCTGTGTGAGGATATGGGCCTCAGCTCTGTCTTAGGTTTTTTAGATGAAAACGTAAGGAAAGAGCAGCTTTGGATTGAGACTGCTTCCAACCACTTACCTAACTACAAACCGAAGAATATTTCCCACAGTCAGTTTAAGCAGATCCTGTTGGACTGTATCTAAAGGACAGCGAGTCCGTTAGACGACTTACACCCTGAAATGTAAACACTGAAGGCTCCACATAGAAAAGCACTGCTTCTTCCAGAACGCCAGCCAGAGTCTCAGAGCAATGCGACAGTTACAAACTGAGCTATTTCAAAAGTGAGTCAGTAGCTACATTGAAGTAATCAGAGCAAATGAAACAATTTTTTATCTATACAAAATGTACTAGCTTATTTTTCTAAAGTTATAATGACGGTAGAATAAACTGAGGATCAGGAAGATTAAGGGACTCACCTGAGACAACACAGCCAGGAAAACACAGATTTGAGACTCTGATTGAGGGCTCATGATTTTAGAACTGATCTCCAGTGACTTCTGGAACCCAGGGATGGTTCTCCAGCTGAAACAGGTGCATTGTCCCCATGTGTTTCCTAGCGGATGCCACGCCCCGGTAGCATGGTGCCTTGAGACCACTGCCTACTGCCTGGCCCACCTCTATGGACACGAGTATTCAAAGTGATGGTTAACTCTGTGTGTCTTGACTCCAAATTAAATAAATTTCAGTGACCTTTTATGTTTGGCATCATAGTCTTAAGCAAACTAGACTGAGAAGACATGATTAGAAGACCGATCAGGATTTATGCAAGAAATAGCCAATCTGCCAATTCAAGAAAAATCAGATAAAGCTAATACATATCAGACTTTAAAAAGAAAAATCATAATTTGGAAGCTTTACCTTGCCTTGCTGCATTTGCTTTGTAATGAAATTTATTGTTGTGTATTTCTATTGTTTTCAGTTCTCATGACCTAAGTGAATTATGAAAATCAGCCTATATAATAAAATCATTATCAGCCTGTAAGGCACACTTTTTATGGAGGTGAATAAAGAAATGATCAGGTAGAAATCAGAAGTATACAAGAAGACCTTTTTATTTAATTATATTTCCATTGAATGTTCTATTCCATTTCTAGTTGTCCGTAACTCATTAATATGATTAAGAAACATCACATCAACACATTGAAGTGCCAAAATTGTTCCAATTAGTCAATTCTCATTACTGTGGTAGGGAAAGTTTCAGGCTACAATGAAAAAAATCCCATTTCAAGACATACATTTCAGCCATTAACAAAAAAAGAAAAAGACCACTCTTGGACATCTCTGTTCGGCAACACCTGCAGGTTATCAGAAAGGCTAGTGAGACCTGCACTGCCCCGGGGTTTTCGGGCTGGCAACGTTCTTCTTCTTTTTTTTTTTCTTTATTGATTTTAGACAGGAAGGGAGAGAGGGAGCAAGAGATAGAAACATCGATGAGAGAGAACATCGATTGGCCACCTCCTGCACGCCCCCCACTGGGGATTGGACCCACAACCTGGGCATGTGTCCTGATCGGGAATCAAACCAATGACCTCTTGGTGCATGGGTCCATGCTCAACCACTGAGCCACACCAGCCGGGCTGGCAATGTTCTTTTTAGAGAGTATATGGTACTCATGTTTGAGCTACCAGTTATTATTATTATCATTAATTTTTATCCTCACCTGAGGACACTTTTGCATTCATCTTCAGATAGAGTGAGAGGGAGAGAGGGAGGAAGAGAGAGAGAAACGTCAATGTCAGAGAGACACATCGAGTGGCTGCCACCCACACGACCCTAACCAGGGGTGGGGACAAAGTGCAACCGAGGTACATGCCCTTAGCGGGAACCAAACCCAGGTCTCTCTGGACCACAGGCCGACGCTCTAACCACTGAGCCAAACTGGCCAGGGCGAGCTTCGAGTCACTATCACAGCCACGTGATCCCACTCCATATCCTCCTTGAAAAGTTCCACTTGAATTGCAAACAAAAATCTATATAAGTGACAAAGGAAGAGAATGTTGTATGTAATTAACAGTAAGAGAATCGATGTACAAAATGGGAAACTTTTTTAATAACAACCCTCAGAAGAGTCAGGTAGAAGACACTAAAGCATGTTTTACATTTCCTTGAATTCCTGTTTAGTCTTTAGAGACATAGATTTTAACAATCCTGGGAGGTGACTTTCCCTCTAAAATAGCACTTGTGTGGAGACCCCAAAGACGTGCGACTAGCACTGTTTGGAGACTGTGGAGGCGGTGGTCAGCACCCCGCACCTGCTGGGGCTGGAAGCACCTGTCCTGCAGGCTGTCCGCCTCAGCAGGCTCCCCTGACAAACACACCGGAGGCTAAGGATTCCCCCCTGGCATCTTCTTGCATCACGGTGGTGCTCTGGAACTGGCCCACGGGAACAACGCCTGTGCCAGGAGACCGCTGGACAGGGCTTAATAAAACCTGCTGACACGTATAATTCAGCACGAGTTGTAGGATGCAGACCCAAACGCTGAAAAGCTATACAGACCACTTGGAACCTCACACATTGCTGGTGGAAATATAAAATGGCACAGTTGCTGTGGAAACCAGCTTGGTGGTCCTTCAGAACGTTAACCACGGGATTGCCATAGGGCCCAGCAATGCCACTCCTGGGTATACACCCAGAACTGAAAACATACGTTCACATAAAAACATGCACAAAAACAGTCACAGCACCATTATTCCTAACAGCCAAAAAGAGGAAACAGCCCACATGTCCATCAACGGATGAATGAGGAAACAGAATTCTACACAATGGAATATTACTTGACCATACAAAGAAGTATTCATATGTTCCACATCATGAACCTTGGAAACATTATGGCAAGTGAAACAAGTGAGGCACAAAAGGCCACATGTCATATGATTCCATTATATGCAACATCCAGAGTAGCAAACCAACAGATACAGAAAGTAGATTAACAGTCCAGGGACTGGGAACATGGGAGGAATAGAAAGTAGCTGCCAATGGGGATGGAGCTTCGTGCTGGGATGATGAAAATACTCTGCAACTGGACAGTGGTAATGGCAGGACAACTCTGTGAATGTACTTAGAATCACTGAGTTGTACACTTTAAAATGGTAAATGTTATGTTTCATAAATTTTATTTTAATACAAAAGGAAAATAACACTCTAGTTCCAGACCGTCTTCGTATGTCCTTTTGTGTATTGGTAAGAAGCGGAGGGTGTAAAACAGAGTCGGTGATGGGCTGAAGGAATTCAGAAACTGTTTGGCTACCTATTTGGAAACTGAAATAAAATCTTCCATAAATATACACTTACTTTTTTTTAATCCTCACCCGAGGATATTTTTCCATTTTTTGTTCAGATAGAGTGGGAGGGGGGGGAGAGAGAGAGAGAGAGACAGAGAGAGAGAGAGACAGAGAGAAACATCGACGTGAAAGGGACACATCAAGTGGCTGCCACCCACACGACCCAACCAGGGCCAGGGACAAACTGCAACCGAGGTACGCACCCTTAAGTGGGAACCGAACCCGAGTCTCTCTGGACCTCAGGCCGACTCTCTAATCGCTGAGCTAAACCGGCCAGGGCCATTTACTACTTTTTATGGTAATTTCCATACATTAATATTATCCTCCATTACCTTCCATGCCCTCATATACACACAAACATTACAAAAATAACCAGCAATTTTTTTTTCTTTATTGATTTTAAAGAGAGAGGAAGGGAGAGAGGAGAGAGAGATAGAAACATGGATGAGAGAGAACATTGACTGCCCGCCTCCTGCGTGCCCCGACTGGGAATTTGGCCCACAACCTGGGCACGTGCCCTGACCGGGCAAAACTGCAGACATTTTAATTTAGGGAGGAGGCTGGTTCAAGATATGGAAAGAGGGTGGGACTCCTGCACTAAGGAGGATGACACGTTCAGTTGGTCTCAGGCGTGATGGAGATGGAGTCGGGACCACGCCGCAGGGTCTTCGTGCACGTCAGACGCAGGGAGGCACTGCCCCCCACTGGGCCCCGCCTTTCCCCGAAGCCCGAGGGAGGTGCTGATCTACTTCTGGACACGAAACAGTCATTGCATTTTTGATGCAGCACCAGAGGGGACCATCAAGGGCTGAGATTACATCTCACTTGTCACAGAGAAGTGTGTACCAGCACTATCCGTGTAGGGTGTAGGGGTCGACAGAAGACTTACTAACCCGTCAAGTTTGGGTTCACAGGACACAACCTACTGCTCGTTTAGAAGGCAGAAAACCATGCTTTTGAGAACTGAGATGGACAGAAGCTCCGCCTGAGGAGAATGCCCCCCGAGAGATCTCGGGGCTTGAAGACGTTCCCGCCAGCTCCCCAGGGCTGCTCGTTGCTCGGCTTCCAGGATGGTTTGTTTCCCACAAGCAGTTCGGAATGAGCGGAGCCGGAGTCGGGACAAACGTAGGTCAGTTGTATGGCTGTACACACCTTGACTAGGGATCAAACCTGCAACCTTTTTTCCCTTTTTTCTTTGACATCCCCCTTCTCCTCCCCAGCCCCCACCTTGACCGAATTGTCGTCTGTGTCCACTGTGTGCATATAAGTTCTTTGGCTTTTCTCTTCCCAGCCCTCCACCCCCCTTCCCTCTGAGGTTAGCAAATCTGTTCCCTATGTTCATGTTTTTTGTTTTATTTTTGGTGAACCCAGACCTTTCGGTGTACAAGATGAAGCTCCAGTGAACCGAGCAACCTGGCCAGGGCTCCTGTATTTCTTCCTGTATTTCTTCCACATAAATATTTGTGTGTGATGTTTATCATGCTCAAGAGCCTATAGCTTTAGGACAGATGAAATACAACTACAGACACCAGTGATCTGAGATTATTATTCAGATTTCATGTTTTATTTTAAGTATTTTCAAAATCCCCCCCATGGTTTTCCACCCACGTCAGCGAACCTTACAGCAACGTGTGGTTAAATCAGTGATGGAAGAGCCGAAGACTCGTGTGAGCGAGGACTATCCCCAGTTCATCGCAGGCCTCAATCACGACCTTGTCAGCAGCAGACCCGGACGGGGCAGCAATAAAGGCCACGCCACTCTGAGCGGGAAACGGATACTGACTTTCAAAACGCAAGTTTACGTTAAAATGCACCAAAATCAAAATCTGCACCACAAACGCATAACTAACAATGATTCGCATTGCAGACCGACTGACTCAGACCAAAGGTAAAAATAACAGGCTCTGAGTTACCCGAGCAGCTAACGGAGAAGTCAGAACCATTCTCTAACTGTCGATGACACAGCACACCGCCACAGCCTGAGCACATGACTCACGGGCATTAAAACCAGAAGCAGGACTTCTGAGTTTCCACGTGGAGATCAATTCCCTGCAAGTGTGCACCCAGCCCACACTTACCCTCTTAGCTCTGTCTACGTTATCCCTGAAAGGGAAGAAGGCATCCGAGCTGACAGAAACGTCACAAAGTTTGTCGATCCATTCCTTCTTCTCTGCCTCGGTTAGTAATTCAGGGACTTCCTCAAACAGCGCCTTCCACTTTACTAAATCTTCACCCTGTGAGTGGGGGAGGAGGGAGAGAAAGGCTGGACCCCATCTTTAGGAATACCTGATGCGAGATGCCACAGAGCACGTGGGCATTTTTCCTAGTAATTATTCTTAATTATAAATAGTGACATTTACTCTCAAGCTCATATTTCTAGAATCTCTACTTCTTAAAAATGCTTTTAACATGTCTTTAAGGAAGGAGAGTGACTCTGAGTGTAGCAAATAAAGACTATACCGTTTACTTTGTACTTCAGTCTATTCCAAATATATTTTGTTCTTTAATCTCTGCCCAAGTTAAATCTACTACTTTATACCCCTGTATCAAAGCAAGAAAGGAAACAGATAAGGGACTTTCTAAAACTACATTTAAACAATTAGCCTCAAGTATATAGACAGTCTTACTGACAAATCAAAACACAATTCATAATATTCATATTTTAGGAAGGTGCTTCCATTTTGGGTGATTTTTTTTTTTTTGGGGGGCTTCGACAACATTCTTTTATTCCTGTTCACATACAAACCTCTTCCAGGAGAACGAGCAGGCTTTTGCTTGGTAACGTCAGACAGAAAGATACCAGATTAGAGTAAAAAGGCCAAGCTGTTTCCAGGGCTTCGGCTGCGAGGCCCGCCCCACCCCGCCTCCACACGCACCATGTCTCGGGCTCCTGCTGCGGAATGACACCTCGGCGCAGTGGATTCGCCCTCACAAAAGCACCGAGGACAGGGCCTTGCCTTGTTTCCCACCCGTATCTCCTAAACCCTTGCTAATATCCAGAAACTGGGCTCAACCCCATTGTTCATCAGGCTATCTGATACTTGCGATTTTAATGTTCCCAAACACCTTCTGCAGAACAGGAGATATTAACAAACACGAAAGGAAACAAAATATACTGGGTGCTTGGAGAACACACGGTGGGGAAGAGAGCACTGGTTGCTGCCGTCAGACATCTGTGTGCAATGCTTCTAGTCCACAGGGGAAACACACACACACAAAACACAAAGGTTGTAATTTAAAAAGACAGAGAAAATTTGTGGTGTTAAAAAGGGATGAAGGAAGTTAAGTGAGACAGAAGACAATGAGGCACTGATAACACGTTTAAATTAAGGATTTTATATAATAAAGAATTTTTTAAAAATAGCATTTAGTATCAGGGTGAACATAATATGCTCCACTCATAACCCGGTAACAAGCCTTTTACCTCGCCGATGGTTCCGGTAACGTACTGATCGATGGCGTTGGAGATTTCTGCTCTCTTGACTCCGGTTTGGAACTTCATGGAGAGCACCCGAGGATGATGTCTAAGCCACCAGAAGTTCGCTTTATCTCCTGCCAGGCGGGTGCAGTGGATCCGAGACTGCTGTCCTGCTCCGATGCCAATAACCTGAAGAACACGGACACAGAAATGAATGCCTCTTCCAAGTACACATCTGCCTCACACCTGTTAATTTTATAAAAGGAAAAAGCAGGCCAAAATAAGAGAAATGCAAATACTTTTAATACCTTTTTAAAAAAATTATTTTCTTTATTGATTTTAGAGAGAGAAGAAGGGACAGAGGGACAAAGCAGAAACATCGATGAGAGAGAATATCGATTGGCCGCCTCCTGCATGCCCCCACTGGGGATCGGGCCCACAACCTGGGCATGTGTCCTGACCGGGAATCGAACTGGCGACCTCTTGGTGCATGGGTCAACGCTAAATCACTGAGCCACACTGGCTGGGCCACTTTTAATACTTTTTAAGTCAATAAAAGGTGAGGGTTAAGTAAGAGGTTTATGACTACTATCTATACATTTTATCTCTCAACATTCTGGAACTTCCTACAACTCCTAGACATCAGTAGTGAAGCATAGTCTTCCTGGAACTTACTAGAACCTGAGGAAACCAGCAGCCACAATCTCCCAGGTTTCTGTTGTCAGAGACTAGCAATCTTTTAACAGTTGGCAATAACTAAAACTCTGAATTTGAGAGGGTCTTCCAGGGTGCACACTAATTAATACCCCGCCCCCCCCCCCCAAACTGATGAGCCAAACAAATGCCAAGAGAAGAGCTCAAGGCACTGGGAAGAAAGGGCCCCTATGCTGCTGACGTGATGACAGAACCAGGTTCACCCCACAGGTCCAGGCCTGGTGACGAGCTAGCCTGGGCCCATGTTCTATGGCTCGCAGCACCAGCAAAGTCCAATGGGTGGCTTGTAACACCAGGTAGTAAGAAATCCTCGCTAACTTAATTGCAGTAGTGGGCACACAACTATATAGTTTGGGTTGAGCATTGTCCCAAGCACCGAAAGGTTGCCGGTTCAGATCCCGACCAGCACATGCCTGGCTTGGGGGCTCAATTCCCGGTAGGCAGAGATGTACAGGAGGCAGCTGATTAATGTTTTGCTTTCACATCAATGTTTCTCTCTCTCTCTCTCTAAAAATCAATAAAAACACTTTTTAAAAAAAAGGTCAAAATATCTATGTAAAAATATTCTACAAGCTATAAAAATATGGGCTAGTGGGTGGCATCATGATTCTTTACTCCCTCTTCTACCAGTGGTGAGGGGGTGAATAAAGCAGCTTTGAGCAGCTATTCAAGTCCCGCTAATCCAAAATGTGCAACCCATTCCAGGCAAGAAGCAATATGACTCATTTTAATACTTAGTTCCAAAGATACTTTGTAATATTAGCTTGAATAGTCCACCAACTTACTCAGGAAATACTAACAGACCCAGGAGGCAGATGGATCTTTGAACATCATTCTGTAAAATGCCAGCCCCCTCAGGTGTCTCGTGGCTCAGTTACCTGACCGTTCTTGGCATAGCACACGGAGTTGGACTGGGTGTACTTCACAGCAACGGTGGCCACAATGAGGTCTCTGAGCGCGGGTTCCGGCAACTGAGCAAACACAGAACGGTGAATGGCACCCGGCCTTTTAAACTTCATTTAACTTTAAACATCTCATACGGCATTTATTGTAATAGACTTACAATGTAGTTACCTCGCTCCAACGACTGAGTGAAATTAACTATTCACGCTGAGCAAGCAGTAGTGTGTTTTACTGAAAAGATCACTACTGACCATGTGTGCTCAGTGCCTCGCAGATTCAAACTAATGCCACTTTGCGACACCTTTGGCTTAGCCTGTTTACATATCACACAAGAGAAGTCCTCATAAAGACTGAGCCCAGATTCAAATCAGCTCCATTCCTGCCAGAATAAAGATGATCTGCTTCCACGTGACCTGCCTGTAAGAAGTGTAAGCCAACTCTCCGAAGAAAAACAAAATGCCATCCAGAACTTCAAAATATCTCTATAGTTTTATCACCAGCAATGGCCAGCCATCAATCAAAAATACCAGGCACACTGGCAGACAAGACCAGAAAATAATGGAGTGACATATCTGAAGTAATGAAAAGAAGTAGAGCCAACATTAGACCCAGCAAAAATATCCCTCAAAGCTGGAGGCCCAGTGAAGAGATTTCAGGAAACATCTACCAGCTCATCCATTTCCTTACTGTGTAACCTTGGGCAAACTTCTTAACTGTCTATGTCACAATTTTGTGACCTTTACAATATAGAAGATAGTAGTCCCCTCCCACTCCATGGGGGAGGGGACTACTATCATATTAAGTCTGTGGTTCTCAACCTTCCTAATGCTGTAACCCTTTAATATAATTCATGTTGTGGTGACCCCCAACCATAAAATAATTACACCTACTTAATTACTGTAATTTTGCTACTGTTACGTCTTAGGCGACCCCTGTGAAAGGGTTGTTCGACCCCCAAAGGGGTCGTGACCCACAGGTTGAGAAACGCTGTATTAAGTGCTATAGTACACAATTACACATTAAATAATATTGTATGTAATTACAAAAAAAAAATAATAATCACCATTATTATCCTAGGAGTATGTTCTTCCTAAAAGACAACAAAGAGCTCAAGAGTAAAAACTTGTCTACACAAAAACACTGATGACGGAGCTGAAAATGAAAACCACCTACAGCCCTGGCTGGTTTTGCTCAGCAGTTAGAGCATCAGCCTAAAGACCTGGGTTTGGTTCCCGCTAAGGGTATGTACCTCGGTTACAGTTTGTCCCTGGCCCTGGTTGGGTCATGTGGGTGGCAGCCACTCGATATGTCTCTCTCACATCGATGTTTCTCTCTCTCTTCCTCCCTCTCACTCTATCTGAAGATAAATGCAAAAATATCCTCGGGTGAGAATAGAAAAAAAAAGAAAGAAAACCACCTACATATCCACCATAGTATGTCTACACATGCATTGCTCTGTGGACTTTCGGATGAAGACATGAATATGTTTATTGACAAAGAAACACAATTGTAGCTTAGTGCATGAAAAAAGGCAAGTTATAGAACAGAATTTAAAAGACATGATTCCATTTATATATAAATGACGATAAATCTCTTGATGTCTGTACATACAGAACCTTCTAATAGAGTCTTGTATTCATTTTTTACGCTCTTAAGCTTACTTGATAACTCAAAGACACACCAGCCATTTGCCTACCAACCAGTTTTAAATATGGGCCTTAATGAATGCATAAGCTTATAAATATTAAAAACAAACTTACAGAATTACTAACAATTAAGTTCAGATATTTTCAAACTTACATCTTTATTCTTGGTAACAACATTGCTAAATAATGACCTATTGATGACACCATTATTTCTCTTCTGGCTTAAACGAAGACCAAATAGAGTTCGAACTTCATTTTCATCTGGATTATAAGACTGGTCCATCTACAATACAAATGTAAAGAGTTATAAAAGTAATAAACCTATATCCCTCAAAATTTTTCACTTAATTTATATCCAAAAGATTTGTTTGTAAGCAAGGTTATATGCCTTTTTTTCTAATTTAATCACACATAAGACTATTTCAGTATAAGCATAAAAGAAAGGCCACGCACCAATATTTTACACCAAAAATTTTTATAGGTTTCACAACTCTATAGGGTATTATAGGTTTTACATTTTTAATATAATGTTAAAACCAATGATTCCAGTGAGTGCATTTCTGGTTGCATTAACTAAAATCACTATACAATCCTTTTGAAAGATTAGCAGACAAAACAAAATTTGCTAACAGGCAGTGGCACATAAATTCTAATTTTCCCTTTTTTCTGAACATCTATTATAAAACACCTAACACTTAAATTACAAATTAAAGAAAAGTTAAAAGGGGAAAACAGGACTGGTAGCCTGTTGTCTTTGCCACTTCGAAGGGAATGTATTTACTGCTAGCTTTCTCTCCTAAATCTTGAGCTGAAAAGATACTAAGACGTGGGAATCATCTGCATAAGACCAATCTCTCCCAGGTTTTTCTGAGCTTAAAGTATTTCTTCATTTATTCTTTGGATGATCTTTGACCTAAAAGGCACTAATCTATAACTTAGAAGCAAATCCTCATGTTAATTCTGCTTAACTTGCACTTTCCTGGATTCTAAAATGTTCCCTTTTCCTTTACATTAAACAATTCCTAATACTGAGATGTACCTTCCCATTAGTTGATGTCAAAAGACACTTGTCATTAGTCAGGTAGAGGATCACGGTCTTCCAGGGCTGTCATGTGTCCGCACGCAAACTTAGCCAAACACTCAAAGTCCCGAGGAAGCTCCAGTCCTTTCAACACCTTTGAATTTAAAACTGTCAGGTGCTGCCCTGGCCGGTTTGGCTTAGTGGTTAGAGTGTCGGCCCACAGACCAAAGAATCATGGGTTTGATTCTGGCTAAGGGCACGTATCTCAGACGCAGTTTGATCCCTGGCCCTGGTCGGGGTTGTGCAGGAGGCAACCAATCAATGTGTCTCTCTCACATCAGTGTTTTTCTCTCTCTTTCCCCCTTCCTCCCACTTGATCTGAAGATGAATGGAAAAATACCCTCGTGTGAGGATAAAAAAAAAAAAACTGTCAAGTGCTGAAGAGGTCACAATGAATGAGTTCAGGGTTTGGAAAACATTCTCAATGTTGTTACACGTAACCACTAATAGCCATGTGTACTTATTACTCTTAATTAAAAATAGAAGATACAATGAAGGATACAGTGATAGCTAACTGAATGGTTGAATTTGTTGTCAAGTAGCTTAGGAAAACAAGCATGTGTACTTGAAGTAGTTTTTCTTTTCTTCCTTCTTTAAAAAGCTAACATGGAGCCCTGGCCAGTTTGGCTCAGCGGTTAGAGCGTCGGCCTGCGGTCCGGAGAGACCCGGGTTCGGTTCCCGCTAAGGGCACGTACTTCGGTTGCAGTTTGTCCCCGGCCCTGGTTGGTCGTGCGGGTGGCAGCCACTCGATGTGTCCCTTCACGTCGATGTTTCTCTCTCTCTTTCTCCCTTCCTCTCTCTCCCTCCCACTCTATCTGTACAAAAAATGGAAAAATATCCTCGGGTGAGGATAAAAAAAAAAGCTAACATGGAATCTATGGTGAACTATACAATTACCGGTACCTTACAATGAAGGATAAGTACTTAACTTCTATTATATGGAGCTGAGATACTACAGATTTTCTGACATTAATACTTTCTAAAAACAGTATTATGAATTTTTACTTCTAATTCAATTAACTCTGTTTTATCATTGTAAAGTCTTAGATTATGCTAGTTTTCTTAATACTGAAGAGCTTGCAAAAATCAGTGAGGAAAAATATCTCAACAACCTATTACAAAAATAAGCAGAGTATAGGCAGACAGTGCATAAACAGGAAGTAAAAATACTCTTAAATGTGAAAAGATGTTTACCCTACACAAGAAATTAAAACTGCAATGAGATGCCATTTTCATATATCTTATTGCTGTGAAGAAAAGTTTAAGAACACAATGCTGGCAATGGCATTGAGAAACAGGGAACCTGCCCAGGTGGTGTGGCTCAGTGGCTGAGCGTCGACCCATGCACCAAGAGGTCGCCAGTTCGATTCCCGGTCAGGGCACATGCCCAGGTTGTGGGCCCGACCCCCAGTGGGGGCATGCAGGAGGTGGCCAATCAATATTCTCGCTCATCAATGTTTCTATCTCTCTCTCCTCTCCCTTCCTCTCTCTCTAAAATTCAATAAAGAAAAAAAAGAAATAGAGAACCTTACATATTATCACTAAGACAAAATTTGTTGTACGATTTCTAAGAAGAGAAGTATCAAAATTACGACCCTGTCCTAATCTCTCTCTCAGGCCCCATCCCCCAAGTTACTCAATGCAGGATGGAGCAGTAGCAGCAAAAAGATGGGCGACCACCCAGATAAATGACACAGACACGGGACAGAATCCCAAGACAGTGAAGCATTTTGTGTGAGTGAGGGGAGAAAAAGAGAGAACAAAATGCGCATATTCGCTAAATATGTATTTCAGAAAAAATAAGCAAGAAATTTTAAATATTAGGTACTTCTAATAAAGGTAACTAGGAAGGATGGGAAGACTTTTCTTCAAAGGCCCTCTAATACCTTTTGAATAGAAAACCATGTAAATACACTAAATATTTAAAAAAACTTTTAAAAAGACTTTCAGGATTAAGGATAAAGAAACTGCAATAAAGAGTGTCAGCAAAAATAAAAGATTAAGTGTGAGGGAAAAGAAACACAAAATAAAAGAGCAAATTACTGTTTCAGACACGAAATTCACTAACCTGAAGAACACAGTAGTTGCCATTTTTCTTTTTAGAAAGTATTTTCAAAGCTTCTTCATCATATCCTGGGGCAACAATACCATCAGATACCTATAAATAAATATTTTCTGTTTTAAGAAATTACAGAACACCTCTTTAAAAATCTAGAGACAATGATTTATATCAAATACTGCAGCTGCATTTTGTGGTTTCTGTCTCCAACAGGTCATGCTAATGCGGCAGGTCCTGGAATAACACCATGTTGTTGATGAGATGCCAGAGGAGCGTAAACTCTTGTTTACATCAATTAATTGGTTTCATTATACATCGTTTTCCTTATTGTACCATATTGGGAAAGATAAGCCAATGTTAGAATACAACTTTCTATAGCTGAATTCATCTCATGTGCTGTCCTTTCAAAGTTTTTGGTTGTTCATTTCTGTTTTAACTAACAAATATAATCAATTTGCTCTGATAGCTTTAGGGAGAAAAACGATTTCTGACTATTCTGTTCACAGGGTAGTAGTTTGCACTAGAGAGAGCATGTTCTGGTTGGGGATGACAGTGGTCATGGAAGAATCTCTAGAGCAACTGAACACTGTCAAGCCACACGCCCCTTTAACCTTCATTTCTACCTTTTTTTATTTTTTCTCTCTAACCTGTTTGAGCTTTTTTTTTTCCATCTATCTCCCCAGCACCCCTTTTCTGGAATGCTTATTTGGTCCTCAGCTAATGAAGATCAGTTTTCTGGAAAGGCTCGTCATTTCCCCCATTATACAATCTCTTTCATTACAGATGCATGAAAGTTTACAGGAAAGCTCATTATTACATCACCATCCAAGACGCTATCCTCCACTCTTCAGGAAAAATAACTGGCATTAAGGTAACAACTACTAGAAAATTTAAGAGAAGTAAATAAATTAAAACTTTATCTTGGCCAAATATCCATTTGAAACACTAATTAACTAAATCTCAAAATTACAATTCAGTCAAGGATTCACGTTCTACATAAAATATGAACATTCTAAATGATAAACTAATTCACACACGGTATAAATATCAACATTACAGATTAGGGTTTCGGTAAACACTGAACAAATAGATAAAGCCCGAGGCAGTTATGCGTGGATCAGGATACACGATGCACTAACCTCTCTGGAGATAATTTTGGCAGTAGGGACATCACATATATCAGATAATGCAACAAAGTCACCAAATGAAGACATTCTATCAGCCCCTGAACACAAAAATTAAAGAGGTATTTACCACAAATTAGAAAAAGATAGTGCTTAAAAAACCCCAATGTGATCATATAAAACCCATTTCTCTAAACCTGTTATTATTTACACAAGACTTAAATAATAGATTAACAAGTCATCTAACTGAAATAATCAGTGAGAAAGTATCCTTCAATTCAACCTTCTTGAGCACTTGGCAAACGTTTTCTGTGACCAGTCCGACATGAATATTTTTAAAGCTGTGTGACCACTCAGTCGCTGGTGTGACCACTGAATGCTGGCTGTAGTTCTGAACCAGCCATTGATACCACATCAACAAAGGGACGTGGCCCTGTTCCAGTCAAACCATTCACAAAAATTAGGTGGTGGATGGATCCTGTCCATGAACCATAGCAGCTAACCCGTTATAGAAGGTAAACTGTATCAGATTTCTCAATAATCTCCCACAAATGTTATAATAATATTCACAGGTTATTAAACTCACAAATTAGGTGTCTGTGAAACATATAATTCTAACCAAATTCAGTTTAGCCAGAATGACCATGCAATTTTAGTTGTATATTAAGCAGTTCAAATGCATTCAACAACCTAATCTGAAATTACATGCATCAGATTCCAATTATGTTTCCATTTATTACATTCAAATACTAACATACTTTTATAAAGAAATGTATTCCGAGGCACTCATATAATCATTCAGAAGTATAAATGAAAAAGATAATTTGAAATCTTATAATGAAACAAAGTTATTACTATTTTATTGCACTTAGGATAGAATATGGCCTTTTCTGTTAAAAAAACAAAAAGCCCTGTGATTCTTCCGACCTCTTGCTCGCGCATATGCAGTCGACAGGGGCGTAAGGGTCTTATGCATGTCATAGACCATGCACACTTTGGCCTCGTCTTCACTAAGTGGAATTCCAACAGCGGCGCCTGACAGAGAAAACCACAAAATAAACCAACAACCTCAAGTTACTACTTGTCAACTAAATCAATGCAACATTTTCCTTAACATTGTCTATGCAGCATAATTTCTAGCACCTGTGCCGAATTAAACAAAACCCTGTTTGGCCAGATAATTAAACATCAACAATACAAGTGCAGGGGAGGGTAAGGACAGAATCGCCCTCTGGCCTCTGAAAACAGCCACGTGCCTGCAGGTGGCAGCACCAGGCACGTGTGCGAGGCTGGTTACCTTTACTGCCTCTCCCCGTCCTGCTTCACACCACACAACACTTACTTCTTTTCTTTCTTCAATTTTTATTTATTTATTTATTTATTTATTTATTTATTTTTTATTCTCACCCGAGGACATTTTTCCATTTTTTGTTCAGATAGAGCGGGAGGGAGGGAGAGGAAGAGAGAGAGTGAGAAACATCGACGTGAAGGGACACATTGAGTGGCTGCCACCCACACAACCAACCAGGGCCGGGGACAAACTGCAACCGAGGTACGTGCCCTTAGCGGGAACTGAACCCGGGTCTCTCTGTACCGCAGGCCGACGCTCCAACCGCTGAGCCAAACCGGCCAGGGTTATTAATTTATTTTTGTTACAGATGTTTCTTTTCCCCCTAGACAACCTCCTCCCCATCCCACTCCTCCCAACATTGTTGTCTATGTCCACTGACAACACTTATTTCTTCCCTGCTCACATCGTTTTAACACTGAATAAGCACCTGAGATCTAATTCTGTGTTGGACTGTCAACAGATCCGGGAATATAAGTAGTTGTGGAGCTGATTTAAATCTTCCTATCGCAGAATGTTACACAATGGTGTATATGTATGTAAATACTATCTACGTGTGTGTTATTTCTTTACCAGATTTTATCACGTTACTATCCTGAAAGTGTGAACAGACTTGAGAAATAATGGTTTCAGACTTCGCAGAAGGTCTGTATTCGCACAGGAACTCACCGAGTCTTCAAATTAAAAAGAAGTGCCTTTCAAACAGTTCCGGAGCGCACGCTTTACCTGCTGGGCTGACGTGCTTGAAAGAGGCAGCGGCTGGAATGCCTAAGGCTTCTCTGAGTTCCTTCACCAGCTGCCAGGCATTCAAAGCATCACACAAGTTTATGAATCCAGGGGCTCCATTTAGAACTACATGTAAAAAGTGTACAGACATTACCAACTCGGGTCAATAAGGTCAGATATATGTACATTTCTTAGAACATGTATCAAAACTGCACAAACATGTTTTAAGTGAAGAGGCAAACAGATGTACACGAACATACTAAGTTGATAATAAAAATGAAAACACACACACGCTTACGCACACACACTCCTGGAGGACCAACTCCAGCTGATCTAGGTAAGAGCCATGCAGGAGGAGAGAAAACGACAACACTAGTGATGATCAGGGGTCCACTTCAGTACAGAGCTGAGATTAATCAATTACGGCAACTACAGAGACTGTATAAAACAAGTTATAAACTTCGTTGATTTAAAAAATAATATCACACACTAAACTGCCACGAGCTTTGAGTGGGAGGAGAGGAGGGGAAAATGTATTGTTTCTTCTTTTACACCGGACTCAGTAGGTTCTGATGAAGCTGACATGCAGTGGAAAATAAGGCCACCACTCAGGCATCGCCTGTTTTCTTAACAATGGCAGGATTTCTAAGAAGTTAATACTTCTTATGAACAAACATTTGTAAGTTCAGCACACATAAAAAAATAGTGGGCCATTAAATAAAAACAAACACAAATAATTACATTTCCTTTGTGTTATTTTATATACTAGATGGTTTTAAATGTACAACTTTGCAAAATATTTGCTGAGTACCTACTGCAGTGTTAGGCACTGTTCTAGGAACTTGGGATATTGTCTATGAATAAAATAGCCTCCCATCTCCCGCCAAAATCACTGTCTTCATGGATCGTAGGGGAGAGGCATAGAAGAAACAAAATAGGCAAGAAATAGTAAACAATAAGAGAAAATATTAGGTATTCATACAAATGAGCTGAAACCTTGTGTACACAAAAACCTATACTTGAATGTTTTTAGCAGCTTATATATTCATAACTGCCCCAAACTGTCTTTTCATTTTTCATGTCCTTCAATAGGTGAATGGAAAACCAACCATGGTACATCCATATGCAATGGAACGTTACTCAGTGATTAGAAACGAGCTCTCAAGCCACCGGAAGACACGGAGAAACCTGAACTGCACACTGCTAAGTGCAAGAAGCCCGTGTGAAAGTGCGATCCCAACGCTGTTTAATATTCTGGAAAGAGCAAAGCTATGGAGACAGTGAAAAGATCAGTGATTGTAGGGGTGAGAGGAGTGAAACACGGGGGTTTTTAGGTGGTGAAATTATTCTGAGTGCTATTATCAAGGTGACTACATGACATTAGGCATTTGCCAAAACCCACGGAATACTGAACAAAAAGTAAACCCTAATGTGAACTATGGACCTCAGTTAATGATCATGAACCAACACTGGCTCATCAAGTGTAACTGATATATCACACAAACGCAGGAAGTTAACGGGGGAGTGGGGAGGGAATATCTGAGGTCTGGGAACTCTACTTTCTGATACTTCTCTAAATCTAACACTGCTCTAAAAGAAACACAGTACTTCAAAACAGAAACAGTTCCCTCAACCAAGTACAAACAGAGAAGTTTTGAAAATAAAAACCTGGGTCACTTAAAGTACATAAAGCCTTTTGCAACAGCACCTAAATAGGGAACACATCACCATGAGGAGGAAACATCCGATACAATAGTAGATAAATCTGTTCTAAGAAATTCTAGAAGTCAAAATCCATGCAACATGTCGGGTTTCTAATGAACCATTCAATAAATATTTAGGGAACACGACAACCAATATTCTAAGCACTGGGGATACAGTGATGAACAAACAAGAAGCAATGAACAAAGACAGACAAGGTTTCTGTTCTCAGGAGCTGACAACCTAAAGGCAGAAGACAGAACATAAATATATGCAGCCAGGGTGATGAGGTAAATGTGTGAAGGGCAGCTACTTTGGTCTGGGTGGTCACAGGAGGCTTCTCTGAGGTGGTGACATTTAAGGTGAGATCTGAATGACAAACAACTGGGACTATGAAGACCAGAGAGAATTCTGGGTGAAAGGAGCGACTAGTGCAAAGGCCCTGAGGTTGAAGAGCTCAGCCTGCAGAAGGCACTAGGAAGTGGACCAGAGGAGGGTTGTGGAGGAAGTAGACTGGAGACAACAGGTTTGTAAGGGCAGTACAAGACCATTAAGTAGGAGGACGAAAGCCAATGAATGTTTTTAAGTAGGTGTAATATCTGATTTACAAAGGGAATAAAGAGAGATCAGTTAGATTATTGCAGTCAGGGGGACTTTCAGGGTGAGTGGGGTGGGGGGGCTTGGGTAGTGTTAGAAAAGAAAATTTGAGGTAGAGTAATAATAGAAGTAGTGGATCCACTAAATGTTAAGGGTAAACAAGAGTATTTCAAATTCTCCTCCAACTTCCCCATCATCCCCCACGGCTCCCCTCCCTGGGCTGGTGAGGGAGCAGAGAAGCAGCCTGGAGGGCCTGCGTCTCCCACCACCACCCAGAGCTCTGGGCCTGCCTTCTCGGGCCCTTCGCAGGCTCGAGGGAAGCTGTCCTTGCTGTCCCCAACACCAACCCTCCCTCCAGTGCTCGGGCCTTCAAGGCCTTCCCACCCTTCACACCCACAACTCTCTCCTCTGCCCCCTGCACACACTCCCTTCTACCAGAGAAAGCAGGACAAGCTCTAACAACCCACCTGAAGAACAAAACAGAACTAAGAACTGAAAAACCCCCTTGAAACTACAAACCAGTGGAAGTCCTAATTTCTCCGTTCAAAGAATTACCTTAATCACTGTTAACCTCACATTCCTATTTTGGTCCATGTGACCTAAGCTTCCAGATTCATCGTTCTAAGGAAACTGCTTCTCATAAAATTCCAGAATCAAACAGTCACTTTTCCATTCTCGGCAGCACTCCTCTGCTTGGAACACCTTTCCCAGCCTGGCTCTCCCCTGCTGGCTCCTCCCGGCTTCCCCAAGGCCTGGCCTCGACCCTCTGTGAAATCAGGCCGTGCTGCTCTGTCCTGTCTTCAGAATTATCCACATGACAAACACATCCCACTCTACCTCCAACTCGGCCTCTCTCCAGAAGCCCAGACGATCTCAGGATGTTTGCTCACAAGTCCACTTGACATTTCAAATTGATAGGGGAGGGGCCCGTAATAGAAATAAAATTAGTTGTTTAATAGCTATTCACTATGTCTGGAGATTTTATCTCACAGAAAATTCCACGACTGGATTTGTTAGAATCTGCCGAAATCCAGAGGGATGCTATACCCAGGGATGGCTACTCACTACCACCGACTGCCCATCCACGGGATGCAAAAGTCCTCTTCTTAAATTTCACTGATTTAAAAAACCCTTTCATACAGAACCAATGGGCTCCCGCGGTCTGTTTCCTTCAGGATCAGCCTGCTCACTGCCAGTCCCCCTCCAGCCCCTGGCATCCCTGCATGGATGTCAATGGAGCAGCTGCAACATTCATGCAGCGAAGACGCCCAATACCCCCCACCCCCATCAGGAATCTCCCTCTATCGCCGCACCATGAACCGCACACAGTCCTTCTCCCTCATCATCTCTGATCCGACTGATTCCAAACGGACGACCCTTCAGAGGGGAGCCGTATACCCCTCCAGGTACTCCCACATGCCATCCTCCCACATTTATGTCTGGTCCAACTTACTAGCGGAGTCCACGATGACATCCAGACCCAGGAATCCCTCCTCACCAGACAATTAGCCACCCAAACCTCCCCCTTTTCATGGCTCTCTCTCCTCCAGGAGGGTCTAATGCTAGCCAATCTTACCGGGGCAGGCAACCTCTCATCTTGTTTAATGTGTGCAGCCTTAGGAAAACCTCCTGACGGCGGTCCTTTGTCCTACCGCTCTCAACTGCTCCGGGACGTCCACCACACCAAAACTTATGACTCCTCTTGCCGATGTTACCCTATATCTGCTTCCTGATCTCTCTCAAATTCCCTTTTGTTACAGTAACAGCTCATCCAACCTTTGCAAACACACACAATCTCCCACTTTCAACTTGACTGCCCCTAGAGGCTATTTCTTCTGGTGTAACCATACCTTATCAAAGACCCTCTCGACCCCCTTGGATCCCACTCTTCACTGCCTGCCTGTCACCCTAACTCCCCAACTCATGGTCTATACACCTGAATTCCAACAAAAATATATATATTACAACCCGAAACAAAAGTTGGCAATCTTTTTACCCCTTTTAGTAGGACTCTCCCTCTCAGCCTCGGCTGTCGCCGCTGGACTGGGAGGGGGTGCCCTGGCACACTCCTTAATCACCTCAGAAAGCTTAGAATCCCAATTTCAGATTGCTATTGACAGCTCAGCTGAGTCCCTAGCTTCTCTCCAGAGGCAGATCACCTCCCTGGTTTAGCTATCGATGCAGAATCGAAGGGCCCTGGACCTCCTCACAGCGGAACACGGAGGAACCTGTCTATTTCTTAGAGAAGAATGTTGCTATTATATCAACGAATCAGGTTTGGTAGAAACCCGCATTGAAACCCTCCACCAGCTAAGCTCACAACTTAAAAAACAAAAGTTCTCGGCAGACGCCTCCTCCTGGTGGAAATCCTCCATGTACTCCTTACTCTTCCCCCTCCTCAACCCAGCCATCATCATAATAATTATACTGCTAATTGCTCTATTTTCTCCACTTCATCCAGGACTGATTCGCACAGCTCACAGACAATAGAGGTCCACCAAATGATGCTACAACAATATCAGCCCTTGACCAGTCCCCCGGACTCAGACCACGCCAACTCAGCCCCCTCCCCTGACGTCGCCACCATTCAACAGGAAATAGCCAGAAAGACGACCTTGCCCCTATTCCTATACCACAAAGTCGGGAATGTCTGATAGCCTGGGGACTGGCGCCAGGCAAACTATTCAACCATTACCTCGCTTACCCAACCTAAACTCCCACCCTGTTCCAGGAACTGTTTGCCCCGGGCCTATAGATCACCTCCTGTCCTATTCCAGGAACTGTTGGCCCCAGGCTAATAGACTCACATTCCAGAGGCTCCCATGCATAGTCCCACAGGGCCTAACCAAATTCCAGCTACCACAGGCAGCTATAAAAATCACAAACCCCAGTATCAGGTGTGGCTTCTAGGACTCGACTCCCAGAGTCTGTGAACCCGCCCGAAGTGTACCCAATAAAGCCTGATCTGTTTATTCGGCTGTTTGGCTCTCCAGTCTCTTCTCTATTTTTCGGCAGCTCCCCCTCACCCCCCCCCCCCATTCCTTACACACTACTCTAAAAATAGAAGAGATTTTTCTTATAGACCCTGTAGGGTTGGTGGTTGGAAGATGGACGTTTTTTAACCTTGTGTTAATGCATTCTCTGAATCCTGGCCCACCCAGGTGTATTGTGTGCTTCATTTGCATGTGAATAAGGGCTTGTTATCTTTTGGCTTCAAGATCTCTTCCCTAAAAAGCAAGAGACAAAGCTAGGGTGTATGTTTGCAGTAAAGCCATCTCAAGGAAATAATTTACTTAATTAAATCCACTTGTGACCTGGGGGTACCAATCTGCAAATAAATGGGACTTGGTTAGGAGAACTGGAGCATTTGCTACTTTGCAAAGCTCCCCCTAACTCCAAGCAGCATGTGCTTGTAGTTTCACTGCGTTGCACCGATCCGGGCAGGCCAAGAGATGGCAAACCCTGGGAAACTGGAAGACATGTTGCAAGGAGAGAAAACAGGACCGTAAAGATATGGCAGCCACAAAATCCAGATGGGTCCATTACTCAGAAGATACATTTCAAGTGTAGATCAAGGACAGGATAGACCTATCTAAAGGGAGACAGGGTTCTGGGGCTGATCTTTACAAGGACAATGATAGAAAACAGACCCTGGGAACTCACATAGTTTTAGATTTTTTCCCCCAGGTCTACCCTTACATAATGGCTGGCTTGAGTCGAGATGTCAGAGCGGTTTCTTTCAGGGCATAACACCTGTTGCTCTCTCAGATCGCCAGCCATCTGAATACTGAAAAGCACCGCAATGGTTCAACCTCTTCTACTCTGGTAGCAATGGGCAGCGGGACCCTTTTGTGTCCAGTTTCAAAACTTCAGGCAGTTCAGCTCTAAGAGGCATACTGTAATTGACTGTATCTTCTATACGTGAACCACATCTGATACAGTACAGAGAAAGACACACACCCAGACACAGCAAACCACACCACAGAACGCTCAGCCTTTACCTGTGATGGGAAGCTTGGGTTTCAGTGTGTACAACTGGGCTGGAGTCTGATGAGGGTTCATGCCGTACCTCAAGGGCATCTGAGACATTCCTTTACTATACTGTTGCCTGAAGTAGTCTGAGATGGCTTCGTCGTACTGTGCCGTGTGGGTGAAAGCCTACGAAAAGTGACACCTCTGTGAAACACGGGCAGCATTTCCCACAGTGTAGTTAGCATAGAGCCAACTACATCCCCTCACCCTGCACACACGCCTGGGCAGGAAAGACACCACGTAATACTAAATAGCACAGTGCATAATTCCCTTTAGATCGCTTTAAGGGAATACCTCTCTAATATTTGGTCTCTTCATTTATAACTAAAGGATAGTAGCTCCAAGCAGAGCCTTGGCGAATTATACGCTCCAGTGAGGAATGGGTACCGTTTGGTTTTGCAAACACTGCACTAGATAAAAGTGCACCCCCACCTTCAAGGCCAACTGGCGCCTAGTCTCCAAGGAGGTGTCTTTCCTGTCGGAGGTCCGCATCTCTGCGGCCACGGCGGCGTAGTCCTCGGGTCCACACACGACGGTCACTCGGGCGTGGTTCTTGGCTGCTGCTCTCAGCAGTGCCACTCCACCTTGGAAAAACAAAATATAATTTGTATTTTCCTATCAGTTTAAGGTCTTTCAAATACAGTCATTGTACATATAACTTCTACTTTAATTCTTGACTTAAACACTAAGGGAAGAAAACAACCCAGATGAATCCCTACATAAAGCAATAGCTGTGAAAACACCGATGAATTACAATCCTCCCAGAATCCAGCTGGGGAGCAGTAACTATTGCCTACTCTCTCAATAGTGAATTTCAAAACAAATCTTATTTAAAATTTAAATAAATAATTTCTCCTCTGTCGGTCTTCAAAAAATGGGTTTTCCAACTTACCAATATCAATTTGCTCAACAGCCTCTTCAACAGTTACATCTGGAGAAGCCACCGTCTTCACAAAGGGATAAAGATTACAAACCACAACTCTGAAAGAAATTGCACCTGTCATTAGAGCTCAACCTACATGGTTTACAGCTATGTAGGAAAAGTCAGCCAGTCGCTATTAATACACGACCAAAACCCACAAAGATCAAAAATGTAAATGGTGAGCCTGACAGTTAACAATTCTAAAAAGCTACGTTGAAAAGTCAACACCTCCCCCGCAGCAGAGCACAGGTAAACAGAGGTGGCTGCGGGGTCAGGCGCTCTCCATACACACTGTGCTGCCTGGTAACCCTACCTGCCCATGACACCATCAAGCCATCAAAAAACTTTTTTTTTAAATAGAAATGCAAAATACAAGGTTACAGAGAATATCCTCATTTTGGAATTGAATTTCAGATTTTATTTCCAACGGATTATATACAGTGATGAGAAATGATGGACCATTCTATTCTAAGGGTAAAACATTTGTTTTGTCTTCAGAGAGGTCATATACAACGATGGTAAAAGGTGAAAAGAATTTTACTTGTAGCTTTATACCCAAGAGAAATGAAAATATCAGTCCACAAAAAAACAAAAATAAAAAAACTTGTGCATGAATGTTCATAGCTGCATTATTCTTTACATCCAAAAAGTAGAGATAATCTAAATGTCCATCAACTAATGACCTGACAAATACAATGGATTATTTTATAGCAACAACAAACAAAGGAATTACAGATAGTGCTGCTTTCTAATAATTGATCAGTGATGTTTTCGAGGAAATATTTGATCAAAGGAAGAAAATGGGAAAAACCAATATAAACTGAATTACTGTAAATTTGAGTTGGAGCTGCCACGGCACAGGCAACCCCTGCAGGTCTTTCTCAAAACTTTGCAATGTTAACATGGAAAATCACCTTAGGACTGGTCCTAAAGCAACCCTGTGTCTCAAAGAACTGTTTGCAGAGAAAACAAGAAAGCAGACACTTTGACTACTGGACCGATGACTTCTGAATGGAAATTAAAAACATCGTTTAGAATTAGATGTCACTCTGTCAATTTATTTGCACCAAAAGAAATGCCCTCCTTCTACTGATGTAATAATTGTTCTCCTTCCTTTTCTCTTAAACACCCTTTGCCTTTGTCTCCTAATCAAAACACTTTCTAGTATTTTCCCAAATCAGTGCTTTCAGAATAGCAATTCTTTTTTTTTATCTCAAATAAATGCTTGCTACCTCTCAAAAATACAAAACAAAACCAGAAGTACTGATTTTATAACATGAATGGACCTTGAAAACATGCAAAGAAGTTAATCACAAAGAACCACACATTGTAGGATCCCACTGATATGACATGTTTGGTAAAAGAAAATCCATACAGACAGAAATACAGTGATGATTGCCTAGGGCTAGAGGATGTTGAGGAAAATGAAGAATGAATACTAATGGGCTTTTTTTTTTGAGGGAAGTAATAAATATGTTCTAGTATTAACTGTGGTGATGGCTGCATAATTCTGAATACACTAAAAACTACTGAGTTGTATATTTTAAATTGGGAAGTCATACAGTATGTGAATTGTATCTGAATAAAACTATTCTATATATTTAAAAGAAACAGTGAGAAACTATGCAAATAATTAAGCTGCTTGTATGTATAAAAATTTAGATCATAACTTCCTAAAAAAGCAAAGGTTGTTTTTAGTTTAGGTACACATTTTGGTAATATATACTTGGCAAAACCAAAATGCTAACAAGTACAACTTCACACAGAAGGTACTCAATAAATGTTTATAGTCTGCAATTATAGACCTAAACCTAACGGTAATCTTTTTCTTTTCCCCACTGGTTTCGGGTACATACTGAGTGGTTAGACAACTATAAACTTTTAAGTGTTTCCCTCGATAAAAGGGGCACCAGGTTTGGCATACTCTTCCCCTTGGTTCCTATATTAAAAATTTAACTTTGGCCCTGGCCTGTTTGGCTCAGCAGTTAGAGCACTGGCCCACGGACCAAAGAGTCTTGGGTTCGATTCCATTCAAGGGCACGTACCTCAGTTTCAGTTCATCCCCTGCCCTGGTCATGCAGAAGGCACCAGTTGATGTGTCTCTCTCACTTCGATGTTTCTCCCCCCCCCCTTCTTCCCTCCCTCCCACTTTATCTGAAGATAAATGGAAAAAAATATCCTCAAATGAGGATTAAAAAAACAAAAATCAATAAAAACATTTTAAAAAATTCAACTTGGAATTTTTACCTTATAAGATTGAAATCAAGTCTGGCCATGTCTGCATTATCTTCTGGGATATTACGAGCCAAGATTCCTAATTCAATAAAGTTAAAACATTAGTTCAAAAAACAAGTCAGAATAAGGTACTTCTTTCCAATATAGTCCCATCAATCAAGTTGAAGTCTCTAATATAACCTAATTAAGAATACCGAACATATTAAAAATAAGATTAGTGGGCATAATTAAAACTTTTTTTTTTTATCAGTTTCTGATTCCTCTTTTCTTTTTTAAAAAATTTTTATTGAATTTATTGGGGTGACATTGATTTATAAAATTATATAGGTTTCAGGTAATTCTATAATACATCATCTATATATTGCATTGTGTTACCACCCCAAGCAAGTCTCCTTCCATCACCATTTATCTCCCCTTTGATTCCCCTTTTCTTAATCAACAAATGTAAAAGGAATTTTCACGTAACTGTTGCCAGTTCCATTAATCTATGTGCTCCCGTAAGTAAATGGTTTGTCTAATTCTTAGCATAGCCTTTTATTCTGCCAAATTTTACTGTAACTGGTAAGTTAGCAATAGATTTATTTCTCACCACTTTGATTGGTATGCAATTCATTGTCTCAGATGAATGAACAAAGTAAAGCACTTTGAAAAAGGATTCTTCTGAAAGTCAGTTATATGGTCATGCTTTATGCTAAGTTTGAATCGTTATAAAATCTTTTCACACATGAAATCTAAATATTTTCCTTAACTCCAGCAGGAACTATCACTCTAAGTTAATTCTCAGATCAGTACTAATAACAAGCAGAGGAAAACAATCAGAATCCATCCTATATAAAGCAAACTAAATATTAAACAAAAGTTCTAACTTGCTTTATGAACTTTTAACAGCAAATGTGCCCAAATCAATAAAATCCCACAGACTTTTCTTTTGACCCTATGACCTGCTTTTTCCTTGTTTATTCTGTAAAATAATCAACTAAACTATTCCTGTAAACCACTGGTTATTTTCAATTGAAAATGCCCCCACGTACCAGCGTGGACTGCAGGATGCAAGGTTTTCACGCGTCCGCCTAACATTTCAGGAAACCCCGTCAGCTCAGAGACATCTCTGAAAAGAAGTAAACAGAACATTTTGCTCCTCTTTCTACTTAATTGTCATTCACATTTTATGCTATTCCAAAGCATCTTCTAATGTTAAGTTTACTGTTCTCATTTTGAGATTTTTCAGGGCCTAAATTTTCAGAATTCAGAAATTGAATCGTAAGCCATACTAATAAAATATTATAAAAAAATAAATTCAACTGAAAATTTGGCAGCATATAACAAAAAGCATTAAAAATATTCTTATTTTTGCCCTGGCCAGTTTTGCTCAGTGGTTAGAGCGTCGGCCTGCGGTCCAGAGAGACCTGGGTTCGATTCCCCCTAAGAGCACATGCCTCAGTTGCAGTTTGTCCCCAGCCCTGGTTGGTCGTGCAGGTGGCAGCCACTCGATGTGTCCCTTTCACGTCGATGATATTCTCTCTCTCTCTCTCCCTCCCACTCTATCTGAAAAAAAAAATGGAAAAAATGTCCTTGGGTGAGGATAAAAAAAAAATCTTATTTTTGTGTGGCTCAGTGGTTGAGTGTTGACCCATGCACCAAGAGGTCGTGGGTTCGATTCCCGGTCAGGGCACATGCCCAGGTTGTAGGTCAAATCCCCAGTGAGGGGCATGCAGGAGGCGGTCAATTGATGTTCTCTCTCACTGATGTTTCTCTCTCTCCCTTCCTCTCTCTCTAAAATCAATAAAGAAAAAAAAAATATATCCTTATCTCAGAAACAGACTGTAGTAAAAACAAGAATTTAGTTTTATGATTAAACGAGCATGAAGATGGCAAATCAAATATGTGGGAAAATAAAAGATTGTTTGGTAAAGTGGTTGGTATTGAAATAACTGGTTAACCTCACCCAAAAATAAATTCCCAATGAATCAAAGGTTTGAGCATTTAAAAAAAAAAAAAAAAATCATGAAAGTACCAAAATTAAATACATGAGGAATACTTTCAAAGTATTAAACAAAAGATTAATTGATCTGTTCATGTAAATGTTAAAAACTTTACAAGCAAAAAGCTGGAAAATAACTGCAAAATATGACAAAGGGTCAACTGAAAAACTATTTAAATATTGATCCATATCACCAAGTTGACATAAACCCTCCCTGGCAGAATTTACAAGCAAATTTAATGACATGGGGGGAAAAAGCCCACAATACAGGGTGGGGCAAAAGGAGGTTTATAGTTTTGAGTATGGGAAACAGTTTATCTTGTATTGTTATTTATTAATTATTGTATTCTTTTCCATACAAACTGTAAACCTACTTTTGCCCCACCCTGTATGTTAAATGAACAAAAGCAAGAAGCAAAATTATCTCCTATAAAATACCAGCTATGATTATAAAAACACTGGAGGAAACACATGCACATGTTAAAAGAATGATGAGCCATTTTACCACCTTCTCTACAGCTTTCCACATTTTTCAAATTTTCTACAATGAACATATAAAGCCTTTGTAGTAAAATAGTAATAAACATTTTAAAGCAGCAAATTGCATCAACAGAATACAGAATTTCCTGGGTAGATACTCCTACTAAGGAGGGCCATCTGCAAATGACTGTGTTTGCCCAAGAACTCGAAGTTTCAATATAAACAGAAAAATTGGTGACATTATGGTTTCCAATCCAAAATTCCCTTTCCTGGAGCCCTGGCCCAGTAGTTCATTTGGTTAGAGCATCTATGCAATACTCCAAGGGTGCAGGTTCGATCCCTGGTCAGGGCACACACACGAAGCAACCAGCCCTGGCTGGTTTGGCTCAGCGGTTAGAGCATCGGCTGGTGGACCAAAGGGTCTCGGGTTCGACTCCTGGTCAATGGCATGTACCTGGGTTACAGGTTCAATCCCCAGATGGGGTTGTGCAGGAGGCAACCAATCAATGTTTCTCTCTCTCCCATCTCCACTCCCTCCCACTCTATCTAAAAATCATTAGAAAAATATCCTTGGGTGAAGATTAACCAAAAGAAAAAGCAACCAGTGAATGCATAAATAAGTGGAACAACAAATCAATGTTTCTCTCAAATCAATAAATAAAAAAATATTGTTTTTAATTCCCTTTCTGCCTTGGCCTATGTGGCTCAGTTGGTTGGGTGTTGTCCCGTGCACCAAAAGGCTGCGGGTTCGATTCCTGATCAGGCCACATGCCTGGGTTGCAGGCTCAATCCCTGGTAGGAGCCGGCTGATCAATGTTTCTCTCTCCCATCAATGTTTCTCACTCTCTTCTTTCCTTTCTCTCTAAAAAAATCAATGAAAATATAGTTTTACAAAATTCCCTTTCCCAGAATTTAAAAAATAAGATCCAGCTTCTCCAACTGTGGATAATTGCTAAAAAGAGAAAAGGTAAATCTATACTTAAAATTAAGCACCATTTGGAGTAATTATAAAGCTTGTCTATCTTTAAGAATTTCTATGTAACAACTGCCCTCTTGGGAACAGAACACTCACCAACTAAAATCTCATCAATTTATCTCACACCTCAAGGTTAACTTCCCAGTATAAAATCTTGGCTCTTCCTTTTATACTCGTTAGCTATATGATCTTGGGCAAGTTACTTGACTTTTTTGTGCTTCAATTTCCTTATTTATTAAATGGGGATAATACTATCTACACCAAAAAGCTGGTGTAAAGATTACATCAGTTGCCCTGGCCGGTTTGGCTCAGTGGTTAGAGCATCGGCCTGCGGTCCGGAGAGACCCGGGTTCTGTTCCCGCTAAGGGCATGTACCTCGGTTGCAGTTTGTCCCCGGCCCTGGTTGGTCGTGCGGGTGGCAGCCACTCGATGTGTCTCTTTCACGTCGATGTTTCTCTCTCTCTCTCTTCCTCTCTCTCCCTCCTACTCTATCTGTACAAAAAATGGAAAAATGTCCTCGGGTGAGGATAAAAAAAAAATAAGATTACATCAGTTGCCCAGCCGGTATGGCTCAATGGTATGAGTGTCGACCCATGCACCAAGAGTTCGCTGGTTTGATTCCCAATCAGGGCACATGCCCAGGCTGTGGGCCTGATCCCAGTGGGAGCCATGCAGGAGACAGCCAATTGATGTTCTCTCTCATCGATGTCTCCATCTCTCTCTCCCTTCTTCTATCTCTAAAATCAATAAAGAAAAAAAAAAAGATTGCGTGAGTTAATATGTATTTAAAAGTGTCAACAGTCTCATTTTAATAGAAAACACATTTACATTCTCAATTTTTTTTTTAAAAGACCGCAATAATGGGGCTAAGTAAGGAGTGGATAGAGGTGCAGATCAAATAAGACTAAAGTAAAGAATGAGTAAATATTTATTTATTTAATCCTCACCCAAAGACATTTTTTTTTTTTTTGCATTTATCTTCAGATAAAGCAGGAGGGAGAGAGGAGGGAAGACAGACATCGATGTGAGAGCGACACATCGGCTGGTCACACCCACAGGACGCCAACTGGGGCCACAAACTGCAACCGAGGTACGTGCCCTTAGCAGGAACCGATCCTAGGTCTCTATGGTCCACCGGCCTACGCTCTAACCGCTGAGCCAAACCAGACAGGGCAAGAATGAGTAAATATTTAAACTGGAGGATAGAAATGCAACTTGAGGGCTCCTTATACTTTTTCTCTCCGTTTATGTCTGAAATGTTTCCATAATGCAAAGTTTGGTGTGGGGGGAGGGAAGGAGGAAAGGGACCACAGAGAGAGCCTGGCTTAATTGGAAGCTTCCAACTACAAAACAACCCAACATGGGTCGAAGAGGAGAACACAGTTCAGGCATTGGATCCTTCCCACTACCTTCCATGATTCTTGGGGGTTGTTGTGCAAACCACATATAGAACATTTATTTAATACAGTAAGGTATTCTTGCCATATGAACTTACCAAATTTAGGGAAGCTGTGCACTGCCCAAATGAGGCAGGATTACAAGATGAAAAAGGGATTTATCTCTACATGGAAAAATATCCACATGACAACAAGAGCGGGCGGATCTGTCACTCCTTTTCTAAAATGTGTTTCAGGGATGGAGATGTCCTTCCTCTGTTGATTACAGCTGTCTTACGGCCTTTTTCATTTTCTACATTTTCAGTGGTTTCTCCCTCTCCCACGAAAATGCCCGCTCCTTGATGTCAAGAATTGCATTCTGATTTATTTTTTGCTTATTCCTTCTCCCCACCACGCAGGCCAGGTGATGAATAGCATGTGGATAAAGGAATGAATGAATGATAGATTTGTGACGTCCTATGGTTACCAGAGAGGCTAAGGGAAGAGGGGCAGATTTGAAGCTTAGTGTGTCAACAGTGTACTAAAGAGCCCATCAAAACAGCTCATGCGAATCCTAAACAACTGAGCTTGTCTTGACAAACACAAAGTCCGCCTAAATTAATCCGTTATAAGTGGCTTGGAAGAGGGGCTCTGAAATGGGGATACCCCGGTTCCAACCCCAAACACCACTCCTTACTTAACTCCGCAGGCGTGGGCAGAATTTACCAAGTCCTGGGCCTCACTTTCCCCTTCTATAAAGTGGGTCAGCAGTGCACCGGTGTGGCAGCGGGGTCGCAGGAGTAAAGGAGGCGGTCCACCCTCAGTGCCTGGCACCCACTCCTGCCTGGTTAACGTGACCACACTACCCTCGATGGGACCTCACGTGGCAACTCAGTTGGGCCTTACCTGACTGCCAGACCGGCATCCCTGAGAGCTTTTGCAGTCCCTCCAGAAGCGACCAGATTCAAACCAACAGAGGTGAGGTTTCTGGCAAACTCCACAAGGCCGGTTTTGTCAGAGACACTAAATAAGGCTGAAAGACAAGACATGGTTCCTCCTCAGTCGCTGCACACGACAGTATCTTCTGCAAGGCCTTAGGGTGGGGTGCGTTTTGGGAGGGACAGTCGCGGATCTCCAGCCCCCATCACCTGGCCCACACGAGCCCAGCCCAGACCCGGGCCTCCAGGCCTGCAGCGCCGCCGGGCCCCCGGGCCAGCCCCTGCTGGGGGCGGGGGAGCCTCGGGCGCGGGCCCGGTGCGCCGACGGCCGAGGACGCGCGAGGGGCTCACCGAGCTGGCCGGGCGCCATGGCGCACGCTGCGGGGCGGGCGGGGCGGGGGACGGGCGGCAGGGCAGACGGGCAGACCGGGCAGGCGCCACGTGCGGACCCAGGCGGAGGGCCGGGAAGACCGCGATCCGGAAGCGGGGCGGGCCGCCGGGCGCCTGACGGGGCACGTGACTCGGCCGCTCCGACCCCGCCCCCTCCCCGCCCTGCTCAGTCTTGGACGCGAAATTGAAGCCTCCAGGCTGGAAGGGCTCCGGCGGACATCCCTAGACCCGGACCCCAGACTTCAAGGCTCCGCGCCCCCTTTCCCCCCGCGGGCCTCCTTGCCCGCCCCGGAATGTGGCAGCCCCGCCGCTGCAGCGGACGCCTGTTGCCCGGGGCAGCGGGTCCCCGGTTGGGCAAAGGGAGACAGCCTCTTGGCAATCATCTACCATCCTCCCTTTTAATAAATCTAAATAAATAAATAAATAAATAAATAAATAAATAAATAAATACCTAAATCATCTATCATCCTCCTTTTTAATAAATCAAAATAAATAAATAAATAAAACGAAGACCTAAAGATTAAAGATTAAGTGTTCGATTCCATACTTCCCATAGTAGAAGCAAAACAAGTGGACATTCGTTTGAGTTTTTGATTCCACATCATAAAATAGCTTGAAATCTGCGTCTCTTCGCCAATCAGTCAATAATATTTTATTCAAGCCAGAGAGGAATGATGATTTAATGGGGAAGGCAGAATACCTTTCTTAATTCATTAAAAATAGGAAAAGGGAAACTGAATATATTTGTTGCCACAAAACAAATATACATATATTGCTGTCTACAGAAACCTTTAAAAGTGTCCTTTATTGGAATTACATTACAAAATAATACTATTATCTATCTTTTGTTCTTCATCTGGGGTTGGCAGTTGCAGAAAGGAGTCTATTTTCTCATTACTATAGAGGTAAAGAAAGAGTTCTAGGAAAGTTATTTCAGAGGATGGATGGTCTGATCATAAGTTCCTAACGGGAGCCCCTGCGTGGTTGAACATCAGCCTATGCACCAAGAGGTGGCCAGTTCTATTCCCTGTCAGGACACATGGCCAGGTTGTGGACCCGATCTCCAGTGGCCAGTTGATGTTCTCTTTCATCAGTGTTTCTGTGTCTCTTTCCCTCTCCCTTCCTCTCTCTCTAAAACCAGTTTTTCAAAAAATTCCTATCTGGGCAGGTCATGGTGGGTAATCATGCCCCAGTCCTATAAAAGGTTTATCTTTACCTTAAGCAAGCCATGTTCATTGTTCTTTCTTTTTCTTTATTGATTTTTGAGAGAGAGAAAGGGAGAGGGAGATAGAAACAACATTAATTGTTCGCCTCCTGCATGCCCCCACTGGGGATTTGGCCCACAACCTGGGCATGTGCTCTGACCAGGAATCAAACAGGTGACCTCTTGATGCATGGGTCGACGCTCAACCAGAACCACACTGGCAGGGCCTGTCCATTGTTCTTGTACATCTAGGCTAACACATCGTTGAAATACCAGGAGTAATACCCCTAAAAGGGCTTAGTAACCCTAACCTGTAATCCAATCCACGTCTTTGTTTGCTCCAATTTACTCCTTAATTTCAAATACATAAAAGAAGCTGCAAAACTGTCATTCTTGGGAACATTTGGGATCTTGCTCTCTTGCATATGTTGTCAGTTTGGCTCAAATAAACTCTGGTAAAAATTCTCCAGAGGTTCAGACACTCCTTATGTTGACATTACCCACATGCTGTTTATTTGTTTTTATCTCAAATCTTCAATTCTTCCAGTCTCTTTTTTATTCCCCCAAATGGATAGCTCTTGGCTAGAATCAAGAGCTTGTGGATGAAAAAGGGGCCACATACAAAACCTGACGATCTCAGGGGAGGCCTCTATGGTGGACCTTATAAGCTCAGACCCAAAGTAACCACATAGGATGGTCTGAAATGGAAACTTCTTAACTAAAAACAAGTCCTGGGGGGTAGTCATGTCCTAGGCAGGTATCTTCTTTGATAAAGATCAACCTTTACATTAATGGAGTCTGTCTGTAGTCTTCTGCATCTATGATAACATACCCTTGGATTGTGAGAGTAATTCCCTTTTTTCAGACCACTCAGGGCACAATCTCTCACCAGAGCACACCACAGAAACTGTCATTGTTGTCTTGTTGCCCAAATTCCATCTCTATATGCTGTCAATGTTGATTGTTAACTATCCTTCTGTAGCCACCAATGTAAAGGAAGTGTTTATCTCTTCATTTGACTCTTTATCCTGTCAGAGATGTCCCCGTTTGCTTTCTGCCATCTCCCTAATCTACTACCAATGAATTTTATGTAACCCTCCTTCCGTCTCCTCTTTTGACTGTAATATGTGGAATAAACTGCAAAACTGCCATTCTCCAGAGCATTTTCTCAATCCATTGAGATTTTGTTTGCTGGCAATTGTCTTCAGTTTGGCGCCGAAAACTCATAAAAATTCTCTGCAGGTTCAGACATGTCTTACGTCGACAAGCTGTACTTTATAACCTCTGAAAATGTGAACTCCTTGCTAAAGGAAGAATATTTCTTCCTTTTCTAAGAAAAGTATGTTAAGATCATCCCAGTGTCTTCAGAGTGTGTTTGCCAATTTTGAATTTAAGAAAAGACAAATTTCATAGCTCACAATAAAGGAAATTTCCCTGACCGCTTAGGTTGTGGATGGAAAAGGGTGATCTATGGAAAGCGACTTCAAAGGCTGAGTTAATCCTAAACTCTTAGGAGGCAGGTCATGTTAGGTAGTCATGCCCCCGGGCTGCAACTTCTTTAGTGGAAGGTTTTAAACCAGCCCTGTCCACTGTTCTTGTGCATCTAGATTAACACACCTTTGAAATACCAGAAATAATACCCCTCAAAGAAGTAATTAAATCTCAAATAAGCACAAAATTTTCACTATCCTGTAATCCAGCAGTTTCCAACCACTGTGCTGCAGCACACCAGTTTGCCCCAAGAATTTTAAAAAACATGCGATACCTGACTATTTAGTCAGGGGCACTGACCTCTTTTCCTTTAGATTGTCAAATAAAAAAATGACAACAGCCCTGGCCGGTTTGGCTCAGCGGTTAGAGCGTCAGCCCGCGGTCAACAGAGACCCGGGTTCGGTTCCCTCTAAGGGCATGAACCTTGGCTGCAGTTTGTCCCCGGCCCCTAGTTGGGTCATGCGGGTGGCGGCCACTTGATGTGTCCCTTTCACATTGATGTTTCTCTCTCTCCTGTCTCTCCTTCCTCCTCTATCTGAATAAAAAATGGAAATATGTCCTTGGGTGAGGATAAAAAAAAATGACAACAGCCAACACAACAATAGCCATCCAGTGTGAATGCATCATAATCATATCTATTTTTTCTGTGAGATCAGCAAAAAATATATTTTTTGGTGTGCTGCATAATTTTAGTAATTAGTTTCTGTGTGCCATGAGATGAAAAAGTTTGAAAAATCGCTGCTATAATCCAATCCCTGTCTTGCTTTCTCTAATCTTCCTTAGGTATCCGGTTTAATTTCAAGTTCATACAAGAAGCTGCAAAACTGTATTCTCAGGAGCATTTGAGATCTTGCTCCCATGCATATTTCATTAGTTTGGCTCAGTAAACTCTTATAAAAATTATCTGTAGGTTTGGATGTTTCTTATATCAATAAGGTTTTTATAGAAAATAGAAAGCAGAGAAAAAAGAAAATAATACTAAGATTTAGTAATAAGAGAAAAATAAACAGTACCTAGACACTCGGCATTTGTCCTGCATGTGAATTTCAAATATTCAGTTTAATAAATATTTATTGAGCTCTTTCTGCCTAAGTAGCAGAAATACAGTGTTAGAAAAACAGAGATGGATGTCATTTAATCACTGTATTTAAGGAACTCATGATGAAATGAAAGTATATAAACAGAGGTACAACTAGAAAATATTAATAGAAAGAGAAAACATGATTTTAAATTGATTTTTGCAAAGGACCTTTGGAATGCTGCCATATGTCTTAAAAAGAATGAACTTTGGTTCCAGACTAAGACACAACTCTAGTCACTTCAATATGTTTATAAGATGAATTCTAATTAATCTCTTGATAGTTTTAAAGTTTAGACTTGATAACTACCTCATATGTTAATGGCAAGAACAGCAAATGAATTTTTTGCTAACTTTGTGATCCTGACCACATCACTGTATCTTGGGGAAGCTTTGTTACCTTGTCTGTGATACAGGAATAATATTTTGTAGGCTTCATCAGATTGTAAGAAGCAAATCACTCTATTAAAAGTACAAACTGAAAAGCGACTAAGAAAGGTAATAAAGAAGTGTAATTTGCCTGGCTGGTGTAACTCAGTGGATTCAGCAACATCCCATGGACTGAGAGGTCCTGGTTCAATTCCCGATCAGGGCACATGCCCAGGTTGCAGGCTTGATCCCCAGTGGGGTGCATGTGGGAGGCAGTCAATCAATGTGTTCTCTCTCACATCGATGTTTCTATCTCTCTCCCATCCTCTCTCTTTAAAAAATCAATAAAAACATGTTTTTTAAAAAAGTGTAATTCACTTCTTGGTTTATTCCCTTGATGCAGTTGACTAAGTGTGTCACAAACAAGCTAGAATATTAGAAATAAGAGACATCCCCACAAAGACGTAAACTCATTTTCTAAGGGTCTATCACTAACATTACTGTTTCAGACAGAAAAACACATGCATAATAATCACATTTTTATTTCTTCTCTTCTTACTTCACACCCTTCCCAAAGGAAGTTTAAAGACCCTGAAATCATCTTTTTTTTTGTTTTTTATTCTCACCCAAGGACATTTTTTCATTTTCTATTCCGATAGAGTGGGAGGGAGGGAGGGAGGGAGAGAGAGAGAGAGAGAGAGAGAGAGAGAGAAACATCGACGTGAAAAAGACACATTGAGTGGCTGCCTCCCACACGACCCAACCAGGGCCGGGGACAAACGGCAACCAAGGTACGTGCCCTTAGCAGGAACCAAACCCGGGTCTCTCCGGACCACAGGCCGATGCTCTAACTGCT